ACCAAGAAATGGGTTGAAATGAGTTTGGTTTGTTGAATAATTGTTGCTCGTGCATTTACAACCCAAAAATCATGACCCAAATGCGCTTATGGAGTGTTATTAGTATTATTATCGAATTATTAATTAGCAAAGAATTGAATTAGTAAATGAATGACTTTAGGTGCTATCATTCTCGAAATACACTGAGGCGCAAAGTTTTAAGGCCAATGGCAAAATCGAGAGAATCGTTATTAAATTGTTAAAAATATTCGATACACAAATTGAAGCAACATTTTTTATGGACATTTAATAAGTTTCAGCTCACTAACTATTATGGTTATAGAAATCAATCGGTTTAACTGAAAATCGAACTTATCTATTTTACAGAAAAAGAAAAATTTAATTTCTCAAAATAAGTGCATTCTGGTTGGCCATTATTATCAGGAAACTGAGTTTCAAGAAAAAATCTACATCCATAAATGAGCAAAACCCGATCGAAATTGCAAATCCGAACTCGAATTTCTCGAAAACTGTGGATTATAGAAACTTTTAAATCGCACAAATGGATTCAGTTTACCTGTGCCTGGAAACTAACAGAGTATAAACTTGAAAGAAATTAATTTTACCCGTTTTCGTCCATTTCTCTTTCACTTTGTCAGTACTTTTGTCAATTTTTGCATAAAGGTGATAATTGTGTCTTTTTTAGTAAAAACCTTAACATTACGATACAAAATGAGCAACAATTGATTTATATCCTGAGTCAGTACCGATTCCAGCCATTGCATTAATATCCACGATTTCAATGATTATATCTCCAACCGTTCACCTAAGATCATTTTGGGTAGCTTGGTTGTTGTTATCGTTAAGTCAATTTGGTTCGATCGCAAATGGCTTTTTTCTTGCTGCACTCAACTTTGACATCGCTTTTATTTATGCATTACTTACAGGCTTTGTTTTTGTCAGTGAAACTCTTTCAGGTTTCCTGTGGCCCACCTTGGCCTTACCTTATTATATCCGTCCTTTAATTTACTTAAATTCATACTCTTTAGTGTTTGCCATATTTTATGCATGTAAGTAAGGTATCACTCAAAACTTCAAAACTAAAATTGGCTTATGATTTTCCCTCAAATTGACAGCTCTTTCAAAAGCAATTCACCAAGAAATCAAACATTTTCGGTGGAACTAGGATCCATCTGAGCTAATCTATTGAATTCGAATAAATTAATCTATTAAGTTTGTAGAGCTCTGCAAGGGATTTTGGTGCCAAAAGGCTGTTGCAGCCCAAATAAATTTGATCTGATATTTTTCAAACATTAAATGTACAAATGTAAAAATTACCTTTTGATCTTTTTTATCTTGATCTTGATTTAATGTAACCGCTTATCGGAATAAAAACAATTGCATTAAACTATCTAATCACTGTCTATCCAATGCTCGAATTGATGCTCACCAGTGTAAACTGATGAGATAATGTAAATTTATATTATCCTTGAAACGAATGTTACATCTTCAGTCCAACTGATCTGATATACTCACTTTCCTAATATAGTAACATTTTTTACATCCTGTTTCCTAATATTTCCCAAAAACAGCTATTAGTAACGTAATTTTCAAGCTAGCTAGCAAAATGCTCAATCAAGGGCCAAGTCACTTTATGCTGTTAAATTTTTACATCTACACAACATTTTACATTTTTATAAAGTGGATGCGATTTGTTAATAAAGTTGAATAATCCATTAGTTTCATAGATTTTGATATTATTTAATTTGCCAAAACAAAACTAATGGACACAATGAATGAGAGTAGACTATCACTGACTGACTGAATCTCAAGAATTGTAATTAGACCGTAAATTGAGTTTTCCCTTCGACAAGAAGTTAACTTTGCTAGGACTTGGGTTTCATATAACCTTATCTACCAAATTTATTTGGTCAAGTTTTAAAATTGAGTAAAAAAGATTGTTCAAACTAAAACATTTATTGCGGGAATTACCTTGATTTCCTTCACACCTACACCAAATAATCAAGCAATTAAGTGCATTTGTATATCTTATCAAGAATCAGCTTGAAGTGTATCGATAGCCTTATACTATGTTGAATCAATGATTCATCAGTGATGAAATGAAGCTCTATCCTTGAAACCGGTAACATTGTAAGTCCAACTGACCTGAACAATTATCTGACATGCTCAATTGATTGCACAGAAACACTTTAAAAGCGATTCATTGTTCAGTAACACTCACAGTTTCGTTTTGCTATTGTGTCAACAGATCTGAAAATAAATTCTTATTTCAACTGCCCTGTAGTTTGGACTAATATACAAGCTAGTTGAAGATGCCTTCATATCGTTTTATGGTTACAGCAATTGATGCGTAAGTATCTTTTATTAACCAATCTATTATTTTTGCTCATAAAATAAATCAATCTCTCATGAAACTATTAGCTGTTCAAGAATAAATGTGAGAAAAGTTTTCCTCTTTTTATGACAATGATTATGTGTGTTTTCATTTCTGCTTTTGATTTTAATTGATTTATTTCGTTCTTTCTTTAGCATTGGACACATTAATGCTGTATTAGGATTCTCGGAAGCTTTAAAAGCAGCTGGACATGAAATTTGTTTTGTTCATCGAGAGAAGCATCGACATTTAGCTGTTAAAAGAGGATTCCAATTCATTCCGTTTGATGAAACAGTATGGGAGGCAAATTTAGATGAAGTCATGCTCAAGTGGCTTGACACACTTTCGTTTAAATTTAAACAAGATCCATTGCAACGGTTCCTTGAAAAATCTCCAAATGAAAATGAAGGTTTCAGAGCTCAAGGATTATTTTTCGTCATCATGAATAAAGCCATTGATAGAATTCTTTCTGATAAGAACAATAAATTCGACGCTCTTCTTGTTGATCTGGCAGCTCCGTTCCCAGCTCTTCACAAACATCCAGTTCTTTGGTTCCCACTCTTATCATCAGCTGCATTGCAGTTGTATCCATCAGGACCTCCTTACGCTTCTGGTTACTCAGTTCACAGTGATAAATCTAAATGGGAAGAGTTCAGAAAAGTAATAAGAGATGGTCATTCGGAGATTGCCAGAAGTATGCAAGGAAATCTGGATGCTCATGGTCTCAGCCATATTAGATTCGACCCTGCATATTGGCACGACGAACCTCAAACAATTGGTTTTTATCATTATCCAGCTGATTTAGACTACACTGAATGTGGACCAAGAAAAAGCAATTGGCATCGAATCGATTGTTTGGTTCGTAAACCAGATTTCGATACCGATTTCGTTATCCCAGAAAACCTCAAAGACAAACCTGGAAAACTAATTTACTTCTCATTAGGATCATTGGGGTCTGCTGATGCTTCTTTGATGCAAAAGTTTATTGATATTCTATCTAAATCGCCACATAAATTCATAATATCTAAAGGTGTTCGAGGTGATCAACTTAAATTAGGTGACAACATGTGGGGTGAAAATTATGTTAATCAAATCAAAGTGGTTCAAAACGTGGATTTGGTGATAACTCACGGAGGAAATAATACTTTCCTTGAAACACTTTATCACGGAAAACCAATGATTGTGATTCCCTATTTTTACGATCAATTTGACAATGCACAACGAGTTGTTGACAAGAAGATTGGTTTTCGTGTCAATCTCTATGATTTGGATGAAGAATATCTTCTTAATTGTATCGAGAATGTATTCAATGACAATGAGATACAAAACCGTGTTAAAGCAATTTCACAAAATATGAGAAACTCAAAGAGTTTATCTAACGCTATCAAAATGATGGAAAAACAAATTGAACAAAAAAGTTCATCTTGAAAGGCGTTTTCAGGCTTACCCTATTGGTTTATATGGTTAAAACAAGTAAAAAATAAATAACAAGTCTTATTAAAATTTAATAATGTTAAATAAAAATTAATTGATTTTATTTCATTTCAATTGCATCAACAATCAGCTGTACAATTGCGGTCGAGTTCAGTTGCACTCTAATGATGCAATTTGATATTCAGTAGTCAGAGCATACTAATCATTTTAATGATCATTCTTCATCACAATTAGACTTGTCCGATTTGGTCCATGCAAGAGCATTCTTAATTTAATTATGACTTTCAATCGAAGGAAAGAAAAGAACGTTAAGTATTGAATCCTATTGAGACACCTTTACGAGGTGGTGAAGAGTTTACAGAGAAAGATTTTTAAGAAGACCCTGAAGATGGACTGAGAGATGAAGATGGTGACAATACTAAGGCCTCTGGTTTATTGATGGTTTCGGGATAATTGTTATCTTTTCAATAGGCAGTGAGTCGTTCAATAAATTTGAGTGTAAATTGTGATTTCTGCCTGTCAATGAATACATTGGACCCGATCTTGTATCAGTTGATGGACTTGAGCTCATCCATTTTGACATTTGCTTCAATTGTTCCTGTCGCTCTTGATTGTTGAATACTATTGAGATGATGAAAAAAACGTTTATTTACAATAATGAAACGGAAATTAGAATTTAAAGTCATGGAAATCTACGTGTTGTGAGTTTTTAAGGTTCATACTGATTCTGAGACTAACATAAGAATCATTTAAGCGAAGCAAAAGAACTCAGAAGATGGGAAACTCAAAGAGTTTATCCAACGCTATCAAAATGATTGAAAAACAAATTGAACAAAATAAGCGTTGAAAGCAGTTTTTGGGTTTTCTTTATTTCATGTCGATGGTTAAAACTAGATATTAACAAATGAAAACGAAATTAACAAATATAATAAAAAATTTCAATGTATTTTTGGCTCTTTTTCAATTTCATTTCATTTACTATTAAAAATAAATTAATATGGAAAATTAGAAGACCCAATTGAATTTTAATGGTTTAATATACACTTTAGTCAGATGATTCCTACCATTCGATTGATATTTCTTTCGATTATTGTTGAATGCATAAATTTGCTCTCTCTTCCGAAGCTAAATTTCAAAAATCAAATTGGTTTATTACATAATTAAATACAAGTGTACAAGTGTAGTTTTAATCAAATTATGACTTTTATTAGAAGGAAAAGAAAAGAACGCCAAGTTTATTGAGATCTAAAATGATTGATAAGGTTACAAAATAAATTAATTTGATCTCAGTTTTATGCTCAAAATGATTATCAGATTTATAATTGAAAGCATGATCGGAGGGACAATCTGTCTTGTATCAAGAAAGCAATGCATCAGAATAAGTGGATGAAAAATTACAGTTCATTTTTTTCTGTAGACGAATCTTGAACGATTCCGGAACGATGTGGACCAGACAGGTCAGATTTAGTTCTTCCATCGGGTCTTACTGAGACACCTTTACGAGGTGGTGAAAGGCTTTCATCAGACACATGGCAAATACAACATGAAGGGAATAAAAATTCAGATAAAAAGGGACCTTTGTAAGGATTCCATGGATCAATGACTAGAAGTTTTTGAGTATTGTATCGCTGACGGCAGGTAGCATGGTAACAGGGGGGAATAAAATTACAATAAGAGCCTGATCCATGGCGACATAACACTTCGGTAACATATTGTTGGTACGCATCAGTATTAATAACAACAAGCCAACGGTTGTTTGTATTACGCGCCCAACCTGGTCTCACAACTCTTGTTATTGAGTCACATACTAAACCACCATAATTGTCATTTGCCAGTTTAGGCATCACTTGGTTTCGCAAGTCACGGAACAGCTTTTCTAATGGCCATTTATAATAACGGGCGACCTCAGTGACAACTTTAGTTGGATAATCTTCCCGGAAGATACAATAATGCCTTCCATTTTTACCACAGGGTGGTGTTTTCAAGGTTCCTGCTGACTCAGAGCCTGACTGAGGTCCATCTTCGTCATCCATTAAAGCTGCCTCATCATCTTCTGACGCTAAAACATTATTATCTGACTTGCTCGAAGTCGAAGCTGCTGCGGTTGGTAAAGGTGATCCTGTGGACGATCCTGAAGATGGTTTCAGTGACGGAGATGGTGACAATACTAAGGCCTCTGGTTTATTGATGGTTTCGTGTTGATTACTTGTTTTGTTATTCTTTGAACGTCTTCCTTTGTTGTTAATATCCGATGTATTATTGGATGGTTTCGGGATAATTGTTATCTTTTCAATAGGCAGTGAGTCGTTCAACAAATTTGAGTGTAAATTGTGATTTCTGCCTGTCAATGAATACATTGGACCCGATCTTGTATCAGTTGATGGACTTGAGCTCATCCATTTTGACATTTGCTTCAATTGTTCCTGTCGCTCTTGATTGTTAAATACTATTGAGATGATGGAAAAGAAGTTTATTTACAATAATGAAACGGAAATTAGAATTTAAAGTCATGGAAATCTACGTGTTGTGAGTTTTTAAGGTTCATACTGATTCTGAGACTAACATAAGAATCATTTAAGCGAAGCAAAAGAAAGAACACGTTCATCAATTAAACTAGTTAATTAACTAATAGTAATTATTGTTGGAACAACCAGTTTGCTTGACTCTTGTAGACATTTTCATCATGTTTTGCTATAATCTACATGAGATTGAAGCGCAAGTGAACTGGATAATCGTCTGAACCTTTGACTGGTAATATTTTTACTCACAGTCTCTTCCTCTCTTTGGTTCAATGATTATTTTGAAATAATTATGATCGTAGCCTTAAACTTATGGAAAATGATGCTATATCGACCTGAATTTCAGCCATCAATATAACATTTTGCTTTGATCAATAATTTCCATTATAAAATGACCATTTAACCATTGATATTGTCACAAATTCAACTTACCATTATCATTATAAATGTCTTTCATTATTTTATCACCAGACGGAAATATGGTCACATTGCTCATCAAATCTTGAAATGATTCAGGGTGTTTTGCTGGTGCTTTTACTCTTGAAGTAATTTGATCTACAGACCGGCCTTCAATTGGAATCAACGGATCAACAATTTGGTCGATGGTTGGTTTTTCGGTTGATGTTAAAATGACTGATGTTGAGGATAAATGAGAAGACGTTGGAGGTAGCGATGAAGTACTTGTGGTGCTTGCTGAGGGGGACATTTTAGTTGATACACTAGAGCTTGGTGCCGTAAGGAGAAGATTGCTGACACCATTTCGTAGATTACGATTTCCTTTCACCAAAGGTACCATTACACTTGGCTTAATCCTGTTGATTGCTTGATGGTTTTTGTAATACAAGTTACGATAAGCTTTAACCGCAACATCATCAGGTGTAAACCGATATGAGCCTACATTGGAAACGTATCGTCCTTTGAGGTGATTATTGTTTAGTTCACTGTTGATTGGTATTGCTGATTGTTCCGAAGCTCGATTTAATTTATAATCACCAGCATTGGCAAACACAGAAAGTGTCAAAAAAATTGAACAGTGAAGATTAAATATTATGTTCATCTTTTAATGATTTGCAGTTGCGATGAAAAAAAGGCACAACAAAAATTAGAAGCAAATAGTCAACTTGTTCACCAATCTACATCAACAAACTAAATTTAGTCAACTTTTGGATCCAACAGAAGTATCGAAACTGAAACAACTCGAAGTTGGTGTTATTTTGATTATGATGAGTCTAAAATCAAAATAAGGTTCAACCATTTGTTGACAACTAATTGATAGTTTGCTGATGAAAAGTGGTACCAAAGGGGAGAAAATGAAAGATGATTAACTAGATGTCTCTTGGTTCATGATTACCTCTCTCCCAATTTTCAGAACAATTATCTCAACTATTTAAGGATGAAATTTAAATATATCAAGATTAAAATGAAATACCTTTTTTCCGGTTTAACTTCAACTTGCTCTCTGTCATCATTATAAACAACAAACATCATCTTTACCCAGGATTTATCGTTTGTATATCATTTAATCATTTTACGTTGTTGTTAAAACTGATGTTATCATTGTTTCATTTGAATTAGACAATTTAGTTATTCAATGAACCATTTTGTTAACCGCTAGAGTTAACCCAACAGTTACCAGTTTGCTAGGTTAATCCGAACTGAACATATTGAGATTTTGTTGATTCTTTATCTGTGCTTGTTGTTGATTATCTTGATCATAGTAAACAATTAGGTCACGGTATTGAACACTTTTTTTCTACGGTTCAAGTTCATGGTATGTCGGAAATTATTAAAGTGTTTTATTGCTAAAAAGACTGTTTTAATAAATGATGAACAATTGGTGGTAACAGAGCACAACAAAAAAGGGGTTTCCAGTCAATCCAGTAAGCTATACTTTAACTGTCTCTACCTAATTTACCCTTTTATTTAAATATTTAACTGTAATTATTGTGAGATGATTCAATATGAATTTGTATTCACTACATAAGTTATTAGCTAATAATGTTTCAAGATTAGCAAATCCTTGTTGCTTTCCTTTCAATTTTGAATTTAGTGTTGACATGAAAAAATAATCATTTTGTGAATTGTTTAATTTTTAGCATTTAAGTTAATATAACGTGTTTGTTTTGTCCAAAATGACAAGCGTAAGGGTAAAATAATGGTCAATGATAATCATTTTGATGATTTTGAATGGAGATACAAAAAAGAGAAGGTAACAGGAAATTAATTGTGATTACAATTTGATTTAGTCTGTGAAGCATCAAACAGAGCTTCTTCTTCTTCTGCCTTGATTCCATTTGCACCAGACATTTCATGGTTACCTTTACCTGTTTGAACATCATCATCTTCATCATCATACAAATTTTTCAATCTATTGGCATAAACTAAGACTCCTATATCAAAACACGAACCAATCATAACTAAAGTAAACGCAGTTCCGTGCAAATATACTCTGAACTTATCGATATCGTAAAGCCAACAATTACCAGTTTCACCACACGACTCTTCCCATACCAGACAAGCAGCATCGGTTACAAAACCAAATATAATTGGATAAGGGATATAAGCTATTAAATGAAATAAAATGACAATGAATGATTAGTAAAGTGATAAATTGTAGACAATCATTTAAAGTAAAATGAAGCATACCAAATATTGCCATACAACTGCCAATAAGTCCCATCGCAAAAGCTTTATCCTTTGGATCGACAGCTCTATAAGATGAAAGGAGATATTTAACACAAATTAGATTTAGATTTTAAATTTTTGCAGTTAATAAAAGTGCAAGTTAATTACCTTAGAGCAATTATAAAATTACCAGCCCAAGCAGTTGATGATATTATGCCAGCTAAACCAATGATGGTTAAATAAAGTGGTAGAGTATTACATTCTTGATCACAGTATCCACTTGTTACGGAATGATCCATTTCTGATTGACATAAACACTGAGAGAAACCCTGTAATCAAATTAATAGCAGAAAATTGGGTTAATTTTTGATAAAATATACTCTAATTGTGTAACAATATTATTAACTTACCGAATAAGATTCATTTGTTAAACTAACTTGGCAACCAGCATAGCATGGACTGAAGTAATTAGTCTTTCCGTCTGAACCACAAACTGGTTGAAATACTGATGTTGTACATGAACAGTCTCTATTACAGCCATTTAATAATGATGCTCTGTTAAATGAAATGAAAGAAAATAAATTATCAGCATTGCCTAGGTTTAATTAGTTGCAATAGTAATTATCTTACTTGGCTGTGTTTTGATCAACAATTATGTTACCAAATTTAGGTGCTGGACAACCAATGAATATACCAGCCAATATGAAAACATTACAGACCATCTCAATAAAGACAACATAGGCAATCAATACTTTGGGTCGTGGACGAAATTTTGAAATTGCCAATCCACCAGCGAAAATACCGATCACTTTAAGAACTGAGCTAGTTGAACCTAAAATAGAAACCAAAAGAGTGAACATTAAATTACATAATTAGATCTAAAAGATTGCTGGTTTATTTGCTGTTCCCTCCGACCAATTACAATCATCAACGAAGGTGATATTGATCAGTAAATATTGCGAGTACTGAGAAATAAACAACATTTTAAAAGACATTTTCAATTTTCACTTGAGTCAGTGCAAGTTAGATATACTAGGATAAAGCGAAAAATTGATTAGAATCTTCAAATGACAAAAGAAAATATTGGAGCAATTAACCATCAGCGGTTTATATTAGGTTTATTAGCCAAAGTGTAGTATCAAAAATCTAGAGGATTGTTTGATCATCATTGCTGACAAACTTTGAATTGAACAGTTACTGGAGAATTGAAATGATCAGCAATATTTTATGTGCTGAGATAGGCTTGAAGATGGGAAAATTTGATTGTCAACAGCTATAAATTTAAGTACACAGAGGGATTCAAGTTAAGATTGTCAGTAACAAGTCAACATTTTACTTCCCAACCCTCAATCTTAAATTGTTTATAAATCAAGTAGTTTGCCTTATCTTTAACTGTTCAAGAGTGGATTAGTCTGATTGACTTCCGTTTTCAATAAGGACTTGGACTCAACCAAGAAGGTAAATATTTCATTGGAAAAGCAATTAAGCGCCAAAATGCACTGCTAAATATAATCTAACAAGACTAGTGGTTCAAATGCTAGATTGTGTTGAATTGGCCGAGGGACACACAATAAACATTTCATGAATGGTTTTCAATCAAACCAGTAAAAATTTGATCATGTTAATTCACCAGTTAATTTACCTGTAAGAAAGCTTGATGCGGCAGCTGATTGACGGAATTGAGCTTCAATGTAACGTGTTTTGGTGATATAATAACCAGCCCAGCCAATGACTCTCATTGCCCCGCCAAGAGTATCAAACACTAAAACTGGATTTGTTATGATTCTTTTAAATGTTGCCAAAGCATCTGAAATATAATTGTAATTGAAATTAAAATCAACATTTAATTGGCAAAATTATCAAATAATTTACCAGTAAAGCTCATCTTTTTCTTAGCTTCTTGCTTTTTGTTTGATTTCATAGTCACGGGAAACATAAACATGGGTATGGCTGATAAAAGGATACCAAATCCAATGATGAAGAATCCAATCCACCAAGCACCAACCCAACGAGGGTCATTTCGAGGTATATTTACGGTAACTAAATGATTTAATATAATTATAAATTGAATTAGAAACAAAAACACAAAAAATCAAGAAACGGATAACAAAACGTTGAAACAATGGACAAGCATGCAGATATTACCAGCTGATTAAGCTGTAAATCCGCTAAGTTATTAAGATTAATCCTTTGGCTTTCATGCAGCCACTTGTGTCTATTGCAATTATTGTTTAGTATTATTGACAAAAAATGTGATTCAATTACATAATGTAAATAGTTGAACAAAAATGTCTATTCATCATAATAATCATCAACTTAATCGACTAACTGTTATGTTAATACATTGTAGCAATGAATAACACAAGATATTTCACAGAAAAATGATAAAATTATGCTGATTGAAGGTAAGTCAATCTATCAATGATCTTTCATGATGTAAGAGTCATTTTGATGATTGTAATTCAAATTGTTTACTAATTTAACTGTGATTGTAGCAGTTTACATATTTCAGTTGATTCTACTTCGGATTGATCTTTTCAAATGAAATTTTCAACAATTTGATGCTGATGGTGGAAATGGTTGAATTTATTTCTTTCAACTAAACAATTATAAAACATAATCAATGTTTACTAAACCACTCAACATTAATCATATTGGCTTTTGCTCTAATTATTAGCTCTTACTTCAACTTAATCAAAACAAATAAAGATTGATAATGATGAAAAGTAGATGTTGATAAACAGTGAAACATTTTTCCTTTCACTTTAACGTTATTCATTAATTGCTTGTCCATTAATTGTGTCTACCTTGTTTACCCATTTCACTGGTTTAGATTAAAATTTGACAGTAAACTTACTTGTAGGATTTTCATAAAGACTGAGTGAAAATGATGACAGCAAAAATCCAAGAGCAACACCAGAATAACGAATTACCATTGTTGTACCTAAATTGCAATTGAGTACAGAAGATTAATTTAATAAAACTGGAGAAAATAAAATGATGGCATTGATTAAAATCAACCATTTGACCCATAATTGTAATTTAATGGAGTCTATTGTCAGTGAAAAAACAAAGCTATGCTTTGGCCGAATGACGCACACAACATATGGTCGAGATTTGAGGTGAAGCGCTAAATTTAATTCGGACAGTTGACAATTACGATGTAAAAATGATTTGATTGTGAACTTACTGAAATAAACTGGTGAATTTTTCTTTTCAACATTATCATCCAGATAAGGAACACCAACAACCCAAAAAGCTGTGTTACCCAAACCATTGACAAATGAACCAGCCCAGAGGAGTGCATATGCACCAACAACAAATGTATGTCTATCGGCATCCTGGCAAGTCTCGGGTTTGCCACTTAATGAGCAAAGATCATATTTGGTTGTTGAATTTAATGATGAAGATGATTTGATACCAAGTGTTTCAGCCGATAATAAATGGGTTGCCGGTCCATAGATTAGGTAAGGTAAACCTGAAACAATGGATGAAAGGCCAACCAGTACGGTTCCCCATCCAATTATTTTGGGTCCATGAAATTTGGTACCCAAATAACCAATGACTGGTGACATTACCATTCCTGAAATGTTGTCAGCAATTAATATAAGAGCGGAAAGTTTAGACGGGAAAGCATAACGTTTCTCTAGGGTTGACATTACTCCAATCATGTAAACAAAATAAGCTGATCTCATTGTGGCAATCAATGAAAATATGGCCACAAATATTTTCGGATTGGCATATCGACGAAGGAACCGAGGCCGCCAACAAGTAAAGCCACAAGTCACTTCAGAAACAGAGGCAACTGACGGACGAGGAACTGAAAGGTCAGTTGTACTCAGATGGGTTATCAGATCGGCCATTTTATTAAATCAATTACAGAGTCACCGAGTCACAGAGCAATTGGACTTGAATGGATGAGAACAATTAAATAAAGAAAGAGAAACAGAAAGAGGGAAAGGATGATGATAATGGTGGATGAGGATGAAGTGACAGAGATATTGAAGGAATCAAATGATTGAGAAAATTCCAACCATTGGTTTAAAGGGTGGAAAGATTATCGTCTGTCTTTACTTTCACCCACCAAGATGATGGATATTGTGGTGAAGACGATGATGATATGAAGATGTGAAGATGTGAAGGAGGTGGAAGAGGAGGTTTAAGATGAAATTTCAACAAAATCAAACTTGATCACAGTGAGCTTTGAGTAAAAATTATAACATCGATGGAGGCCTAAAGATTAGCTTTGATTGTCAACTTTCTTTGCTTTTTTTTGTCATTTAGCGATTCTAATCATCATCACTACTACAGCCTCCTCCTTAATAATCATCAAAATAATAATAATAATCAACTTTTCTCCTCCTTCTGATATATTATGGTTAATCTGATTGTAATATAATGTTCAATTGGCTCTCAATGTTGTTGTGTGTTGAAAGTTAATTCAGTTGATTCTTTTCAACCTCTTCATCCTTTACACTGAAAATTTATCTTCTTCCCTTCTCTGTCTTTCTCTGGCTCTTTTCAGTCATTCATTATCATCCTATCATGATATTTACTTGTCTGATCAAGACTGATCAAAAGAAACGGTAAATTGTATGGAAACAACATCTTAACAGTTGCTGTCAATTTTTGCCCCTTTTTCATATCTTTTCCTATCTTTTGGGTTTTTGTTTACATTTTGTAGATAAATTTATGATTAACTGACAATTTAACTGTAATTTAACTTGAATATTGAAATATTAAAGCAACAAAGTTATTATTGAAAAGAGTTTCAATTTTACTCAATATTAGGTAAACTTGATATTTCATCTTACACTTGTTTCACCTTGTTCATATCCATTATCAGGTAGAGAGCATGATAAACAATTGAGGGTTAAATTGATAAGAATAATGATCAAGGGTAAATAATTATTTATTAAGATGGGTTTGGGTATTATTATCATCAATTGTCAATGATTCCCTCTTTTATTTGCTAATAATAAAGTCAGTAAAGATATTTGCCTCGTGTAAGGAAAGTGAATTTATATATCAAAATTGAACCTAAAACTGGTTAAAATATAAACTGATTTGCATTTTTAGGTATTTTGTTTACAAAATATTAAAAATGTTGAAGTATTTGAATCTCTGTGATTAGTTACATTGATTACAATCAAAGAGTCTACTTGAATTTTAAGATGAAAAAGATGTTATTTTATTGTTGAAATATTTCATCATTTTCGGTCTGTTTCATGTGATTGTTGATGAATAGTTAATTTTAACTGATTGGCACTCAATTTGTTTCTTCTAATCATCAAGAGTGAATTGTTTGTCTCAAAATCGTATCAAAGTTTAATTGTTCCATGTTGCTACCAGTTGGTTTACCAGTTGGTCTGGTATTCCTACCAGATTTTTACTCAATTCAACAATTGAAATCAAAATTTTGTTTAATCGTTCGTGTGATTGAGTTTGCTGCAAACTCAAACTTATTTCACTAACTTTTTGCTGCATTTTTTCATCGGAGATGGTTTCATCAATCATGTCCAATAACAATTTTTCATTCAAATTAGTGGGTGAAATACATTTCCCGATTCCCATATCCACAGCTCGACGGCCATTATCATGTTGATCGCCAAACATGGGGAAAATTATAGACGGTTTTCCGAAATAAAGACTCTCAATGAATGTATTGTTACCTCCATGATGAATAACTAAATCAACTTTGGGTAAAATTGACAGTTGATTGACATATTTTCTGCCAACCACATTCTTAGGTAATTGGATTAAATCAGCGGCTATACTTCCCAAAGTGACTATGAAATGATACTTTGATTTAGATAATATTGTTATTAATTTGGTTAGGAAGCTAGTATTGGAAACCTGCGATCCTAAGGTCACAAAAATCAGTTTTTCGTATTTTTCAGGAATAAGATGTTCAGTGTCGCTTAGTGGCGGGGTCGTCCTTAAGCAGTGTTCAACTCGGAACCATTTAGCTGGCAAATTAAACTCTTTGTAATCAATGGTTTCTGGATAAATATAAAGATTAAGATAAGGTGATTTACTCAACGGCATGAAGTCTATTCTTTTTTCTAAGAATGGATTGATTCCTTCAGATGCTAGATACCAGTCCAATTGTTGAGTTAGGTCTGCCAATGCCAACTTGAAACTTGATCGTTGCTTTGCAAATAGCGTTTGACTGTCTTTATCTGATAATCCAGATGAGTATGGAGGAGCTCTTGAATTACCATAGATTAACAAAGGATTACAAGTGTATAAAAGGATGTAAGGAATACCAGATTTAACTATGGCTGGTATTGTCATCCAGGAAAAGTATATAATGCAATCAGGAGATAATGTTTTGATGTGTTGTCCGTATTGGTCATTTGTTTGTCTGATGAATTCGAGGCACATTTTCATCCTAGGGATTCGTATCTTTTCAAACTGTTCAATGGGTCCTAGTTCAAAAGCTTCCGACCTTTGCTCCATAAACTGATTCAACTTTGCTTGTGGATCTACATCATAAGCTATTGCAAAAACGGTCAAAACCTGGAATCCATATTCAAGTACGATTGAAAGACAATTGAAGGGAACAATAAATGAACAAATGTTTCCATATTTTGCCAATTTTTGAGCCAACCCAATGCATGAATTAACATGTCCATGACTTTAAATATTACCATCAAAATAAGATACATGCGAGAAAAGATAAACAAAAATTGAAAAACGGAATTTCCATGAAATTGAAAATAAATATCTTCAGAAACTAAACAATAACTTACCCATCAATACAAATAAATGTAATTCTCATTATTTCCAACTGATCAGCAGTACAATAAATGTTAGTTTTTAAATTACTTTTTACATAATTGCACCAGAAAAATAGTTAAACGTAACAATGATTATGATCAAAAAGTGTGATAATCAGTTGTTGTTATTGCTAATGAATTGCTAGAAAAATAAACATAAAAGCAAGAAAGTAGCGACATCTCTGAAGTGAGATTATAACTAACTCTTACCAAAAAATTTTGTGAAATCACGAATATTCGTGATTCGGTTAAACAAGAACATAAATCAACGTATCTTTAGAGTCAACTGGAAGTAATTGATTTAATTAAGCTAGAGTAAATAAATTCAGTAACTATCCGTGACTTCAATATCGTTTCCCATTGAAATTGTAGGTGAGTTAACAGGAGAGCGAGAAAAAAATGTTTCATCAAAATGATCATTGTTAGCATGTTGTTGAAATGTTTGCAATTTAGTTTGTACAACAAAGTTAGTTAACAATTTATGTAAACAATTTTGTTTACATATTTAACTTTTAATTTAGAAAAGATGATCAAATGATTAAAAACATTCAAATTTAAAACCTTGAATCATATCAATTAAATCTCAATGGAGTGATTTTTTACTGTCAACTGATTTTAACCATTTTTATGGGTTTACTTGGAGTCAAAGTTAATTCTTTGCAGAAGCCTTGAAAGCCTCAGGTTCTAAGGAAAATCAATTTCTAACAGGGCGAAGGAAAAAACGGAATCCGTATTCTAAAGGCTTTTTAAAGAGTCGAGGTGGATTACATAAGAACTAAAAGAACATTTGTAGCTAAAAATTTCATCGATCGACAGTTTTGGATGAAATCGCTTCCAAACTTGGATTGTATTTTTGTTGTAGATCAAGTTTACATTTTATTTTAATGTTTTGTCAAAAATGGTTTTTAATTAGTAGTTCGAGTCTTTAAATATTGATTGAATGTATTGTGCCAAGTAAAAGATTTTTGCGATCACTCATGATTGTAAGTCCGCTTGTAAAATATAATTGCAAACATGTAAATATTGAAACATTAAACATGTATTGAAAATTGTTATGGAATCACAATTAAGTAGAATTTATTATTAAGTTTTAATATTTTAATGAAGACTGAATAGAATCTCGAACTTATCATGATCGATGTTGATTTATGAAGTAATGAAATTTACTAGATTAAGAACACGTCAGGTGTTTAATTAATTACAATAGCAAATCTAAACAAGAATTATCTTTGACTAATTCTCAATGAACTCGTTCTATTGAAAGTTTCTTTGGCCTTGGTTTTGAATAGCTTTGCACAAAGAAACGGTAAAACTAGAACCACTATGGCTTGAAGTGCAGCCAAAGAGCTGCAGTAGGTTGCGAATATCTCAGGTGTCTTATCCATGAATCCAGTTATTATCCAGGGATGAACTGTGTCACCAATGGCACCCATGAGAAAGATAAAGGAAGCATAGTTACGTGTGATAAACACGTACTCTTGTATGAAACCGAGGGAAGCTGCGAATGTTGGCGAAAATCCAATTGCAAGCATGATGAATGAAACCCAAGCAAAGGTGCTACTTTTTACAGCATAAAAAAACATTAAAACAGTGCTTGCCAAAGTTAGTAAACAATTAAAGATGATTAGGAATCTTTTGTCAATAAAATTAGTAGCAATGATGAAAATAAAACGATAACATGTGAAGACAGACCAATATGCTGATACCAAATTTGCACCATCCTTTTTGGTCATTTTCAGGTCAGATTTGACAACGAAAGCAGGTCCCAAAGATCCTGATTGAATAATGTTAAATAATGAAAAATAATTTCATGGCTTGTCTACTAATAGCTTTGAGGGTTTTACAAAATTGTTTAGCGCTCGTTTAGTTTCTCACTTTGTTTATTTTTTATTTACAATGTTCAAACGACGACTATTGAAGGACTATGGAACAATAAGGTTCGTTCGAAACTGGGTTGAAATGGCATTTTGTTGCTCAGCCTTCACTGTGAATTCTTGTGCGAAATGACTTCAATGGTTTCGTGAAAAGCGATTTGAGTTTATTGAAGAGCTGAAGTGGAACCATTGTTCTTAGAAAAGGCGCTTTCTTAGTTCGAGAATGGACTAAATCAACTTTCAATCGCTGAACAGAAACCACTGCTTGTTGCTGATTAGTTCAAATAACAACTTCAACTATTATTTTGCTGCAAAAGGCTAACAAATTTTGTAAAACTTAAAAGCATTTGATATAAAGTGAGATGCACAAAAGTATATTTTAACAACTTACCGACCATAGAGTTGACTGAAAATGTTGTATGAGCCATGACAGCGCCAACTAAAACAATGAAAATTTTCTTCCATTTAGGATGATTATCAGTGTTTATGGCTTCATCAGTCTTGCTAGTTGCATTATTCTTGTCCTTAAAATAGAAATACAGAAATCCAAATGAACTAAGAACCACAATGGACCAGAGATACAGATATGGATATTGAACTGTAACATCGTCTGCAGTGTAAGCAACAATAGTTGGACCATCACTTTCAATTGTACTATTTGTATCAATATCTGCCACTTGTGGCAATAAATAGGGTACAAGCATCAGAGGAGCCACCAATGATCCTACGCCATAGACTCCATGCAATATCTGGACGTAATTAGCGGCCTCATCATTCCAAATCGCGAGAACACATGCATTGACAACTGAAAAAAAACACAATATCAAACAATCTTTAGTCCCAACTTTCAAATAAGCTGACTTGAGACAATTTTGTTCACTCAAAAATCAATGAAACCAGTTAAAAATCATTTTTCAACCCAAATATGATCTTTATTTTTGCTACTTATTCTGTTTTCATTGATATTGTTTGGAAAAAATTGAAGTGTAAAATGCTTACATATTTCCAGGATTCCTTGTGCCATTCCCGACATGAAGAGACATGCATAAACGACATTGTACTGTTTAAACCAAGGAGCTGCGGCAGTCAATATTCCCGCAAACAAGTTGGTAAGAAATAAAACCAATTCAGGTTTCATGAAAAGACCAATAAATCCCGCTAAAAGAAGCAAACATTATTATTCTGTTCAGTTTGTTATCTTCGATTATTGACCAACTTACCAGCAAATGATCCGATCAACATACCAAATGAACGAGCTGGCACCAGACCAGAAACTTGTGCGAATGAGACATTCATCCTTATTTGTAAATCAAACAAGGATGAACCCAATAAAGTGTTTCCAGCACCGAAACATGTATATGAAATGTAACAGAGTAAAGTCTTTAATAATTTTGCACGATTAGCTGCTAAATACTTTGAAATGTTCATTGTTCAAGTTTAGTAGATTGCTGTCTATGTGTTGAGCCGCTGACTGGTTGAAATCTGAGCAATACTGCAAATCGTTGTTCACGAATTGCTTTATATATGAACATTTGATGTCATTTATTAGTTTATTATGTAATCTCGTAAAACGTGATTTGTCTCAAAACATTGAATATTATAATTACTTGGGAAATCGCTCATAAAAATTGATTTTATCTCCAAGCAAGAATACGAAGATCTACATGATGAACAAGGTATATTGAGCTTCAACACCTTCTAAAATGTAATTGACAATAGATTAATCTTTATTGCTGGTCTGTTTGAATGCTATTACACTTGATTACAAGCTTAATTATGTAGATCGATCATTGATAAAATGTTTCACTCTGTTTAAAGTCTTTCAATATTTTCAGCGCATTCAAGATAAAACTATTCCAGTAACAAAATAATAAACTTAACAAACTGTCATATTTGCCAATAACAAGCTCGACAAATTGAATCTGAAAAATGGAAACATCGGATAAGATTTCAGCAAGCTTCTTCCAGTTGTATCTCAATGGCTGGTTTTATGATAGAGCGAGTCAATAGTTAGTGGACATTGTTTCGAACCATTTGATCCTAGAAAATGAACAGGTCAAACTTTTAGACACCAATTGATGAAATAAACACAGAAGGGATTGATGAGATAAATATTGCTCGTCGAACTGAATTCGGGATAATTTAAATGCAATAATGCAATAACATTAAATCAATAGTTGATAGAAAGTGACCAAAGAAGCCAAAAAGTAACGACATAACTGCAACTACGACAACTAAAGCAATTGCTACATATTGGTTGTAACTAAAAAGACACAATAAACACAATTGTTACATCTATGCAAAAATTGACCTAAACGGCTAAAAATTAATTTCTTTCAAATTTTAGACTTTTCTAGTTTGTAGGGACATAAAAACTGAGTCCATCTATGCGATTTAAAAGTATTTCTGAGTAACAGTTTTCGAGAAAATTTAGTTCGAAGTTGAGACTTCGATTGTCTTCTGTTCAATTATGGAAGCAGATTTTTTCATGAAACTCATGTCACTTATGTTAATTTTGATGGCTAACCAGAAAATGTACTTATTTTGAGAAATAACATTTTCTGTTTCTGTAAAAAAGATAAAGTTCGATTTTTACTTAAACCGTCCGATTTCTGGAACTGAAAGAGTTAGAGATCTGAAACTTATGATTCTTACAGAGAAATTGTTGGACCACATCATGGATTGAATAATTTTCTCAACATATCAATATTTCTCTTGATTTTGGCTTTTGAACTTAAATCTTCTAACCTCGATATTTCGAGAATGGCAGCACCTACATTCAGCATTCTTTTGCCAAACATTTCAGTACATCATTGGCTACAATATAACATGACTGAATACTGAAGAAAATTTTAGTTAATTCATACAATAACGAATATCATTCTAAGACACAAGATTTGTGTTTAAGAAACCATTTAACTTCATAAACCAAGCTCAGATCTGACAACATAAGTAATGCAAGGCTATAACTTTTTTTGCAGGATCTTATATAACAATTCACAATAGACCTTAATAAAATCTAATCTTTGTTCAAAGAAAGATGACTTTAGGCACTTCCATTCCCGAAATATCGAGGCTCAAAGTTTTTAGGTGAATGGTCAAAACTAAGAGAAATGTTGATAAATTGAAAAAACTGTTCAATGCATGATATGTACAAACAACTTTTATGAACGAAAAATCAGTTTCAGCTCTCTAACTCTTACAGGTACAAGTAGCGGTCGGTTTGAGTAAAAATCGAACTTGATCTGTTTTACAGAAACAGAAAATGTTATTTCTCAAATTAAAACCACTTTTTGATTGGTTATCAGATTTTACATCAATTAAATGAGTTTCATGAAATAACCTGCTTCCATAACTGAACAAAAGGCGATCGAAGTTTCAACTTCGACCTCAATTTTCTGAAGAACTGCACATCGCACGGATTATTTAATAATATCAATGGATACAATCTTTATGTCCCTGCAAACCCATCAAGTCTCAACTCTTTACTCAAATGTTCGAGCTTTTGGCAGCACTCTTTGCATTTCATTTGCAAGTTTAACCAGAAAAGTGGTTTATTTACCAAGAAATGGGTTAATATGAGTTTGTTTTGTTGGATAAGTTGTTTCTTGCACATTTACAATCCAAAAATAATAAGCCGAAAGCGTTAATTGAAATTTATTAAATTGTATTGTATTATTAATTAGTAAAGGATTAAATTGGTGAAAGAATGCTGAATGTAAGTGATGCCATTCTCGAAATATCGAGGTTAGAAGATTTAAGTTCAAAAGCCAAAATCAAGAGAAATATTGATATGTTGAGAAAATTATTCAATCCATGATGTGGTCCAACAATTTCTCTGTAAGAATCATAAGTTTCAGATCTCTAACTCTTTCAGTTCCAGAAATCGGACGGTTTAAGTAAAAATCGAACTTTATCTTTTTTACAGAAACAGAAAATGTTATTTCTCAAAATAAGTACATTTTCTGGTTAGCCATCAAAATTAACATAAGTGACATGAGTTTCATAAAAAAATCTGCTCCCATAATCGAACAAAAGACGATCGAAGTTTAAACTTCGAACTCGATCTTCTCAAAAACTGTTCATCAGAAAAACTTTTAAATCGCACGAATTGACTCAGTTTTTATGTCCCTACAAACCAGCAAAGCTTAAATTTGAAAGAGATTGATTTTTAGCCGTTTTTGCCCATTTTTCTTTCAGCATTTTGTCAATTTGTGAATAAGTGTGACAATTGTTTCTTTTCTTTAGTAACAACAATTTTTCACTATTTAATATTTTTGATGGCATGTTATTGATGAGCTAAATGAGTTTTCAATGGTTATACTGGTCTTTTATCGATTGCTTAATTGTTCAAGTAAACAGGGTACGTAAAACAATTTACTGATTTGATCTAAGCTTTACTTGAAATTCAGTGTTCCCAAATTCACCAACTGTTATTTGTCAGTGACTGTGGATATGGCTTTCGTTCACAGATTTTGCTGTAAATATTTCGGATCAAAACTAAACTAATACTTAACAATCGTTGAGGATAGCAAAAGTTGATGTAATTATGCTTATAATTAAAGTTACATGAACATTGAGAAGTCCAGTAATAATCTTTCTTGGCCTTACCATAACATGTTCAACCTTTGTTTTGACCTTTACCAATGGTTTTTTCATTAATAATTCGAGTCTTTTAAATGTTAATTGAATGTATTGTAAAAGTAATTTTGCGATCAGTCATGATCGTTGGTACGCTTGTAACATTTAAAACTGAATGTAAGTCAACACCCTGAATCAAATCAATCTCAATGAAGTGACCGTTTTGTTTTTACTGTCAACTGATTGTAACCATCTTTATGGGTTTACTTGGAGTCAAAGTTAATTCTTGCCATGGTTTAAAGTGAAATTATGATTAAAGAAGTCGAATATAAAATAATAATTTAATAAATAGTGTAACTTCATTGGATCTCTTGAAATAACCTGAGGGTGAAGTAGAGTTGAAATGGCCTCTGAAGAGTCAACTGAACAATTTCAAGGGAAGAGGATAAAGGCCTTTGATTGAGGCTAAACAGATTATCTGTTTAACTTAATTTATTTTCTTCACTGACCATCAAATTTGATTCCCTTTGCTACTTTAACTGACCAAATAAAGCAATATGTTTCTGATTAATTACCTTTTAATCATTTTTATTTTGATTCACCAATTATACTTGATGTGCTTTCACACTTGATTCCAATAGCTTCACACATGGGATAACTTGGAGTAAAAGATTAACTTGATAATAAATATTAACATTTTTACATTTCATTTGATCCAGTTGAGTGGTTAATTAAATTACAATGATTTCTTTTCCCATTAATTTTCAATTAGTTACTGTCTTGTGTTTAATCAAAAAAAGCGCCCCAGTTGCTACTCAATACTTATTGGTCAACCTTATTTGAAAAAAAACGTTATCTCATGCATTGATTTAGAAATATTTGTTTACCACTTTTCTTCCGCCATCAACTGATTTATTGCTATTATCGTGATTAAAATATGTTTTCGTGTAAATTAAGCTTAAATTATTTAACTGATCATGCCAATTGGAAATTAACTCGATTGTAAATTTGGGTTCCATCTGCTACTATTGTGTTTAAAATCAATCGGTTCAACATGTGCAAGTTATTGTACTCTTTTTGTGTTCCCGTTTCAAAGTAATTAAATTGGATATAATCTTACGATTTCAATTGCTACTGATAATGCCGTTATCCCATTGTCTAAATTAGTAAGTAATTAGATTGTGGCCGAAAGAAAGGTTAACAACATTGAAAATAAAATACACATGAGTATTATATTAAGTACCAAAGGCTAACAAAAAAGGTGAATATTTTTTTTCTCTTTGTTTCTTTTTTTTGCTTAACGGACAATTAAATTAACATGATTATATTTAACAATGAAACAAGAAAAGATGATGATAGTGGTCTTTGATAATGATGGTGCTGTTGATGATGTTGGTGACAATGATTACTGTAATGACAAAATAATACAGTAGACTCTCTCAAAGGTCCCAGAGTCATGGTAACGAAATGAACAATTTGATTTAATTTAGTGTTTTTTAATTACATAAATTTTAGAGGACTCTGATAGTCTTGCTAATTCGGTATAATACTCGAATCAGCAAATTAATCATAAACGATCTCGAAATTAATTTATATTGTCAAATGGCTATTTCACCTAAATAAAGGGTGTTGCTCTAAAACCCGTCAATGGCTAAAAGGTAAATGAGAAGATCCAAGACGAAACTGGTTTCGGTGGTTCGATAAGAAAAATTTGATCAACCACTAATTAACCTTTGTGATTAAATTGATAACTCCCCTTAATCCATGGATGGACAATACCAGCGTAAAGCTAATCACAAAGGTTGATAAGTGGTTGATCACATTTTCTTATCTAACCACCGAAACCAGTTTCGTCTTGGATCTTCTCATTTACCTTTTAGCTGTTGACGGGTTTTAGAGCAACACCCTTTATTTCAGGGAAATAGCCAAATGCTAATCTCACGACTTGACAATTGAGAGGTTTTACTGTTAAATATTTCTTATTATTAATCCTTTCTCTTCTCTCTATCTACAGGTTTCCATAGTTTTACGGAATTGAGTTAAGATTCTTTGATAATCGGGATCCGAATCTATATCAACCAAAAGATCTTCATTATTATCATAATTAGTAATTGTTGATGAGGCTGAAGTCGCTCCACTTGTAACTGACGTTTTGGCTGCTGATGATGAGGCCGTTGCACTGGATGTGTTTAATGTTGACATTGATGGTGAATTTGATTTTATCGTTGTATCCTCCATTAATTGGGTTTGAGCCTCCGTTGGACTAATTATGATTGTTTGGTTATACTGTTGCTGCTGATGTTTAATTGAAGATAAATCAAGTGGACATGGCAATAATTCTTGCATGATTGAATGGTGAACAATCAATGAATACAAGCTTGAAAATTCCTTGGTGAAACCCTAGCAGGTAAAGAAAAGGAGACAATGATAAAGAAAGAATAATTAGTTAATTGTTAAGTTAAAACAAGATTGAGATAGTTGATTAATTTGATTTATGGAGGTTGATTTGAATTTCAGTGTTGAAATGAGAGTTAAGTGAGGCAAGGTTTTAATAAGAATTGTTGATGAATTAATTAGACTTGCAACAACGGAAATGTTTAAATGTGTAATTAAAGGGGCGAATTTTTGCAATGATTAATGAGATAAATTAGTAGATAAAATGTCTACAATTAGATGTTTCTAGTCAACAGTGAGAAGATTTTGAAAAATCCAAAATTATGATTAATAATATTGAGATTCACTGAAATGTGAAGGTAAAACTAAATCAGAGCAGACCAGAGGATTGTAAACTTAACAAGTGCAAATTAATTGTCCTAAAAATTGTTTTTAATTATATAGTCATCATAATTTAAACCGGCCACTTATACAAAGGTCGTTTAATTGAACCAGCTGTTTGACAATTTTATTAAACAATTTCAAAGGTTAATTTAACCGTTAAGGTTAACGTGTTCATTACATATATGAAAATATGACATGAAAACTAAACCAGCAAGTTAATCACTTAATCTTTCAATGAACAAAAGTGTTGATTGTTGAAATATTATTAGTTGAGGTTTCAATTAAAATGGGAAAATATAATGCAATTTAAAGGCAATACTTGAATTGAATAATTGAAACTAATGCATATTCAATTTGGATTCCTTTGATTATTCAATGTTCATACTTTACATAATTTGTTTAACCAAAGGCAATCAGAGTAACCATTTGATTGCTGATAATGTTACAAGAATGATGATTTTTATTCTGATCAAGATGAGAATGATGATGATAATGATAATCACGCTAAATAGTGATTACAATCAAAGTGAGGGTTGAATAGGAAGAAAAGCCTTGAAGGCTTCTTTTCAAATGTCCTCAGTCTAAGTCCGAAAAGAGGTGAATCTAAATGAATGTACCAACCCAATTGATTCATCATTAGACACCAATCATGCATCTTAATTATCAAATTTTAATTGCAATTTCTTGTTCTTTTAATTGCAGCTCAAAAAGGATGATCAATATCAACGATTTGGCGAACCAAAGGAGACCAAAAAAGATGGATTTCAAGTGTTATTTAAAATGCAAATTTCATCTTCTATTTTTTTTTGCTGAAGCTAAAAAAAAGTCTTGTTTATTATTCAATAGCTTATTGGATATTTTCCCATGATATTGACGATGAACACTATTATCAGCCAAGTCAGCATTTTTTTGTGTCTAATACTTTGCTTTCCCAACTGGGTTCAAAGATGATGAAGAGGATGACATTAATCAATGAAGAAAAAACGAGAGGCAAAAGATTAGTTTATTTGGTTGACTAGATCATCAATAAATCTTGTTGACAATATGAATTCCCTGTGGATATTAATGGGTAAACCTGAAAGTCAACAGAAAATTCATTTCTCATGATAACTTGTCCACATTTTTATTCATTGTTCAATCCAAGAGTCACAACAGCATCAACTTTAGCCTTTCACCTTTAAGTTTGAATTGCAAGAGCAAAGGCTTCCCAAACAAAAAAGTAATTCACTTTGTAATTTTAACTTTATCTTCATGTCAAAAGATGAATTAAGATTGTAACAGTTGACCATTATGAAATGGCCAAATGTCTTTGTCCAATCTAACTTAAAACTCTGAAGTAGATTGAGTCTGATGAAGATATATTGAAGCTAGTTTCAGATATTTATTGACAGCCAACTAACAGGTAATAATCATTTCTAATGACAATCAATCACCGATTATAATCAACATAATTGTCATATCAAATCAAACCTATTATTTGATCAATTTGAAACATTTTGTGTAAAATTTGAAACAAAAAATAGAATCAAAAAAGTCTAAAAATGATAATTTTTCCATTCGTTTCCAAACTCTCAACTCATTTGAATTAGTCAAGTCTAATTTTGTTGTGAATTATGATTAGAGTTAAACCAATTGTCTGCATTGAGCATTTCTGTATTTCACCTTCATTGAGACTGAATAAGATGAGGATGAGAAATGGTTGATGAACCATGAAAACTGTTTACCTTGTCAATAATGATAATATATTTGCTTTTCAGCTGACCTCATCTTGTAATATAAAAACAAGTCAAATGTTTGAGGCTAAAAAATGATTTGTTTTTTTTTACTTTGGTATAATATTTATTTTTTTAAGTTCATCAAAAAAAATGTTAAACATGATTTGAACAGGAATCACGGAATGATATTCATTGAACTGGAAATCTATTATTATTGGATAATTGTAAGAATCGATGAAATAACAGATGATCAACAATCATTATTAGTTTAAATTTTATGGTAAATTTAAGGCTCATTTTTTGCGTTCAATTGACAATGAGCAATTTGTTTGATTTATGATCAAATGTTTAAATTGTAAAACTGAAAGGTTGAATAAGTGAAACTGATTGCCTTGATAACATTGTTCATCATTTCCATTCAATTTTATGGTCTTTGACAGGATAAGAATAAAGAAAGAAGCAAAATCACATCAATTGAATGAGTTTCAATGAAAGTTGTGAATAAAGTTATAAGCAAATGAGCTTATTGATTAACTTGAAGTCAATCAATATTTGACTCTCATGGATGATCATAATGAATGGTATCAAATGTTATTATGGATACACATTTACTGTAATAATGTGATAACCATGATCAGGATTCAAGTTAATCCTGTAAAGCAATAGCTAAGATTATCATTTTTATATGGTAATACCGGTTTCACCAATCTTTTGAGCTTTCAAGCAATCAAAAACTAATTAAAAGAAGAGTTAAACGATAGAAAGCAAAGATTTATCAGAAACTGAATTGAAATTTTACCAAAAATTAGCTTCGTTCAATTGTATTCCATTCAGTGGGTTAACATGAGATTTTGTATTGAGGTTCAGGTTTAGATTGAAATTTGGGTTTAGGTCTGTGAATATTTCTTATACATTTCTGTGTGATTTTTAAACTGTCATTTTGTTGTTTTGAGGTAACAATTGTAAGTCAAAAAGGTTAAAAGGTGAAACAGGTCAGAACCTTTTTATGTCATTATTATTGAGATTTTCATGTGAATGGGAAAGTTGTTAAAATGATGTAAACATTAAGGGAATCAGGAAAATATCAGTTGACTTGAATTGTAATGAGATACACATTTGAATGGTAAAATTGATGATCAAGATTGAAGAATTGGTGAGACTTGGACGATAGTTGGGTCAGTGAATTGATTACAATGAAAGATACTTATAGCCATGTTAATAAGGAATGTAAATGTTGTCCTGTGATTAAAATTGATCAAGACAGAAGAAGGAAGGGAATTAAGTTATTGGTCAATGAACAAGTTGATGTGTGTTCAGTGAAAGCTGGACAAACGTAATAGGAATCAAGTAAAATGATCAGCTATTCTGATCACAGAGGAAACAAAAGGCTTTCAAATGGACAATGGAATCGGTGTAATTCAAGAATGATATTAAAGCCTGAAATCTGACAAAATATAACATTTCAACAAGAAGAAGAAGAAGAAAAAAAGAGGTAAAAGTTGATATCCAATAACAAGTCTGTTTGGTGAGATGAAAGTTGTGACTTGTAAGATGATGATTCTAATGATGATTCTGATGATTCTAGTGTGTATTTTGAAGCTGTTGAACACTTGTCATTGAGCCATGTTGGGACATTGAGAGGATTAAAGGATTCATTTTGCTGAATAAGATGAATTGACCTGTTATTGGTAAAGCTTGCAGGATGAAAAGATGAAGAGGAAATGATGAGAATAAAGAGAGTTAAAAAAATAAGATAAATGTTTATTGTAAAACAAATAAAAAAAGGTGATCCTCTATGTAAGCAAATATATTATTTTGGATACTAAACTGGACTCTCTCTTGTGTTGGGTTAAGGTTGCGCTAAAGGTAAAGGTTATTTCAATTGCATTTTTCCTTGGCTTTGATTCAATCTCAATCATTATAATCTGTTTGAGTAAAAACCCTTCCTGATTCTGAATCAGAGTAATATTTCAAGTGAGAAAGTAAAGGAAAAGAAATAGCTTTTTCTGCTTCAAACTTGATGGCAATCCATGTCAAGCTGAGAGACAAGAAAATAGTTTTTTTTTCTTCTTCTCTTCTTCTTCTTATTCTCCTGTTTCCTTCAAGAACTTCTAATCTCCCTTCTTTACTTTACCTTGCAGGTAACTCAATTTTTCACCTCATAACGGCCGTGGAAACTTAACCTTACCAAAGCATTTATCAATCGTCAACTAACTTCTTATCATTAATGCTTGGACCCGACAAGGTAAAGTGAAAGTGAATTGGACCATTTATCTAAACTTTTTTTTCACTTCATCATCATCAGTATCCTCATCATCCTCTATTACCTCATCTCTTCTCAGGTAAAGAAAAAAAAGCTTTGAGATCAACATTCTTTAAGACTTTGAACAGTGCAAAGGTAACACACAATTTTCAGCTTAATCTCATGTTTTTACTCAGTTTTTTCTCTCAAATAATTTTCTTGTAAACAAGTTGCCAATTAAATTGAAAAACATGACAATTAAAGAGTTAAATTGTCAAAAATATAACAATTAAAATGTTTAAACAGTAAAATTTAATTTGCGCGCTTCTACGTTCAATGGTTACTTTATATAAAACATGTGATACGGCTTTATCTTGTTACTCATCATCTTTGTTTTACTAATTAAATTTTAATTTTATTTTAGGTGTTAAAAGCTAATTTTTGCCTCGTTTAATTTAATAAGATAACATCTAATTGTGTAGTTAATTCAATGGGAGACAATCTGTTCAAATTGACAACTTACTTTCAATCTCAACCTCACGAGGTGACCCAATATGAGGTCTCGCTTTTGCCTGTTTAATTTTGCACTTGTGATTACTCTGGTAACATATACTTCAATGTATCATTTAACCTGCAACATGAAGCTATTTAGTGGCCATTTCAATTTGGTGACATATTATAATATCAGTTAATTTGACTCTCAATTAACTTGCTCTTTATTTTCTCTTCTCAATCATTTCTCTTTCATACCATCGAGGGAGGTAATCAGGCCACATAATTCCTAATTAGTAATTACATATCATTCGCCCCATCATCATTATTATCAACAAGATAATTTAATCATGGGAAGAGGAGGAATCCAGGAGAGAGAGATATATAAAAACTGAGTGAAAAAAAGCTACATCAACCTGGAAAAAGACCATCATCAAAGGAAACAAAAATTTCAACATGATAAAGAAGATGAAAGGAAGAAAAAATTTATCGATTAAACGTTGATCAGTGCTAATCAAGTCTTTTTTTAAATGGCTTCTTAATGGCTTCATCAATTAAGAAGATAAATTTAATTTCGATTGCTCATCATCTTTAATTTTGTTATTTTCTTCCCAGTTTAACTGTTTGTAAAGTAATCGTTTATTATTAAGTCGCCTCAACCTTCTGTGTACACATTGCACTTCCACAGCCTATTGACTTTCATCTCAATAATAATGATAATAAATTTAGCCATTATAATCATATTGATGCTAGTGATTATCATCATTTCAGGCTGTTCAAATGGTTACAATAAGGATTTTTCAATCTCTTTGTTTTCAATTGCACTGTATCATGAAATACTCAGTCTCAAAACCAAAGTATTTTTCGAAGTCAATTTTACCAGAAAATGGAAAATCATTTAAATGTTTACATTTTCAGTGTTGATAACTTGGTGATCATGTGAATTGCTGATTGATTATAATTAGCAATGATAAAGTCTAGTTCTCTGTCACTCACATGAGTGCAGTTGAACCTTTCAAACAATTGACTGATTGGGATAGAAGCGTCTCTTTGGATCATTGAATTACGTTATTCAATTTTATGTGGTTTTCAAAGGTTGTAATTGTTCAACTTTTAAAATTAATCAGGTAAAAAGAACAATAAAAGCCACAGCTATTAAAGCAGGTAAATTAATCAACAAACAAACGAACTGTCAACAATAATAGAAGATGATTGAAATAAAAAAAAGGTTGCCTTCAGGTTAATTGTCATCCAACTATGGCATTAAAAATTGAATGATTGCAACTGGAAATAAACTAATGGTCAAGATGAAGATGATGTTAAAAAAACAGCTAAAGCAAAGGTTAGTTGAATGTTTGCTTTTACTGGTTAAATAAAATTAAACTTTCAGGTAATTATGTTTAAGTTGAGGATAATTAAATTACTTTGGCTTAACATTAACATTTGTCAATGTAATTGTAATATTTGGGAAACAAAGATAAGAATAAGAAGTTGAAATGCATGAAATCATTCAATTGAATCATCATCATTGAGTTGATTAATTTGAGACTCACCCAAAACTTAATATCAAAGACAAGCTTTAAAGCAACTGATTTAATCTTGCGCTTTTTGTTTGAAATTAACAAAATCAGATAAATTGTCATTAAACAAGCAAACTGAAGCTTATGATTGTTACGATTGTTAACCAAACCCAAAATTGAGTAAAGTTGTATCGAGTCATTAGACAAAGGTATAACCTGAGTTGGACTAATGATTGGATAATAAATTATTAACCATTAAAATTTGACAATATAAATCATGAGTGAAAAGTCAGCCAGTTAATAACAATTTAACTGGAACCAAAGGTTTGGTTAACAATCATGGGAACATTGTTTGCCTGGTTAAGAAAGGATCATGTAAAGGATGTTTGACAATTAACTTGATTGATTTATAACTTAATGGTCCACTTGATTGTAAAATTTGAAATGAATGTCAATATCATCTGTTTTATGATGATTGTTGATTAAAACTTCCCAAGCTTTCAGTTATTATCTTGTTAAATCGGACATGAAAATCCTTTAGCTTTTACATTCCGCCATCAGAAGTATTCAAATTGAGGAAAAGTGGAAAGATAAAAAAGGCCATTATTCAGAGTCAATTAAGGTGTCCTTTTAATACACCATCATCACCATCATTACGAGGATATATGTTTGAGCCTTTCATGTTGAAACACGCAAACGGATAGGTAAACGCGTGTTGCGTGTTCCGCCAGAATCAAGTTATTCAGGTAAAATAAGGAGAAGATGTGAATTGAAAAAGTCAGAGGAAGACGATGATGAACGAGAAGATTGAAAAGGAAGAGAAGATGAGCTGTCAAGTTGATTATGTTGAGAGTTTACTTTCTAGATTGGATGGGACAATTTAAATGTTGCCATTGATGGGTTGCCATTGAAATGTAAATTAAATTTTTCACAGAAACTGTCATCAATGACAATCTTACTTTGCATTTTTAACATTATCATGAGATAACATGCCGATTGCCTGCTACTACATTTGAATAGTCAATGAATTGAATCAATTCAAATGTTAGCAGATAATTTTTTGTCACATTGGATTAAGTAAGCAAAGAATCAGCTTTCAAGTGACAGTCAGAGCAATTGCAGCGGCGGTGGTAATGGTGGTAATTGGGTGATCAGCAGCCTGAATAACAGCCATTCAGTTGTCATATTAGGTAAACAAATGCATCGCAACTCATTTTAACCATAAAAAGATCAACATTGAGAGATAACTGGCGTCTGGTCATCATGTTATCATCATAAACTTCAACCTCCTTATCCAAAGATATACAAAATAACAGGAAGCTCTGTTTCTGGTTCAACTTCAACTTTGGCTTCTGTCTTTGCCTATGTCTCTGTCTGAGGTCAACCAATGTGTGGCAGATGATACAAATGGCTTCCAGAGAAGGGGAAAAGTCCGTCATCATTAACATTACCATTATCATGATTGGATCGATAAATACCTTTGTCATCATTATAAACATTTCATCAAGCGGAAAAAGGCCTCATGTATCTCCAAACCTATCCATGATGATGATGATGTAACTTGGAGGGAAGAGAAACAAGAAAGGTGCTAATGGAAAGTTTATGTTAATTGAAATTGGTATTTCATCGATTATCTATTAATACATTGCCATATTCAGCCATTAATCAAAAAAAATATCGTATAATGTTGTTTAGCTTTCTTTTTTGTATTGTTGATGATGGTGGTTGGTGACATTATCTCAAGTATTTTGCTGTAATGTATAATCAGTGAGGTGCACACTATTAACATAAATACATATTACAATAATATCATCATTGTATTTATCACAAAGTTACAAGGTAACCTGGTTAAACACGATAATCAGATTGATTATGATTATTGTTCAAGTTGACAATGACTTTCCTTCCTTTGTGATGAACATTGACTTTGAAACACCATTATAATATTCACCATAACACTTATTCACATATCTAATACAATGATCACTGAAACAACTGTAATTTTCACCTATTAATAGATATATCACCATTTCTCAATAATTGGTTAATTAATCGGTTGGAATTATCTTAATAATTACTGCTTTCCCTATCTTATCAGTTTGTATTAATTATTGCTGTCTTTTGTATTTTCACTGTTTGTATTAAATATGTAATATAGATGGCGTTATTATTAAAAAAGTCATTGTCAACACATGTTTCGTTATTCAAGCCAATTTATCAAAGTGGTTAAGTTTCATTTTTAATTTCATTTAAAACCTATTTACCTAATTAAATCAATCTATTAATGAATCTAATCTTCACAGTCAGTGTTAATCATCAATAAAAGCTTGAAAGGTTCACCCAAAGTTTAAAAATTACTTTAAACTCAAACAAGGACTTGAAATTTACTGAGTGATCAAATTTAATAACAACTTTTTACTCTTAACAAGTGGATCAAAATTGATTTTATTATTTGTTTTCGTTGGATATTCTGTTCATCTATTTTTCATCGCTCTCTACAGCTACTTTTATCACTTAAACCAATATTATAGTTTCTCCTATCAAATCGATCTTGGTGTGATAATATCAATTTTTAATTAATTTATGGTTATCAAGAGTGTCATTTATTGATTGTTTTGTGCGATATTATGGTTAAACCATTAATTTAACCATTCATCTATCTTTTAGTCAACAGTGAGATGTGTAAACTGTTACTCTAAAACTTTATTTAGTGACTTTTCGTGTATCATCATCAATCGAAATCTCAAACCCTTTGCTCCAATCTAATTTAATAAATAATGCTCAATGATTCTGATTCAGTCTCCCAACAGCAAACGGATAACCCTATTACTGTAATTGAACGAGAGAAAAGTTTTGTGGCCCTTACGAGGGGAACAATCAAATCTGAAGAGGCAATCAATTTTTTAACCACACCGGAGTCAGGAGCAATTAACCTGTTTCTTGGAATCACTCGTCAAGATGAAATTGATTCACATGGAATTGTTACTGGTCAAATATCATCTTTATATTATGAATCATACGAGGGAATGGCTGTTAAAATGATTAGTCGAATAGTTGAACATGCAATTATTAAATTCAAACTGGACAAGTGTTATGTTATACATCGACTTGGATTAGTTAAAGTTTGCGAAGCATCATTATTAATAGGTTGTTCATCACCGCATCGTCAAGCAGCCCATGAAGCAACATTATATTTACTCAATCAGATTAAGAAGCTAATTCCTATTTGGAAGAAAATCAACGATTCAGAAGAATCTTTACAGCCAAGTTATTCAACATGGAGCACGAGAAGTGAAGCTTTCTGGTTACCCAGGTCAAGCTAAACTTGCTGTATTCAATTATCATAAAATTTTTTCCTTCATCTTCCCCCTTCTCTATCTATCTCTCTCTCTCTCTCTTCCTCTATTTTTTTCTCTCCCTCTCTTTGTACTTTGATTGATTAATTTGTATTCAATGGAAACAATTTACATTCAAACGTTGATCTAAGATCTGCTCAGGAACTCAGGTTATCATTCAGTAAAGGTAATTATTCAACTTTATAATTTCCATTGTTTCCTCTTTTGTTTTTAACATTTTAATTTCGATAATGATCAGCAAGTTATGAATTTCATGGTTACCTTCATTTATCTCTTTTCAGCTTGATGATGCTTTTCTCATCATCTCTCTCCTCATCTAACATCATTCTTCATATTCATCCTGTTACCAATACCTTGTCACGTGATCATTAACAAGAACCATCATGAAGATTAAGCTAACTACAGTATTTTTGGAGAATTAATTTAAACAATAATTAACCCGAGAATACCAATTTAAAAGCAAAAAAGGGCCAAACCATAGGAGGAGATATCCACCCTCATAGAGTAAACAAAGGTCAAGAAGGGAAGCAAGGAATTGAAGGAGGAGGCAAACAAGAATGGAAAAAAAGTCAAGGGAAGAAAAGCAAAGAAAGGAAAGGAAACAAGATGAAAAAGAAGCAGAGAAAGTTCCGCTTGGAATTCATTTTAACATTGATCGCTGGCCAGCATTTTTGGAGTAAAAAAGTGAATTTTTACAGCAAAAAAAGAGAGAGCCATAGAGGAAAGTAAAAGTGGCCTGAAAAACAAAGTACATTTATAATGAGTAAAGATGAGGAGCTAAAATAGACATAGAGGATGGCGAAGGATGAAAGAAGGAAGAAATGGGCTGAACAGTCAAGCCCGAAAATTACCGGTTCTACGGTTATACCAATAACCAAAATATTACTTGTAGAGCCATACACACATTCATCTGTCTGCACATCCTTGGTTGAAAAATATGTCCGAATAAAGGTATGGCCTGTTATTGACCTACCTGTTAGTTTTTTTGCTATTTACGCTGCTGTTATACTGAAACGATGATGAAAATGATGATGATGGTGATGCTGCTGTTTTCTCCAAATACTTGCTGACAAGTAACAAATAATCAACAAAGTGAATCAAAAACGATTTTCAGTGTAAAATGGAGAGGTCAGACAAATCTATTCTCAAATCTTTGCCTTTTCTTCACCCTCGGGCCAATTTAACAAGAATACAAACGAAATTGTAAGTTAGGATGAAAAAAAAAGACTAATATCCAGTTGAATTGTTTGTTGATTGAAAAATTCAACAAAAAAATGTCCTCAAATTGATGTTGAATTGCTCAAACAATTTAATTTTTCTGTTGTTGTTGTCATACCTTTTAACTTTTTTTTTGTTATTATTTCTTTTTCATCTTCATTTTTTTTCACACTACACCTTCAACTCTGTCTCTCTCTTATCTCCACCTAAATCTTCGTTACGGACCAAAGATAAACTTGTACAGAAAAAGAAATTACTTTCACTTGTTTCACTCTCTTTCATCTTGTCATCAGAACTCTCTGCTTCAACGTTAATATACAGGTTACTTTTGATGGAGTCAAAAAGTGATTACCTTGTAAAGACCGGATGTATAATGACAATAGGACACGGAAAATTTATCATTAAATTCATTGGGTAACACCGCATGGATAAACAAATGTAATATAGTGACTCACAATTGATTTCACGAAACTATTTCAATTAACTCAAGTTTGATACGCCTTTAGAGATTAGCAGCATAAAAAGAGGATAAATTTGTGGACTGCGTTGATGATGATGGTGGTAATGGTGATGATGGACAGATAAAGCAAATGAAAGAAACAAAAATGGAGAGCCATTTGAAAAGGAAAAGAAGATAAATGAAAATAATCAAAAGAAAATCAAGTTACTGAACAAAAAGCAATGAAACTCGGAAAAGCAATGATATAATAATGATGGTCAATATTCTTACATCAATAGTAAAACACTTTTCACTTTTGATAAGTGATAAACGTTGATCATTTAAGGCTCTAGTCTTAAATGTAAACATGAAAAAAACTTAGCTTTGTCCAAAGCATCGTTATAAAAGCAAACAAAGTAAAATGGATTGATTTTTCTCATGACTGAAATTCAAGATTAAGGATTGGGAGTTTTGACGATAATATACTCCATGTTCGTACCTTGATTTTAAGAGTCCCTGTGGATGTGGTTAATATCAAATAATGGGCTACTCCGGTAACTTGGAATCGCTTTGGTACTCTCAGGGAGAGAGCATAGCAACCTGGTTTGGAGGTTGATTCACGAACAAGAAATGATCCAATGGATTGATGAGCTAGAATGGCGATTGCTTTATCACGGCAAATGGGCCCGTAAAACCAACCAGTCTGTTGGTTGGCCGTTGATCCGTAGACACTTGGTAAATCACAATCTGAGGTTGAACAATTGGATTGGTTTATTCGAGAGCAACTTGGCCCATAAGTAGCGCCAAGATTTCCCATTGATTTGGACGAGGAAAGGGAAGAAGATCCATTTGAAAAACTATGGAAAGAGGATGAGATCGAAGACGAGGTTGACGTTGATGAAGGTTGGTGGATATGGTGATGATTATTGTTGATTGTAGATCCAAGAGAGTAAAGTTCATTTTCATTGGACATTAAAATTCGGTCAAAAGTGGAATCAACTGTAACTAAACCTTCACCCTTGTTAACAAAACTAACCATTGGATAAGCTGACATTGGATGACCATTGTTAATTGAATTATTATTATCTTTCCTATTATTGCTACCATTTGAACGTTTCCGGTTGGTCAAGGTGTATGATAAAATATTGTTGGCACCGGAGGATGATTTATTGCTATTGTTATTACGTTTACCTGTGAAGAGACGAGCCATGGTCATGGAGGAGGATGAATTTGAAGAGGATGAAGAGGAAGAGGAATTGGATGTTGTTATGGTTGAAGTTGAATTGGATGAAGTTGGCGAAGTTGAACTTGCAAGATGAGAGTTTTTATCAGTAAAAAAGCCGGAAATTGGTTGAACAGATGACCGTCTAAACATCACAGAAGATATATCATCACAGGAAAGAGAATCTCGGAAGACGAATTGTTTCCTCTTTAATTTACACCATGGTAATAGTTTCATCATTAATTTGTTGGTTGTTGTATAATTTGAATGGTTTCTATTGAAACTATTATTATGAACATTATTACTGTTGATACTATTGATACTATTAACACTATTATTATTATGTACATTTACATTATTGTTGTTGATATTATTATTGTTTAGATTATTATTGACAGTATTATTGTTGTTGATCATATTAACAATTGAAGTGGCTGTCAGTGGACTCTTAATGTTACTACTTGAATTGGCAGTTAATGATTCAATGGATATTTTGTTACTTCCAGTCATAATTGAAGACAATTGTAAACAAGGTAGCGAATTGTCAGGATCAATTTTACTGTTGTTATCACTATCAATGATATTTATTGTCACTGGATTAATTGCTGTGGACGGTTCCGAACAGTAAGGATAATAGTAATGATGATAGAGAGATGATGATTGTAATTGGCTTTCCTTTGAGCTCGAATAATGGTCAACAATAAGATTAGAAGTCTCCCAAATTTTGGGAGATTTTGATGTCATAACAAGGGTTGACTTGATAACGAAAAATGATTTTACCTCACAATCCAACGCTTCTTGGTTTAACAATAAGATTAATTTAACTAATCAAGGTAACATGGTTAACACAGTTGATATACTTTAGATGATTCTTGTTATTGAACTGAACAGCAAAAAAAAAGAAGCAAAACTAAAAACAAAACTTGATGTGAACAGGATGAAAGTTACAACTGAACTGGTAAAACCAATAACTCAACACAGAAACTTGCTTCTCACTCAATCTTCATCTTCCCTATCTTCATCTTTCCCTGCTTCTCACCTTTTCTCCCTTCTTTTCTTCTGTCCTCCTCATCAATGGCTTTGCTCTGTCTTCATTTTATTGTTTGTTACTTTGCTTAATTTTTCTTGTGTCCTCTCAAAAATCATTTATTTATCGTTTTTAAGTAAAATTAATGACTTCTTTTTTGCCTCTCTCTTCCATCGTCATTATCATCATCATCAAGTGAAAAGTCAAATTATCATTTTAAGGTATAAAGATGACGATTATGATCACATTGATATATTTAAGGTTTGAAGAGTTGAGTTTGTTGAAAAGGTTGTATTGCAGGCTGAATTTGCATTACATTTAAAGCAATTTTTTTTGCTTGCGCTTGTATTAATACGTATGTTAACGGTTAAACCTTATTAATAGAAACTGTTGGTGTATTAATTGATTTAGTTGAATGTAATTCAATATATTGGAGGGCAAAAATTTAATTCACTTTAAAAGCGTACTTAACATTTTAAATAATTACTGGAAACCTTTTCAAGTGTATACAGTTTAACGTAAGGCTAGCAAAAAAGGTTAATGAGGTTAATTATTGATCTTTTCAAATGTCTAATCATCTATTCAATCATTCAAATTGCGGACAGTTGATTTTGAAAGTAAGTAAACACAGTTTCAAGTAATAATAGTAGATACTTTCTCTCTCTCTTTTCTCTCTTTCTACTGTTGAATGAAGAATTTTTTTTACTGTTGTTGATGAAGATGAAGATGATGTTGATGAATGGTTCAATTGAAGAGAAAGAGAGATCTTTAAATAACCTGTTGTGCATCATCACAGTATCTCAAGTTATCTCAGGGAATTAGAAGAAAAAAAATAAACTTTTCTCTTCAGTAAAATCTTTAGATTCTTTGAGTTTCCATTTTTTTCCAAGTTGTATATTAGCAATTCCCTTTTCGCTGTCTTCCTACTCTCACCTTTGACCTTCTGACCACCAAACAAGAGCCCATCATCTACCTGATCAATAGATAGAAAGAAAATAAGTCAATGAATGAGATGGAGAGAGGAAAATGAAGATAAATCTGTTTAAATGACCTGGGCCAGGTACATTGGTGATGAGCTTTCCCCATTTCTCTACTTGCTCCAATGTAAACATCATTTTTTAACTTGGCCTAGCCTGGTGTTGCCTTAAACTGGTGTCTACGAGATTAATGGTCCAAACCTTGTGGTCTAAGGTTAATTCAGGTCACGTTGAATCATTAACCCAAATCATCAATGATGACCGATTGATGGGCATCAGGGAAAAAGTTATGATTAAAGATGATTCAGGAGGGTAAAAGTGATGGCAATGGTTTAACAGGAAAACAAACAGCAAATCTTTGGTCATCTGTATTAAAGAGTAAAGAGGAAGACAAAAAAAAACAGAGACAAATGTTAACAAGCAATGAGAAGAATGAAGATGAGATGATGAGAGACACAAAGCTAAAGGTTGACACGAAGTAAATGGAATCCTGGTTGAGAAGATAAACCGGATTTGAAGATGCTGATGGCGATGATGAGACTGATGATGGTAAGGCAAGTCAAGTGAATTAATTAGTTGCATCCATTGTCTCTTCCATTCAACTAGTGATTGAAGCTAACTTTTAATTGCTTTCCTCAATGATTATTATTAACTATCAACCATGGCCAGTGAAAAAACACACAAGGGAAAAAATTGCCGTTGATTAAAAAAAAACAAACAAAACAAAAGGTTAGTCAAAATGAGTTACAAAAATTACGCCTTATTAATCGGTTGACCAGAAGCGCGCATTTTTCAATTTTGAAATATTACTATCACTAATATTTGAAATTGTTTCCAAGTACTTCAGTAACAACAGATAATCAATTTTGTTAAATTGTATTAATTAACATTTACAAAATTAAAAATCTAATTACTCTGGTTACTGGTTTTTTTCATTAAACTAGCGAAAGAAAAATTACAACCACAAAAATAAAAACTAAATAATACTAATGATAATTGGAAGAAGGGATAACTTGGATTGTAATGCTCATAAAGATGACCTTTTACCTTGATAATATCGTGATGAATTTAAAATTAATCATGATGATTAGTTGATTGATCATCATCATCAGTATCATTGATTAAAAGACTGAGCCAGATTGAATGGTTAACCAAGAGAAATGGTAAAACAAATGAAATCATTTTCATTTTTGCCAATCAATCATAAATATAAACGTAACAAGGATACAAACACAAGTCATTACAAGCTTAATCATGTTTCTTAAATGGTTAAAATATACAAGCGTTGACAATTAAAATGTTAAACTTTGATGTTATTATTATCATCAACATGAGAATCATCAGCATCATCAAGTTGTTAAATATAATGGAAACCAAGAATGGTTACCTCTAATCATATGTTTGACCAGTAAAGTAACAATTTTAAGTTGGTCAACTCTAGCTAACAGTTTACATATAAATTGTGACTTCAAATGATAATCATTCTAATGACAAGAAAAGGCCCGATGAAAATAACAACAACAATGTTATTAAAAAATACGAAGGCCTAAAAAACCGTTCAACAAATTGCCAGTTTGCGTGCATTTCCCATTGGATTTGTACAGCAATGCGAAAAGGTAAATTATAAAAGAGAGTTTAAATTAACGACAAATGTACATATTAATGGATATATTTTGTTTGAAGTAAAATAATATGTTAACAAAAATCGTTTGCTAGTTGAAATAATTTGACCAATTAACATTTACAATACATTTTTTACTTTCATCATTTGTCCTTCCCAAACATCAACATAATCATCATCATCCTCCTCCTCCTCCTCTTCCTCTCCTTTCATCATCATTGTTACCTTATCCCAAGAAGACAACAAGTTTAATTAACAAGGTAATATAATTGAGTCTCATCATCTTGTTAACAATCAACTGCCTATTTACCAACCGATATGGTTAACTGATCGAGCAAACGTGATCTTACAACCGTAAATATTATGAGCTTCAACAATTTATTATTACTATTATTATTATCATCATCTATTAATATTATCATTATTGCTGTTGTTAACAAAATGCTCATGGGATAGGCTTATAAGACTGCTTTTAATTGATAACAGTCTATTATTCTGGTTAATCAATGAAATATTTCAACTGTAAACAATATCAATATAATTAGATGGTTCCGGACTGACTGGATTAGTTTCAAGTAAAAAAAGATCAATGTTGATATCAATATATTGTGGATAAATCATTATTATCATCCTTGGAGGTTGGTTAATTGGTAAATCAGGCTTTTCAAATTGGATTGTTGATTTGCCATTAAGCCAGTTAGTGGCTAGTTTTCATTGTGATTTTCATCCATCAAAACCAGTTCAATATGGATTTACAAATACAATTGTTTACCATTTGTTTAGCTTTATTTGTATTGCTTGCTTTCAATCCAAGTAATCAGACTTCTGTAAATGAAAGAAATAATCATTTTAGAAAAATTTGTAAACACAATTTATTCAATTGTTATTTAAAATAAGCAATTTTACCTTTTAAAATTCAGCTCAACTGTCATTTTTTACATGGATTAATGGAAATCAGTGGGTTCAGTAAAATCTTGAATCAATTTGCATGATTACCAGAGTTTTCATTAAGTTGATGACATCTGAAAGGAAAAGAAATCAAGATGAAAATTAATCGGATTTTCAGAGGCAAAACAAATAAGAAACACTGAGATTCCAAGTGTAATTAAAGTAATTCAGATGAATTAGCTTCTTCAAACTCTTTTAGCAATGCTTTTTTTACCGTAGTTTCATTACCACTTATAATTGAATGGGATAAAAGGGTTCAATTTTTTGTTATTAAAATTGTAAAGAGTGTGAATTGAAGGTAAAACAATAAAACTTGAACCTTAAACGGAGTGATTAAGATTTGAATGGTTGATTATCTTAAAGAAAAGGATCAACCATTAGCGTTTCAGGTTATCAAGTTTACATGTTATTGTACTAATAAAACGGAGCAATGTTCATCAGCATGTTTAGTTGAGGTGAAAATTGATTCTGTTGTGGGTTGAATTTCATTCATTGCCAATGATTTTTAAGCAAGATAATTACAAGATTTGAAATTAGATTAGATTGGTTTGAATGTTGAGATTGGTTAAGCTGAAAGGTTTTCAAAACTGTTTTTGCAGCAAATAACTTACAGGATAACAAATTAAATATCAACTAGATGATTACTGGTTATTACATTGAATGTTAACAGAGTTAATCCAGGAATTAAAAGTCATCTTGTCCTGCAAATCATCATTAACAGGTCAAACTGACATGGAATGGCAAGCAGAAGATAAAATAGTCTGTCAACAAAGCAACAAAAGAGGAAGATAATGATGATGATGGCGATGCAGGCAAATTACATTAATCAACATTGAACACCCATGTATATTATACATTCATTGGCTTCCAAGTATCACAATGATTATCATTACAGGTAACAATTAGGTCCAGTTTCGCCTTTTCCACTTGGCACTGTTCTGTAAATCAATGAAGGAAAAGAGAAGAAAAAAGAAGTTAATGATTTTTGTAATTAAACTTCTAATCAACACCTACGAGAGTTTTCCTGGTTGATTAGGTACGATTAAAGGCTGCAAATTAAATGTGTTGACGTGGAATCAGTTTGCTTGAAAACCAAATTGTCTCGAAGTGATACTTAAATGTAACTTTTTTTGCTTGTCCAAACCATTAATCAAACATCATTTGAAACATCTTTTCACATTATTTAAGGGTGACATAAACACATATAAATTTGATGATGCCGTTGATGATTCCAATTCGGATAACTAAATGGTTGATTCCATTGATAACTGGATGGTTGCTATCATATCCAATATTCAACGCTCCGATCAAATTATAATGATTTAAGGGATGATTTCGCAAAAGGTTGATCGTTATAAGTGCGGGTGGACAAAAACAACCTGTAAAATGAATGTTGTCAGAATTTTATCTTTAAATCATTTAGATTCATGTGACTTTAACCATCATTATCATCATATTTATCACCAACTTTATCTAGACATTGATTTGCCTTTTTGGCCTCATCATTCCTATTAATACATTTGTAGTTGCCAATGAATCTTAAAGTGACAGCCATCAATGATCATTTCATTGCTGATCAACTCTTGTCGGAGGTCATTTTTATGCTCAATGAGATTGACCAAAATCGATAAGAAAGAGGCAAACAAGAAAAACTCAAATGTTTCAGATTCTTTCTCTTTTTTTACATAAGATTCTTCCTGAGTTGAGCTTTTTTTCGTCAAGAAACTTTTGATGAAACCGGCTTCATCATTTTGTTGATAATTTTTGGTGATCAAGATCATGGTGATGATGATGATGATGATCCTTTTTTTGCTTACCTCAGTTGACCTTGTCAATAGATCGTTTCTTGCCCTTTTCACAATTTATATCTTTACTCAACTGCAATCCTGTCTCTATGTTTGCTTGATACGATCAATGATCATCCACATTGAGAATCATTTTTGTTAATCGCTTTCAATGAATGTTATTATCTGTTTTTTTGGACCAGAATTTCTTGTTTCCTTTTATTCTTTCATGTTTTGTTCAAATGTTGAAACCATTTTGCCACCATGTTTCCAGCCCTTTCCCTTTTTTATAGTCACTTTTAAAATGGGTTTATTGATGTGGATTGATTGTTGGATCAAATTTGTCGTTTAACTCAATTTCCATGTTTTGATAGGTTGAATCAAGTTCAAGTGTTATACACATGGAAAGATCCAGGGAAATATTGACAGAATAAGTCAATACACATGCCATTGTCAATATTACATTGTCAATCCCAACTTGACATAAATATCCAAACCATCTTTTGTTGATTACATAAACTTTGTTCAGCTTTTGAAGCATTTTCATGTCAACTTCACCAATAAAAAGATGTGAACTAAAATGTGAAAAAAGGATAAAGAATAGCATGGAATGAGAAAAATTCAAGAAAATAAAAGTAACTTATCAATACCTATACTGGTCTGATCTTAAACATCTTCATATCAAAACTGGATCAGAATAGCAATAAAATATGAGATTTTTTGGCTCTTGATTCTTGGTGATTTGTTATTTAATTTATGATCTTAGTGTAGACAAGTTTTAACCTGCCAGGTTAACTTACAACAAGCTTAAATACCTTTTTGGTGTACCTGCAATGTTACACCGTGTGTACCTATGAATGTGTTGAATACTTCAAATGGCCACAAAGATCAATGATTACGTTGATTATTTAACGGTGATAAAGATGATCTCTCTTCTTGTGTGCAGATTTGTAACTTTGTTGAAGTATTTTGATAGCAATAATTAATTGGCTTTGATAATTTACACAATCGCTTTAGAAATCTTTTTGCACGAAGTTAAGGTAACAAAAACGGGATCTGATTACAAAGATGAAAAATTTGTTTAATGATTATGATAAAGATGATAAAAATGATGGCGATGATGATGATAGTGATGACGAAAGTGAATAAATGGTTTGGTTGTCTCAGATGAATGGGGCTAGAGAAGAATGGATAGATTAAAATGTCGACTGGGTTTGGTTTGAGTTGAATGAAGATGAGAGGTAAGGTGTATCCATCAATTTAACCAATTAAGGGTAATTAATTGGGAGCTTAATTGATGGTATCAATTAATAAAAGGAGGATAAAATGACCTGGTTCATTGTTCAACTAATCGACAGTTAAATAATCAGAGATGTGCTTCTGTATTCCCATTGCGTTAATCTTGACCTTCTTTTCCACATCCATGACTTGATTTGTAATGATCCTCTATGAACCCTTTTTTTTTGTTTCCTTTGACTGTCAATGTGTGTCCATCTGATATGAATAACTCTTTGGGATAAAACGGTGAGCCAAGAGAAAATTATAAATTATAATTTCCGGTGAGAATAATTGATAGACCTGAAAATAATGATTTGTGTTAATAATGAGTGATAAAAGATGATGATGTAGGGAAAGGCTGTGTAAAACATCTTTAACATGTTCTTACTGTCAAGGTTGGAAAAAAAGGGAGACTGTTTTTTTCAGGGTGATGAGGAGGTTGAGCAAAAGGATGATCTTAAGGATGTGTTTAGAGGGAAGTTTCAAGATTATACTCAAAATACTCAGATGGTGATGAGGCCTTTGAGGCTAAAGAAGATGTAGCGTTGAGTCGATATAAGCGATAAGAATAATGGTGATGATGATTGGGAGGATGATAGAAAGTAAAACAAGATGATCAACTTTGTATCTTACATGAGGATGATGAGATCTGTCAAACCATAAGGCCACTTCAATAGTTTTATGCCTTTCGCCTGAAAAAAAATAAAGGTTAAATGAGCAGAAGATGTAAAGTGAGAGAAGAGGAGAGAGAAAAGGGAAACACAAAAAAAACATGGGAAACAAGCTGATGAGATGATGTTGAAAGGTTACAAGTGATGCTCACGAAATGGCGATTTACTGATGAGGATTGGCTTTAGGATAATCATAATAATCATGATAATCTTTGAATAACAGTGAAATAAATTCAGTTTAAGCAGCAAAAATGCGCCAAACGAAACAACAAGCAACAGTTGAAAGCAACAGCCAATCAAGATTATGCTTTAGCGTCTTTACTATTGGAGCGCAATTTACAAAAAAATAAAGAGGGCAGAAGTTAATTACCATTGTTTTCAATAATTTCCCTTGAAATGCAAGAAAACAAATTAATCAAAATTAATTGGTCACAAAGTGAATATCTCTTATCCTCCTCCACTTCATCATCACCTAAACTATTATCATCCATCTTGGCCCATCATCACGGTAACTCGACTGACCATTTGAAAACAATTTTCATATTTCCTTTGAAGGTAAAAACCAGCGCAAAGGAACAAGTGATTAAAACAAGTCTAATTATGGCAATATAACAACATAATTACTGGTCACATTTGGTCATTCTTTGAACCCTCAAATGGTCAAAGGCCGCGCAGATAAGGTGGGATAATATGGTAAAACTGAGGTTACCTTTAAAGGGTGAAAATCAAGATGAAAGGTTAACCTTTAAAAACAGTAAACCTTTCAAAGTGAAGTAATTAAGGTTATTTAAGAGACGATTTCTTGTTGGAAAGCAATTCAACTTAATGGTGATTGATTTGTTATTTATTATTATCCTTAGGACATTGTCATCATCATCATCATCATAACTAGTCATCTTCATGACCAGTAGCTTTGCTAGTTTAACAACTCAACATCCACTTTAACTCCTGACCTGTAACCTTTGTAAACATTGGTCATGTTGACTGAAAGACTCAAAATTGACAATCAATGGTATCAACCTTTAAGGGTGCATTTCAAGTGTTAAATATGATACAATTTAACATGTAATATTGATTTTGTGTCTTCAGCTCTTTTAATCAACTTGTAATGAAAGCAATTTTGAAACATCCTTGATTGACATGAACATTGTATTGTAACTTTTGAGCAAAAAAAAGCAGCGATTCAGTTTGCTGCTTTTGTTATCATGGATATATCCTGATTGAAGATGAAACATAATCATTTGCCATTGTTGAACTGAAGCCGGTAAAAGTAAAGGTAAACCGTGAAAATAATATTACAAATGAAAAGAGATTCTGAATACAAACACAAAAAAAGACATTTACTACAAGAATGTTTGTTGATCACATGAAGGAAGAGGATGAAGATGAAAATGATGAAAGTAATGATGAAAAAAGCTAGTAAAATGTGTACAAATCATCTTTATATTGAACGCCATTTTAATCATTTTCATCGTCATAATCAACAAATGTATTGTGTACTTTGATTTGCTGTCGGCATTAAACAACTTATTTTTTTTCATTCCAAACATCATTGTGCTCTCATAATGATCAACAAATTATCCTATTATTGTTATACTAATTCAGATAATACATGAAGATGTTTAACTTGATCAACATCAACCTTTCACTGTGTTGATATCAACATAAACACTTCAACAAAATTGTATCAAATTTATTCACCTTTCTTGGTAATCAGTTGATTTAGCTCTCGAGTCAATGGACTTGCATCAAAGATGATCGCAACTCAAGTATTAAAAGGTTAGATTATGTTTGATTGTCAAGTTAATGAACAAAAAATGTCAAATTTTCACACTTAAATTGCGCGCCCATCAAACTCACAACTCCTTTCTGTCTCAAGTCATATGTTAAATTTTAGCTTTGTCATGGAAATTTATGCTTAAAATAAAATACTAATTTTGTTGAATTTTATAATTGTGCAGCTATTGACAATCCTTGAATTTTGATTATTTGATCAACGACCATCCTTTTTACCAATTATTTACTAGTTTTGTACAAGAGATTGGGTATCAATTTTACTTAATCATTACATTTGGATCTCTACTTTTGTACCTTTACATTTGGTGGATTGATCTGGCATTTCTGGTGCCTCAACAATTATCTTTAATTTATATTCATGGCTATGACACTGGTTCTTAGTTAACACCGTTACTAATACAAAATGGCAAACCAGATGACCAGATTATTCTGCCAATTGGAAATGGATTAAGAAAATGTGTTTACCTAATGTGCCTTAAGCTGGAAGATAATCATCATGTATGATGTATTGTGATTGGAAAAGCAGGGAATAAGGTTTGCGCTTTTCAATTGGTAAACAATTCACAAACTGGATTAGATCTGATTCGAAAAGGTTAATTCATTCTTTCAATACCTCAACAGGTTAAAAGGAGTTACACATTTAGCCGATATCATTCAACAAATAAAGCCTATCAAGGGAAGTCAATTAACTAAGTGATTTCAACAAGTTAATGTTTATAAAGTGAAAAGTGTGTTCAGCAAACTCAAATACATAACTTGGTGTATTTAATAAGGTAAAATGTAGATGATGAAAATTATTGCCATTGGTAACAATCATAATAATGGCAATAATGATTATCATCATCAATAATATTGATCAAGAATGATGATAATTAAATATTACAAACAAATAGACTGATTAATTGAGCTTGAGGCTTTAAAGTCAATGAATCTCTTCAGGGTAAAACAATATAAAATAAATAATCAGTGAGTTAAATGAAAAAAACAAAAAAAGGAAAAGCATTTTTCCAAATTTTCATTTTTCTCTTTAATATCATCATAATTTCAAACTAATTAATCAATCTGATTGTAAATTAAGTCTGTCAAAACTGTTCTAGATTCAGTTTTCACCAACAATTATTCAAATGGTTCATCTAACAAAATAAATATCATTTCAAGTTTTCATTTTTTGTTAACCAATAATAATTATCATACAGAACCGTTAACCTTTTTTTAATAACATAAAAGGTTGATTACAAATCTGTAATTACCGTTGAAGATGAAACAATTTGTGAAAAGATGAAATCAAATTTAACCTTATTCATGATGAAAAATAAGGACTAATGTAAATAATGGCGAGAAACGAGTTGAAACAAAATGGATTGTTAATGATATGTTACCATGTTTATTGAGTTCACTATTAATGGTAACAATTTGTACATTAATTGTATCTTTAAATGCATGAAATACATGAACATTTACAACAAATTAACTCAATCTATTAAATGATTTCACATGAAATTGTAACTAACATTAAAAGCTTCAAATTTCATCTATTTTAATACAATGATAATTGGAAGCAAAAGGTTGACTCTTGGAGCATAAAGAAGACAGAAATGACAATGAAATTAAAATGTTGGATTCAGATCTAAAAGTGAATTGATTTCAATGGAAAGCTTCATTTCTAGTCGATTAATGATTCTTCATTTCCAATGATAATTTTGGGTTGGATGCTGAATGGACGATAACATGATGAGAGACTTGAGAGGTCATTTGGCGGAATGCGAAGTTAAATGTTAAGCATCTTAACCAAGTGAAAATTAGCAATTCATGCACTGATACAATGAAGACACAAAGTGAGAGAGAGATGAAGGAGTAGATGATAATGATGATGATGAAGGTAAAGGTTAGGCCACCATGAGAGCCGATAAAGCTTTGAGCGTGAATAAACTAACAAGAAGAAGAGGATGAAAAGATGAAGATTGGAAACTCGTTAGGAGGTTTGTTAGGAACGTGTATCTTTTCATCATCTCTTCATCATTCTCATTGTCATCATCCTCTGTTTTTACATCATCATCATCTTCATCAAGGCGTACCTTTTCAAGATCTTTTTTTTACCTTCTCACAAATATTTGTAATTATCTGTTTGGCTCTGTTAAGGTGATTGTCAAAAGTGTTTTGAGAAAAGCATTTCTGGTTCATTCAAAATTGCTCATTTTATGATTTGGGAATCATCATTACAAGGTCCATTACAACATGATCAAGTCTAATAGTCTTTAACAATTAATGAATTAACGTTCTAACCTTTAAATGGTTTTAATCCATTTTTAATTGTCACATGAAGCAATTTTGGGCAATCAATCGACAGAGTAAATATTTAAGAAACAGCTTTGGGCTAAAAAGCGCAACATTTTTACCTTTAAAATGAGTTAAATTGTTCGGGAAACTTGGAAAATTTTGACTCAATTTAATTTCTTTTTTTCCCTTCTTAATTTGATATAAATTACGTTTTCAGAAAATGCTGGATTCTATCAATTTTATTGTAATTCTTGTCGTATTGACCATTTTTAGTATTGTTAATGAGCCAAGTGTTTGTTGTTGCTTTTGGTTGAAAAAATGGTTAGTTTGGATGAAAAGCGATGAAAGGCTATTGAGTACACAAGGTGACTTGACCAGGGAATGGGTAAAATGGCTGGAAAAAGTTGAACAAAAAGCTTGTTAAGCATTAAATTTATGTTCAATTTTAGTCCGCTGTCAATGTGCTGAAGCGCATCTTCTCACGTTAACATTTGTCGCTGTGTTAACCCAAAATAACGAGTTGATTATCATAATAATCTGTTATTACTTGAAATAAATAACTTGATAACAATTAAACTTTCAACACTTTCATATCTCAAGTCAAAGCCTTTAAATCTTGAACCATTTTCATAAATTGTTCAAGACTATTATGACTTTCATCAAATAATTTCAACAATTATTGTTGACATGAAATTCATTCATTTTTAGCTTCATCTTTCATCCTGTCCTAATGATTAACATGACAATAATGATCAAGATTTACCTTACTTTAGTCAACCTGATTTACAAATAGTAACCTTGTTTTACTTTATTTATTTATTTAGTTCACCATTTTTTTCATATTTTTTACCCTAAAAATGTTATTTTTTTTTTACTTCGCCTGGTTTAAGGCCGAATCTGGAGAATCACTTGAAGATATTCAAAAAACGTAGGTAAAGTTTAAATTTATTAATGATTAGGATTATAATTTTATGTGTTCATTGATGATAACCTAAAAAAAGTGAAGACTAATTAAAGGTATGAATGAGGTAAAATTTAAGGGTTGAGTTGTTGGATGAAAAGGTTTAGTTTGGGTCTGGTCATGTAATATGTTAGTAACAAGGCAAAAGCATGAGTTGATTGCAAACATGATTATTAACTCTTTAGTTACCTGTGTTGATTTTGATCGTTTATTGGCTCCGTTGGTTCTGACAGTTGATCTGTTAAATGGTAATGATGATTGTTAGTTGAGAGAATAATAATGAGCCAGAAGATGAAAATGATGATCAACAAGCCTAACCTTCTCATTGGAATGCATATCAAACCATATAAATTGCAACAAATCCTGAGAATCTCATGAATTGTTAAGATAACAGAATGATTATAAAACAAGAGTAACCAAAACTTTTAACTTGTCATAATACAAATGCACGCTTCTTTTTTTTCATCATCATCATCATTAAATTTATTAACAGTAACATTGTAATGAGAGAGAAGTGAAGATGATGCTTTCCTCTTCTTCTTCATCCCTTTTGTTTTGATTATTGACTGTTTCCCTGATTTTAAGTTGGATAAGTGTTTAAGTGAAGGGCAATTTAAAGGTAAATTTAATTTGACTCCAGCAATTAAAGGATAGATGAATAGATGATAAAATGGCCAAGAAAAGGTTAATTGAAGGTAAATGCGATCAAATGTAATTCAAGGTTAGGAACAACCGAAAAAAACTCATTTGTTTTATTTAACTCAATTGTTTGACTTGAATTAAAAGCTACACTTGATTAGCTTTTCCGTATTGTCATTCTGCTAATCTTTCTTTGCTTCAGTTTTATAATGATTTTTTCATCTTCCAAAAAACGTTCAGTGTTTAAATCTAATGATGATGATTCTTTGATAATTAATTGTTAAAAGTTGAATCACTTTTCAATTGGATAATCTTATTTGCTTCGGGTTGTCCCATTCATTGGAGGATCTCTGTCTTGTTAAGCAAAGCCACATTTCAAGATGATTTGACTTAAACATTTTTAGAACGGCTTTTAACAAAGTAAATCAAGAGGTTGCCTATTATCTCAAATTGAATGAACAAATAATTTCAGTCAAGGATTTTTCCGCGTATTTGGTAAAATACTAGTCCAGTTGATCGTCGATACTCAAGATTTTAACTTCTGGAATTCCTTTGGAGAACAGTTCCGTTGGCTGTAAGATAAACGAACAGGAAATTCTGTAAAGCGTGATTTCCAAGTCAAATCCGATATTAGACTAGATTACATTTACAATTGGTAAAGTCAGGTCATCATGGCCATTCTGTATCAACAGGTTATATTGACACTGTTGATGGGCTGGTCTCAGGCTATTGCTTTACCAAGAAATTCCCAAACTTAAACAGCGAAAGCAAATCTTTAAAAAGTAACTGTCTTGGAGCCAGTTTGTTGAACAGGTTTCCGAATATATTCAGTATTAATGATTTCTTCTCATATGGTTAAATGGATGTCCATTCGCCTAGGCTAAGCTTCACGGCCTAAGAAACGATTACTGAGACTTGCCCAAAATAACATCAGCGCTTCTGAATCCAGTTTCGTTTTGGTACAAAGATAGTATCTCGAAAATTGACAATTATTGTCTTTAAAATATGGAGCCATGATAAATTGAAATGCGCTCAATGATCGAACGTGTCATTCATATTATGAAATTTATATTCATGTAGATCTTGAGATAGTTAATAATCAGTTTGAATAATTCATTGGCAGTAAACTTTTTTTTACTATCATCAATTATGACTTATTATCATTTGACTGAGACGAAAGCGACTCCACTCCAGTGATAATGAATTGAAGATGATGGTGATGGCAAAATGATAATCGTTGAATCGTTTCAAGTGAAAAGTCAAAGTTGATCAATTAGAATGACCCACGCAATTGTCTGGGTGACCCTCAAGGCTGTGCATAAAGTGATCCCAAGATGATGGTGAGAATACAGATGATAATAATGGTGATCCTGATGATGATTATGATGGAAGCAAATTTTCAATCCTACGCTGTTCAAATAAATCAAGTGAAAATGGAGACCAAATTGTTTTCCTGAAATATGTACTTTGCCTGTTCACAAAAGATTAAAAAAAATGAAAAGTTAGTTTAAAGTTAATAACAATCATAACTGTTGCTGCAATCAACGGTTTTAAGATTATCTTGAAACATCTCTTCAAGAGCCTCAACTTTTCTCAGATGATTTTTGCTCTTTTTAATGGATTGTTTCTTTTCAGCTTTGATTTTCCATTTTCTTTATAATTATTATTTACCTTGTCTGCCTAAGGTTAAGTGAAATAGATACTTGAAATGGTCAGTTATTCAGTAATTATCTTCATATTTTTTTTAATGAAATCAATTGAGAGACACAAATGTCGAAAAAACATTAGCTGTCTGTATTCATTGAGCAAAACCTATTCTCATGTTACTTTTTGATAGAAATAAATGATATTTATTTCTCTTCTTGTTTTTTACTTAATCTTTCAGGGTCTGATGTTGATTGAGTAATTGCTCAATGTCAACAAAGTCCTTGTTAAATATTAATTTAATTTTGGTAAATGGAAATTGTTCAATTGGCTTTTAAAAGGTTTGATATCAACGCCTATGCTAACCTTTTTGTTGGCTTCTTGTTAATCAACATTTTGAAATAGAGTTTTCAAAATTTCATTAATTATTGCAAATTGAATAGAATATACTTCAACTTACCTTGATTAATCTCTTGTCAGCCAACTGAAAATGTGCCATTTTATCCCATCTATTGAATAATCTGAAAGACAGGGACAAGATTGGGTTAATTTATTAAAAAAGGATTATGAAAAAAAGCATGGATTAAAACCTTTCAAAAAAAGAGTGAGATTTACCTGAAAGTGGATGAAGAGTCAAATAAATGTGTGAATATTCATATTGCATCCAAATTTTGATTTAATTTACTCAAAAATGAAAATAATTAATTATTAATAACATTGAAAAAATTAACCAAAACAAATTGAATAAAAATTAAGATTGGATTCCAAAGCCTGGATTCACAGCTCACTATGACCATCTTTCGGTTGCAAAATAAACTACTGTTAGCAGTTTTATGTTTACCAAGGCTTAAACCTAACATGTAAGCTTTATTTTAATTTTTTATTTCGTTCAAGTTTTTGTTTCTTATTTACTAGCCTTTCTTATTTTTGTGGCTTATTCGAATTCCAAATGTGAATTTAGCATCAGAATGAACTTCATCAAATTTATATTTCGAGGACAAACCTAATGACCCAACTCGAAGGGATATCTTTATAATCAATTTATCATAGACTTCTTATAAAATGGGTAATTATATTTTATTTTGTGTTTGCTTAATCTTAACTGTTGGCTTATAATGACCGTAGAGCGTCAAATTTGATAAGAAATATATTCTTAGATGTGTATGTATTTTAATTCTTATGAGTAAAATTTCGTTACATTGTATTCATGTTTTTGTTAGAAAGATTGTTCCATCAAAACGGAGGTGTTTTTCATGACAATGATTTTGCCTGTATCCCACCTTATGCACTTCCTCCCCAGCCATACATTGGACCAGTTACGGGCATTCGACTGAATTTATCACTTTTGATGTAAGTGTCAATATTTGGAAGAGCTTCAAACTTGGCCAGAAAATTCTTGATCGCAGTATGGTTTTCAATCAAAGAAGCATCGTAAAGTCTGATGTAATCAAAAATTGAATAATTGAAGAAATCAGGATAACTCAACTTTTCACCCAAAACAAAAGGACCAGAACCAAGAAATTTCTCGTATTGAGCCAATTTTGCTGGTACAACTTCAGCAATTTGTTTTTTAGCCTCATCATCATGAGTACGCCATGCAGAGAACAAGAATAACTTAAGTTCAGCAGTAGCCTGTTCAGCCAAATCACACCGAGTTATTTCAGAATCAGAAGCGCCGTTGAATCCATGTTTCCTTCCCAAGTATCTGAGTATAGCTACTGTCTGAAAAGAGCTTACCGATTAGCTTCATAAATAAAGACATAAAGCCAAGGATACTCACCTGAGACAGTTTAACATCATCATCAATGTAATACGGGCAATTGGGAAAATCAAGTCCTAATCCATCTTTTACCGAACGAAATTCATCCTTGGAATACTCAGGAGCTGGACCAATTTTATAAGCTTTAAATTCATAATCAACTCCAGCTTGAGCCAGCAACATCCGAATGGGATCAACAAAACCACGAAGATCCCAATAGCCAAGAATTGGTACCATTTTCACTAGCAAAAATTGTTAACTTTCTTGTTCACTGTTAAACTTATATTGCACAAAAGACAATTTGATTTACTCGAGATTAGTTTTTATAACTGATTCTCAATCAGTCTGCGCTTCAACCAGTAGGTGGGGTGTAAGGAAGTCAGCCTATTTTGTGACGAATAACAATTTCATCACTGCCAACACTATCAAATTATTCATGGTAAATCCTACTAATGTTGCTATTGAATATTATCCTCGCGATATTATCGCCAGCTCTAATTAATTTAATTATAGCTAAGTTATCTGACAAGCTCAAAATGATTACAAATATCTTTAGCTTCATCAATGACGAATAATCATATTATGATAGCAATTGTAAACTCAATCTGATTTGAAGCAAAATAATTCAACAAAATAAGGTTCAACCACAAGACTATCTTCACAATTTAAACAGAGATCAAATGTAAAACCAGTTTTTGTGCATTATTTGCATTATATCTTGTTTACTCAATTTATATTTTAAAGATGTTCAAGTGTGAAAATTGAAACGACAAAAATGACTCTGAATATTCATGAAATCGTTTAATTGATAATATTGGTTACATTTTATTAATTTCAATGTGAACTTGAACCGTCAATCAAAATAGCAATGCTTAAGACTGACATGATTAATCAAGGGCTTAATCGATGTTATCAGCATTTACAGTAAAGTCAATTCAAGTTAAGCAATTAATCTTCGGAAAGCTCAATAAAATCATAAATGTTAAAGACTTTGTTTAACAACACTTGATAAACAAGCTTATCATAATTTAAAATTATCAAATGTTTTGTTCAGTTCCGAGAAATTCGATATTTTATCAATAATTGAGTTGATAAACAATAAAAATTTGTAAAAAAATCGAAAGTTTATTGTTAGCTTGAAACATTTAATTCAGTATTAAAAGAGCATTTTATTGAATAAGTTTTGAATAGACAAGAAAACTTTTACTCTGAACTTTTGGAGACTGGAGTTTCTGTAACTTCTGGTGTTATTTTTTTCAATTCCCAAGCAAATTGACGAGAGATTGGAAGTCGACTGAATTTGTCACTTTTAATGAAAGCATCAACGTTTGGTAAGGCTTCAATTCGGGTGAGAAAATTTTTCAATGAATCAAAATTTTCTAGAAAAGATTCATCGTAAACCCTCAGATAATCAAGGGTTGAATAAACGAGGAAGTCAGAATAAGTGACCTTTTCACCCAAAACAAACGGACCTGAACCAATAAACTTATCAAATTCACTCAATTTTCCAGGTAAATTTTCACTCAAATCTTTTCGAGACGCTTCCTCACCAGCAAACCATGAACGATACAAATAATAAGCCAAATCCTCAGCCGCTTGTTCAGCCAAATCACAGCGAGTCAACTCAGCTTCTTCCGAACCGATCAGTCCATGTTTACGTCCCAAGTATCGAAGGATGGCCATTTTCTGAGCACAACAACGGAATGGACGATTGCAATTAATGGAAGAAAACCCAAATAAATTTCGACCAAAGTCAAATCAAAATTCACTTACCTGAGTCAGCTTGAAATCGCCATCAATGTAATATGGTGAATTGGGAAAGTCGAATCCAAACTCATGTTTTATCGAACGAAATTCATCCTTGGAAAATTCAGGAGCTGGACCAATCTTGTAAACTTTATATTCATAATCAACTCCAGCATGAGCCAATAACAGTCTAATTGGATCAACTAAACCACGGAAATCCCAATAACCGAGAACAGGTGCCATTACAATCAAACGATACTCAATATATCAATTTTTCATCTGAACTTGTTCATCTTCATTCAGACTTTAAATAGTCAGTTTATGTCTAAAAATTTACGTGTAACACCTAATTATAATCTTATCACCGATGGTAATGAGATGCGTCAAGTATTACTCAATGTTGGTTGAAGATTATTTTCATAAACTGAGTTCAATTGAACTCAGCAAATATTCCCATCAGAAAAATGATAATCCAATAAGAATCACATGAAAATCTTAAACAATTACACAACTTGAATGATTTGCAATTTTAATTACCAAATGAAAAATTAAAATAAATTCAACATCAATAACATTAGTGAAGACGCTTTTGACCAACAAGTGAATCCTTTAAGGTTAAACAAATATTGGATCAACTTTTACACCAACAATTGAATCATTGTTTGCAAATCTCGTTTACTTAAAAGGTTAATAATCTTTTGACATCAATCAATGAGTAATCAACTAATTGTCATTCATCTCTAAATGCCATTTGATCAACTGTTCATTTTGATACTAATTTGTCTGGTTCAATGAATATCCGTTTCCTCCGGATTTAGTTTCAATCCTTATTTGTATTCAACTCAATAACACCATAAGCATGATGATACAATGAATCAGCCTTGAATTCAGGTTTAATTAGGAATGGTTCATCCTTGCTCAGGGCGAGTCTATGGTTTTGATTAAAACAATTATGTAAAAAATGGAATTTCAATTTTTAATTGTTTACAACTAATTGTTATGATGGAATCGCTTCAAGGATTTGCTTTTAAATGATTACTTTTGACAATTGATTAAATTGAATTACCTTGAAGCCAATTGAAGGTTTCATGAAACAAAATTAAACGTTTTGTTTGAACAGTTTAAAGTAAATTGCTATCTATTAATTAGTTAATGTCATTTTTGTCGTTTTTATCTTAATCTGATGATTGATTATTGATTAGATGACTTGGCGACAATCAATTAACTTTTCAGTTTAAACAGTTTTCCATTTTAATCCTGTTTTTGTCGCATTTAACTTTCAGTTGACAATTTTAATTGCAATCAAATGAAATTAGCCTTGAATTAAGAAAGTTGCTTCAATTAATAGTTTCATCCACTCACAATTAATGATTGATTTATGATGAAAAACGGAAATAATTTGAATATTCAATAAAGCAAATTGTATCTTAACATTTAGATTTATCGTTGGATTTGATGAAAGTTTGAATGTTTATTTGAACCATTTTCATAGCAATTTGTCAAAAGCTGTAAATCAACTTGTGATTGGATCAATTGCTGTGAAAGATTCCCATTGAATTGCCAAAGGTTGCTCATCTTGATTCCAGAACCGATTGAAAATGTTCTGTTAGTGTGTTCATTCAGAATGATTAATGAATATTGGCTTGCAATTGAGATAAAATAAAGACACATTCAAATTAACTTTTAAATATTTACAATGACAGTCGTTTGTTGAACTGATTTCAATTCAGTTATTTGACTATGAGTTTCAATGAGCTTAAACTGGACTCGTTTCATTTGATGTATCAAAGGCGTATCTGAATCAGGATTATTTTGTGTGAAATGTATTTTTCAATCAAACAGTTAATTAACCTGAGTCTGGTTGTTGATTCGATCTTGATGAACATCTACTTTATCCTTATTTAATCAATGATAATATTTGTTGGTTTGATTCAATAGCTTGTCAGGCCTAAAAGGTTCGATCATCCAGACATCAACAGGTTATTTTGCATAAATGCAAACTTGAAACTATCACTTGCATAGTGACAAATATTAATTGCTTGTATTTTTAACCATTATTAGCATTTTTCAATATTAATTCAAACTTCAAATATATTTGCTCAGCTTATTGAAGCTTGTATCATATTTTTTTACACCAAGCAAGTTCAATGTTCATTATCTGTCTACGGTTGCAGTTTCAATTTATGATAATTGTTATTGTTGATGATAGGAAGATAAGGAGAGAGAGAGAGAGAGAGAAAGATTTAGAAGGAGATTCCATTATAAATATGAAGCTGGACTCAGACAAAAACAGTTTATTGTTTGCTTTTTAAATTGTTGTTTTGTTCATCTTTATTTGCTTTCTTTGTGTTAACCCAAAATGGCACCAGTAATCGGTTATTGGAAACTTCGAGCTCTTGTTGAGCCTATTATACTGACTTTGGAACAAGCTAAAGTGTCCTATGACATTCGAGGCTACAATCTTGGTGATGCTCCTGATTTTGACAAATCAGATTGGCTGAACGAGAAGAACAATTTAGGCCTTGATTACCCCAATTTACCATATTACTTGGATGGAGATCTCAAGATTACTCAGGTAACAAAGCTTCATCATTCTATCTCATTTTCACCTTCAAAATCCATTCATTTTTATACCAATCCTTATTTTAGGTGTTAATTTAAGTATGTCTCAATCTTACGAATATTTCTTGCCATCGAATCAAATTTGAGTATTAAACTGATCAACAGACTAATTCAATTTCAAATCGTGTTATTATTTCAGAAATTACTTCCAAGTCAATTTTATTTCAACAAAGGCGTTATTTCAGTTTCTGGTGAATTCAGTCAAATGAGACTTTTTCCATCACTTTTCAATCTTTTCTCAATCCCCTTTATGCATCATATTGTGTATCACCCGAATCTAACACATCATTTATCACCATAATAGTCATCGGGTGGTGGACAGAAGCCGGTCCGAGTTAGATCAAAGTTGAGATTAAGAACTCATTGAGAAGTCATGATGAAATTATTCAGTTTGTAAATGGAAGAAATGATCAAAACAATTTAGAGATCTTACTCAATGATGTACAATCAGTTTTTTACTATCACAGTTTTTCTTGATAAATATAACTCAGATAGTTGAAGCTTTAATTGGTATTAATCAGGCCTTGATCTTTATTATCTTCATCAAGTTCGCAAGCACTGGAAACATCAGTTATTCATATGTGTTTATTTTCATGGTTCTCATTGATGAAACTTGAATTCCCTTTTCACTTTTTTTGCATTTAATTTGTAATTTAAATTTTGACAAGTCAAGTTTCTGAAGATAGTTGAAGATGTTTTCATCAATTTGAATCAATGATCTTTGCCAATGGTGAATCAAAAACTTGTGTAATTGAAATATTTTTTATCTCCAACAGACTTTGGCAATTCTCCGTTATTTGGCTCGTAAACATGATTTAGGTCCAAAAGATGAACAAGAAACGATCCGATCTGACATGGTTGAGCAAGGCGCTTATGAAGTATTATTGGCACTATTCCGAGCATGGTATGCTTTCAGTGATGAACAGTTTAAACTCAATCTTACACAATTAGTTCCTTATCTGGTTGAGAAGTTGGTTCACACTGAGAACGTTCTTGGTGCAAACAAGTTCATCCTTGGGGATCGAGTTACTTACGTTGACTTTTTGCTCTACTCGACTCTCGACTACATCAGGCTGTTCAAACCTTCCTTGATGGACCCACATGAAAACCTGAAAAGCTATCTGGACCGAATTGAAGCCTTGCCTGAAATTGATAAATATTTGAAAAGCGAAGGTTACAGTCGATTCCCAATCACAGGTACAATGGCCAAATGGGGAAACGTCAAAAGCCACGAGCCATATTGATCAAGCTACTGAAAGCTTTCAAGATTTACATTCCCATGACTCTTATAATAATTTTACAATTGATTTACATCGATAGTGACATTGAAAATGATATCGATTGAAAAGTACATTAAAATATCATCACAATGAATTATTCAAATTTATAAAGTCATTCTTATTATTGCTTGGAAAGTCAGTGATTATAATTACCTACTAAACAATTAACATAAAATTCAGCAACAGAATTGAAAAAAGTAGTCAAGTCAACTTAATAAAATCACAATAGATTGGATAAACAGATGGTTGTCAAGTAATTACACCAAAACCTAGTATATTTGCTTTTTTTGAGTGCAGACATCTAACGTTCAAAAAAATGAAATGAGCAAATTTTTCTTTACGGTGACTGTAAATTACAGTAGTTCACAATAAAATGAGCTCACTTTTGAGTCAAAAGTTTTGACTCATATGAGCAAATTTAATTTTCAGAGACTGTAATTTACAGTCACCGTAAAGAAAAATTACCGGGATAAATTAATTTCTTGCGATCATCTAAACAATTTTAATGAACGATTTTCGATACTGAAAATTGAAAGAACTATTTCGTTTGTCATGAAAATCAAAATTAACTCAAGTGATGGCGATAAAATGGGAACAAAGTACTGTGATTTCAGTTTTTGAGCCAATTGACAATTTTTTTGTTGAAATCTTCAAATTCTTGTACAAATACCGATCATCACTTTATTCACCAAAATCAACAAAATTTGCCAAAATTGAGAATTGAAATTTTTATAATTTTGTCAATATTTATTGAACTTGATTTAATTTAATTTTAACAATAAATTGTTAACCCTGACCAAGGGCGAGATCAGTTAACTTAGAGTCAACTGACTCGAATATTAACGGTTCGAGTCCTGTCGGGTTCTTGTAATCTGTTCAAGATTGCCCGTATTGTACTTTCAACCTTTGAGGGATTATTCTTACGGATTGTATTCGTAAGAATAATCTCACTTTTTTCGAAAAGAAAAATGAAAACTTTTTGATTCTTGAGTTGACCTGAGACTTGGTGAGTTTGTGGAGCCATAAAAGTAAAGTCCATTTGTACAATTCGAATTTTTTATCTATAGTTATTTATGGACGTTTCATTTCAAACATTTTGTACGGTTAAGATTTCATATTTTTAGCTCAAAACTGATTTTTCTAAAGATTTTTCAGACAAAAATGAAATAGTTAAAAATTTTTGTGGGTCGTCAACACTTTGATTAATAATCAAGACATTCTCTGCGAGCGATGCTAATATTAATAGATAAATATTTGAGTTACTCGAATAGTCTGAGCGTTCTTGTGTTAACTTGAATAAACTAGAGACAGCTGGAACTGGATAAAATCAAATCGAGATTAGATAAAAGCTTAAGGTTTCCAATGGTTTACTGATAAAATAAGAAACTGTCTAACCGATTTGCTCTTCATTTGTATCATTGACTTTTTTTAGTAAATTGTTGGCCTTAATTATGAATCCAGTGATTGGTTATTGGACATATCGTGGCAATGTTGAGCCCATCTTGTTGTTACTCAAGCAAGCTGACCAACCCTTTCAAATGAAAACCTACAAACAGGGAGTTGGACGAGATTATCTTGGTATTGAATGGCCAACTGATAAGAAACAGTTGAACTTGTTTTATCCCAACTTGCCTTATATCGTTGATGGAGACATTAAGATAAGTCAGGTAAATGATAATAAAATTGTTGTAACCAGAATCAACCCAAAGTAATTCAATCTCAACCCTTCAACTAACCACAGCCCAGTTTGATGTACACTTTGTATTACATGAAGGTTCATTAATTGTGTCTGTGAATATGAAACCATTAATAAAGTAAAGCTTAATTTAAATTGAAAAGAAAATGATTTCACCCAAATTGGTTGAAACAGATCGATCAATTGTTAGGTGGATCTGAAAGGAGTGACATTGAAAGAGTTGAAGAGTTTTCTTTTTTCAAGGTTATATCTCAGTAAATGATTCAGTGGATCAATAAATCACAGAAAATGTTTAATAATCATTGAACCATTTCTTCCTAGACTTTGGCTATTCTCCGTTATCTGGCTCGTAAACATGATTTAGGGCCAAGAAATGAACTGGAAACAGTCCGATCCGATATCGCTGAACAAGGTGCCTTTGAAATGATGTGTTCATTATGGTCAGCTTGGTACGTTGAGACTAACCAAGAATATGAGAATCGTCGACCTGGTTTGGAGTCTTATTTGGTTGAGAAGTTGGTTCACACTGAGAACGTTCTTGGTTCCAACAAGTTCATCCTCGGTGATAGAGTTACTTACGTTGACTTTTTACTCTACTCAACACTCGACTACATCAGACTGTATAAAGCTTCCTTGCTGGATTCCCATGAAAACCTGAGAAAATTTCTTGACCGAATTGAAGCTTTACCCAAAATCAAACCCTATTTCAATGATGAAAAGTTCACTCGATTCCCAATCATTGGGTCACGAGCCAAGTTTGGTCATTACAAACCAGTTCAGTAACCAAATGAAAGTCGAGGAAAATGTGAAATAAATTATCATTAATAAAGATAGTTCACTGAATTTACAACAATAATTTGATCGATTGTCCTTGTACCGACTATTGTTATAAATAAAACACATCCATCATCATCATTATATTAATTTTGGCGAAACAAAATTTTGGGTTTGTACACATTTCCCATTATCATTATTACCATTGTAAAATGACAATCTCAGAGCAAATATTAGGAGTTTATCATTCAAAGGCTTTTGTGCCAGGTAATAATAGGTGGGAATAGCTTATTGCCACTATTCTCACTGCTCAACCAAAAGCAAAGTTACATCAGATTTGTCTTTAGTATTAGTGAAGTAATATTTCATTGCCATTCACATCATTATAAATCTTTGAGTCAAGTGACTTGCAATTGTCAGTACACTTGTGATTTCAGTTGAAAACAGTTGATTTTCTTCGTTTGTGCCTTTGTTCATTTAACTGTTTAAGCTTTTAACTGTTGTTACTTGGGATTAAATGGCTCCTATTCTCGGTTATTGGAAAATCCGTGGCCTTTGTGACCCAATACGGCTACTTTTGGCTCATACAGGCCAAGAGTATGAGATGAAAGAATACTCAATTGGTCCAGAACCAGGTTATGACATAAGTGAATGGCTCGATGAAAAGTTCAACTTGGGTCTTGATTTTCCCAATTTACCTTATTACATTGATAAAGACGAAGGGGTCAAAATTACTCAGGTATGGTAAACATTTCCTAATACAATTTAATAGTAAATTTGTCACCATCGATTAGTTAATCGTTATTACAGTAAAGGCTGGGAGAATGAGACAATCAAAAAACATCAGATTAATTAATCTTATTAAGTTAGTTTGTATTATCCTAATTTATAATTGACTTGAAACACTCTAGATGATTATTTTGATAACAAATTTCTTTGATTTATAAATACTGTCATCTACCAGATAATGTCAGTAGATTATTCAATAGCCCATCAAACCCTTTGTTTACAATGCAATAAGGAATGTTTTAATTGAAATTGTTAAGATATTATCATGAAAATTGAAAAATCCAACTCAATCAACGATCCTCAGCACAATAAATTTTACTTTCATGATGTTTCTAGCAATTAATTTGATTTTATTTTTTAAATTTTTGCTCAATGAATAGACTTGAATTGATTTTTGAGTTTAATTTTGTTTAAATGCATTCACAGACGGTCGCTATCATCCGCTATTTAGCTCGGAAACATGGATTGGTTGGTGAATCTGATGAAGAGACAATAAAGATTGAAATGGTTGAACAACAAGCAATCGAGTTGACCTTAACTTGCAAACGAGCCTTTTATAGTAAAGATGATGACCAATTTAACCAGTTAAAGGAAGAAATTTTGACCAGTTTCCCAAGGAAGTTGATTGATTTAGCCAAATTTTTGGGTGAAAATCAATACATTATTGGTGATCGTATAACTTATGTTGACTTTATGCTGTGGTCAATACTGGATTACTTACGATTATTTGAAGAGTCGTTGTTTGATGAAGCCAGTTCATTGAAAGATTATTTAACCCGAATTGAATCATTACCTGGCATTGAAAAGTACCGTTCCTCTGATGACTTCAAAAGGCTTCCAATCACTGCACCAATGGCTAAATTTGGTGGTTCAATTGAATAAGAAAGTTATTTTCGACTAAATAATAACAATTAGTAATGATAACATGTAACACACCCAAAATTGTAATGAAAAGATTCACCTTTATTGATCTTAGGTGTGCCTCATCTATGTAAAAGGATGATAAAATAAAGTTCAGTTCAGTTCGAAATCTCACGAAGAAAACTTGAAATTTGTTCATAATAGTGCCCTGAGTGAGGCCGTTTTTGGCGAACTGGCGAAAAACTTGCGATACTTCTTAACGTTTCATCAAGTTTTTTTGTTGCAACTCTTTGCTTGTAAATCATTATTTCAACAAACTATCGATTATCAAAATTTTGTGTCTTGTTAATTATCATCAGTGCATTTTGGCTCCCTTCTGCCTGTCTTCAGCTTTGATTACATTTTTCTTTACTCAGATTCTTTGAAAAATGGAAGATTCTCTCTTTCGATTTAACCTTTTTACTCATTTGTCGTTTTCATGATCTCCCTCTTAATCAACAATGATCTTAACCATTGTCAACTTTGTTGATTGAACTATGTGCTGTTTTGTGTCTATCAACAACTTTGTTTTCTGATTGAACGGTGTTTAACCCAATTTTTTCACTTCGAGAATACACTCATATGGAACATTTAATCATCTCATTTTAAAGTTCTAAAAATCTGGCTCTGTCGTTCGCTTATTGGTCCTGTGCACTTTTGTGCATTGTTTTGTTTTTATCTGAAATTAACAAGGAAAAGGGAAGCTTGTCTGGTTTAGACCTTTAATGAACCTTTTCTCACCTTTTTTGGATCCACTGTTGCTTTAATATCAGGTAACTGTTTTGATGGTCCAATTTCCACCTGAATGGTATCAATAATTAGCAAAGGTGCTGATAATTTGAACAATCAACTTAAATCTTGTTTGCTTTTATTTTGTACTGGTAATATCAAGTGTAACTTACATCATCCGATCTACGAGCAGTATCACAAGGCAAGTGAAAGGTTACACTTTGATTGAAGGTTAATCAACATAGACTATAAAAGCCATCGTTTATATTTGCTTGTATCATCGTTTATTAAATCATTTACATCATCGACATCAACCATCATCAGCTATACTAGTTTCAGTGAACAAGCAAGAGATAATTGAACGCAATTGTGTGATCAAAAAAAACGGTAAATTATACTGTCGCCATACCGTTAACATTACCAAGACGATGAACAAAGAAATTCGTACAAGCTACATGAAGGAACTTAGTTCTATCCAAGCAGAGCTAAAATCTAAAGATGATTCGATAAGGAAATTAACTTTAGTTCTTAGATTTAGAAAAAAAAAGTTAGAAAAGACTGAAGCAAAAATTAAAGAATTAGAAACTTTACTAGCCCAAAAAGTCAAAAAAGAATTTGAAAGTCAAAATATTGTATCCACATCAAACCCTATGCGTGCTGTCAAAGATCCGCATGGAAAATATACCAAATTTACAATTAGATATTTAGATAAAACTTTTCAAATAAATAATATATCACTGAACGATCCCGGTTCCGTCTTGAGACAGAAGATTGAAGAAATGACTAATTGCAAAGTCGGTGCGATCTTTAGAGCAGATCATACATTGCTACATGACAATAAATTACTTAAAAAACATCAGTATTGTTTTAAACCCACAGTAATAACCGCCTTACCTGTAGATTTTCCTGTCACCGAAGGATCAAGGTTAGAGATAAAAATCCTAAGCGTCGGGGAAACAGTTTAAATATTGTAACACACACAAAATTGTAATGAAAGTTTACACCTGCATTGATCTTAGGTGTGCCTTTATCGAAGGAACCATTGTAATTAGATAAAATGTAAAAGGATGATAAAATAAAATTCAGTTAAGTGTGAACTATCACGAAGAAAACTTGAAATTTGTTTCAAAAATACTTTTCATTCCAGCTAATTTGTATTCTTTTGTCTATTAGCTCTTAGATGACACAGAGACTTGTATTCTTATATTGAAGTTTTTATGCTTTTTTCCTATGATGCAAGCTCGAGATCATCTAGTGCAATCGTTCCTAATGATGCTGGATGTTGAAGTCGGGTCATTTCATTATTTTTGAAGTAAAAAAACGGACAGAACAAATTAGAGCATAATGCTTCTACCTGTTCCTGGATTGTTTGCATTTATTAAAAAACTTTTTGCTAACATAATTGTTAAAAATTCTTACAGATGGTAGCACAGGTGTCAGTCGAGTCCACGATTACGGTTAACACTCACGGCTATTGCACTGAAGAGTTCTAGCCAAAAGGTCACCATGGTGGGCGATGAGATGGAATATTGAATGAAAGGTTTGTTTGATCGAGGCTGGCCATTTGAGGCCATAGAAAAAGAAATTAAAAATCATAGAAATCGTTGTACTAAGGACTAAACATTACAGTACTGGTTCCATCGGTTCAAATGTGGCCTCAGACCCGCTGAAAATTCTTACAAGATGTTTTGTTTTGTTCGATGAAGAAATCTAAGAATTGGACAATATCATGTGCAGCTCTAGCTTTGTCTTGGCGGTCAACAAAAGACATCAAAAGAAGTTTTAGTGTAAGTGACTTGGCTTAGAAGATTGGACATTAAACGAAGTGTTGCAAACTTCAAGTAAGAACAATCAATATTTAAAACTTTGATAACTCTGCACCTTGTTTGCTATCATAACTTGAATGGTATAAATGCTCGAGTGAATCAAAAAATCTTGAGTTTTGGTTTCAAGGTAATAATATTTTTGCAGCAGTTTGTTAATAAATCACATACAAAGAAGCTACGAATTGCTATCACAACTTGTGATGTTTTATATCGAAATCTACACAACAAAAACCAATTTATATTTTAATCTGGAAACTTTTATAAATTGAACAATTTAATGAAGTTTCTGCAAGCTAGTGTTCAGCTTGAGTTTATGCGTTTATAAGACACATTAAATTGAAATCATGAGCGCATATTGAACTCGACCAGTGAATATCAAGAGCATAGTTTGGTGTTAACTTTACTGTACTTTTTGAATTCATGCTTGCATATGTATAATAAATTTTCAACAAGAATAAAGCAGAAATTTCATCAGAAAAATAATTTAATTCATATCACTTGATAATGTTTACAACCAAATAGATGTACGTTTGGTTCAAGTGTAAATGAAACATTTACATGACTTTCACGATGAAATACCAGAAATGAAAGCTTATGCATTTGAAATGCCCTTCAATTCAGTTGTATATTTTCCAATAAGCTTGGCTAGAATAAAATAGCAGAGTATTTGAATAGCCAGGACGACCTCACCTGAAATTAATGAGTATTTCTCTGACTTTTCCAATTTATTACCAACGATCTCAATGATTCCAAGCACTTCCACTATTAAACCGAGCACGATATCAATTATGAGAACAATTCGACCGATTTGAAGAATAACTTTCCACTGTCTAAGAATGGCCAGCAACATGATTCCATCGATTAAGAAGCTGAACGAAGTAGAACCAATTCCTACTCCGCTGGATGAAAGTATTCCGTTGATCAATCTGATGACATCCAATACAATGAGGAAAACGAAGATTCGTATTAACCACTTTTTTGAAGAAGAGTTAACTTCGGACGAAATCATATTCTCTGTACTTTCGTGTTTGGTTTGAAGATTCAAATTAGGTTTTAATACAATCAGTTTAAATCGTGTTGAAAGTAAGAAATCACTTGAAAAGTATAATAACAGAATAATAAATGAATGCTTTTTATACAAACTTCAATGTTTAGTTTAACAAACATTATCCCCGCAATGATTGAATCGGTGTTTGACTTATCGAGATTAATTTCTTAGAAATCAATTATTTTTTATAAATTACAATATAAACTGAAATTGTTGATTAGAATTGCCCTTTTGCCCCTTAACTTTGTTCCGCAATTTAAATTATGAAAACGATTGGATCAAAGGTAACAATACTTCTTTGCCGGCTTATAATGGCCATTAACATGAACCCATCGATGACAAGGCTGATGCATGCAGTAATAACTCACGATCCACTGAGTAAAACTATTTCTGTAATCAATCTGATGATATCAAGAGTAACAAATAAAGATTCCGGTCAACCCCGATTTTGAAGTACTAACTTGAATTGGCATCTTTAAAGAGATCCAATGATGTTAAACTGCATATAAAGCTTGGTGCAAAAGTGTTGGGAATCGAACGTAAACAAATTTTAGTTTGGAAATAAAAAGATCACTAGATTGTGATTTTGATTTCCTTAGTTTATCTACTGAAGATGAATTGAGCCCAATTTCAATTTTATGCCTTGCTTCCATCAGATATTCATGATTCAATTCTTACAAACTTGAACTTTATTTATAACTCTATTTTTTCAATGTTAATCATTGTAAATATGGCAATAAACTGATTAATAAAGAAATTGAAACTTATAAATTTCTATTCTTAACCATTCAAAGTGATTATCGATTTGTGTTTGCATTCAAAATGCTGATAAAAACATAATTATTCCCACGAATTTTCCCATTACTTTGTCCTAGCAATCTGTAACGTTAGATTTTAAGGTTAATCTGATCACTTCCTAAAGATTGAAAGAGGCGTCAAAAGGTTAACTAACAAATGCACGCTTTCATCTCATGAGTGTTTGAGGTGAAAACTTGTGCGAACTTAGTGCAAGTATTTGGAATTGAACATTAATATATTTCTGCTTGGTAATAAATAGATCACTCGAAGGTCATAATTAAGTTTAATAGTTTATCTACTGAAGATTATGGCTATTGATTGATTAATGAAGAAATCTTAATTTAAAAATTTCTATTCAAATCAACGTGTCAAAGTGGGTTATCAATTTGAGTTTGTATCAAAATCCTGATAAATCGTCATAATTCATAATTCAAATGAATTTCCCCGATACTTTTGCCCTGAACTTTGTCACAGGTTAATAAGCAATGAAAAGATAAGACAAAATTTCCATGTTGCTAATTCAAGTGAATTTATAACTGCAATGGTTAAATCCGTGCTTGACTTATCGAGATTGATTCCTGAGAAATTATAATTTTGTTTGAAGCTGTTGATTGTTGATTGAAATTTCCCCTTTTGTCCCTCAACTCACTATCTGAGATGATAGAATATTAAAAGGAAATTTTACATTTTTCATTTGAATCTACATGCAAGGTCGACAATTTCACTTACAACTCACTTGTTAATGAATCCAACGAGTTAAAAGTGTCAAAAAATAAATTTTTATTCATAAAAATAAAGTTCTCTGCAATTCATTTAAGACTTCATTTTTGATAAAGATTGCCTTTTGTTCAGCCAAATCGGCAGCGGTTATGAAACTTGCAACGATGAACATGATTTAACAAATTGTTTAAAACAAGTTGCTTGTCCATCAACCCAATTCAATGAGAACACAAATTTCTCATCATTTTTAAGTCCAATTAACATAATAATAACTAAAAGCTCAAAAAAGTCTACTAAGTTCGCAGATTCCAAGCACAGCTACGTTTATCGTAAAAATTATTGATATTCTATCTAGACATTTTTCAATAACAGGCCTCCACTGTCTGGTGATGACCATCAACATGATTCAATTGATAGCAAGGCTGAATGTAGATAAAGCAATTCCTGCGGCATTTGAATACACCAACGATGTACAAACACTGTGACACTCACAAGCTGTCAGTATTATTAGGAAACTATAAAGTCAACTCAATATTGTTTTTGTTGTTATGATAGACTCAGGATAGGTTTAAACATCTTTCTTACTTTTAAAGTTTCAAGTTTCAAATGGTTCACTGTGGACATTTATTGTTGATCTTAACCAATATTTTCTAATGCAAGGGAATCAAGTGTTGGGGTTGCAACAACAACCTTTGTATTATATTTGCTCGTCTAATTTGATTAACTATTTCCACCTTTACCTTGATTTCAGATAATTTTGCCAGAAATAAACCTTGACACCCTTGAGTCCATTGAAAATTTCTGCAGCGTTGTAAAGTAACAAGAAGCTTATTTTGACGAGACAAATGTAGTAGGCTGAATAATAAATGAGCCATTGATTAAAAATATGAAGAGTTGAATCTAAAGCTATTTTAATGTATAAATTTGCAATCGGTACGGTTTTAAATATCATTAAGTTGAATTAATTGCAATGATTATTATAAGAGTTTAATGAAGACATTTATTAAAGTTTGTATAAGCTTGATCAATATGGCTTTTGAATTGTGTCATTTCCCCATTTGGCTGTTGCATCTGTGATTGGGAATCGACTGAAACTGTTGCTCTTCAAATATTTATTGATCTCAGGCAAGGCTTCGATTCGGTCCAAATAGCTTCTCAGGTTTGCATGTGGATCCAGCAAAGAAGGTTTATACTGTCTGATGTAGTCGAGTGTCGAGTAGAGCAAAAAGTCAACGTAAGTAACTCGATCGCCGAGGATGAACTTGTTTGAACCAAAAGCGTTTCCAGTGTGATTCAACTTCTCAACCAAATAAGAATCCAAACCAGGTCGACGATCCTCAAATTCCTGGTCACTCTCAACGTACCAAGCTGTCCATAGTGAATGAGTTATTTCAAAAGCACCTTGTTCGAAGATATCGGATCGAATGGATTCCGAGTCATTTCTTGGTCCTAAATCGTGTTTACGAGCCAGATAATGGAGAATAGCCAAAGTCTAGAAAGAGATTGTTCAATGATGATTAAATTTAACATTTTCTGTAATTTATTGATTTATTGCTGAAATTGAGTTTTTGAAAGTCGATGTTTTACATGAAAACTGAGAGGTACGATGAAAGCTTAACTTACTAGAGGCTTCAAATCAAACAATATTATGTTTCATTTGCAAGGTTTGACCATTGAATGAAATCTACATCAATCTATGAAAAATGTTTGATAATTTTTGCCTTTAACGAAACTTAATAATTTCATTATGACTTGAATGAATCTGAACGATAGACATGCTTTTTATCACCACATACACTTATCCACCACTTTTTCATTCTTCTTCACCCTAATATCTACCATAAAGTCCGCCACCCAAATAGACAAATCGGATAATCAGTATAATGATGGATGTGTTGGATTTGGGTGGTGGGCAAAAGGGTGGACAACGGTGAAAAGAGGTGGTGGAAAAAGTCGATTGCATTTGACTAACTCTCATTTTGATAAATCTGCTGATCAAATTTGAATCGATGGCAAGAAGTATTCGTGATATGTTCAAAATAACACCTAAAACAAGGATTGATATTAAAATGAAAGGATGTTGATGGTGGAAATGAAGCAGAATGATGAAGCTTTGTTACCTGAGTAATCTTGAGATCTCCATCAATGTAATATGGTAAATTAGGGTAAGGAAGACCCAAATTGTGCTTCTCATTGAGCCAATCTGATTTGTCAAAGTCAGGAGCATCACCGAGTTTGTAGACACGCAATTTGTACGAGGCTTTAGCTTGTTTCAAAGTCAGTATAATAGGCTCAACAGCACCTCGAAGGTTCCAATAACCGATAACTGGTGCCATTTTGGGTTGACACGAAAGAAAAGGAAAGATGCGCAAAATAACACTTCAACAAGTAAACAATAAACTTAATTTGTCTGAATCCAACTCCACGTTACTTCACATTTATATTGAAATCTATTCCTGACTCTCTCTCTCTCTCATTTCTCTCCTTATCTTTCCTCCATCAACAATACTTATTATCGTAAATTGAAGTTCTGTGGAAGGAGATTTCTAGATGACTCAATATCAACACGCTTTCATAACAGCTTTTTTTGATAAAATGTAACTCAGATAATTGCAATTGATTTGGTGAACATTTAATCAACCTCGATCTTTACTATCTACATCAAGTGAACAAGTTAAAACACCAATTATACAGAATTGTATCTTTTCATGGTATTATCATGTCAGATTAATTGTTATACAAATTGAAACCCCATGGAAGGTCTCCAGATGACTCAATATCAACACGTTTTCATTTTTATCATGGCAGGTTTTCTTGATAAAATGTAACTCAAGTCTGCAGACGTCTATCTTTTCATGGTAATATTATGTAAAGATAAATTGTCGTGTGGATCTAAAAGGAGTTACATTTGAAGATTGATTTGTTTTCTTTTTTCAAGGTTATATCATGGTAAAATGATTCAGTTGATAAATAAATCACGGGAATCAAGGTTCTCTAAGAAGTACTCGGAATGAACTCAAATTAATGTACAACAATTAATGTATAACAGCTTTTTAAAGGGATGTTTACAAAATTAAGGCGGGATAAAATGGGTTATGGGCCTTATCTTAAGCTAAATAAGCTGAAAATAAATACAAATGTAAAGATGCTATTTTTTGTTTCAAAAAAAAGGAAAGGAATAATCAGCCTGATTGAAATGATACAGAGCAATGGTTAATTGATTGTTGTTGATTAACGGGTAGTGGTTGATGATAATTATCGTTGTTAAGAGATGTTGATAGTTGGGTCGTCAGTGCGGATGAAGCGGTCGTCAGTGCAGAATTGTGGCAAAAATTAGTGGCTAACGTTTAATTAATGTAAATAGCTAACAAAATTAGATACCGAAGACAGCTAAATTTCAACTAGCTCGAGCTATTAAGCAATTAAATGGCTGAATTTGGCTGGAATCATTCAGAAAAACGAATTTAATAAGTTCTTTTTTGAAATCTTCTGAAAAAAACCGTTGTAAAAAAGTTCTTAAATAAAACTTTTTTGGCTCGAGATGGCTCGAACTAGACCCATTTCGAGTCAATTCTAGCCATTAAAATTTCAGCTTGGCTTGGCATCCTTTCTAAGTGGCTCGTTTCTGGCTCAGTTTGACTGGCTTCGGCATCTAAACAAAATCAAATTACTTGTAAGAAAAGCTTACAGATCAACATTATAAAGCACAAGATTATTGTGTTAAAATTTTTTAAAATATTCAATTTTCTTAATAATATGAATGAAAGTTTTTCTCTATTCAAAAGTAAGGAAAAGTAACCTCTAACCTTTAACGGGTTTTGTTTCCTTCTTACTAGAGTCACCTACCAGATAATACACATAAAATTTTCAATAGCCCCTATTAAGGGAGAGTAATATCTTCTTTTCATTCGAATTTCGATTCTTTAATTATCAATTGGCTCAATTCAATTTTGCTTTCCATCAAACCGAAAAATCTCAAAATCAGTTTCAAGCAACATTTTTGCCTAAATTTGATCTATTAAGGAAGATTGAAAATCATGAATTACGCTGACCGACTAATAGTGTGAATAAGCTATTTTACGAGTGGTGCAGTATCTGGTTACCAGATTCTGGTAGGTGGGAACGAGACGACATCTCAGATCTACACTGTTCCCGTGCAGTCTACTACAGTGAGTTGACGCTTATTTTGACAAAAAGTCATCTATGTATTAATGTCGCAACAGAAGCCACAGCTTAAGTGCTAGGATGGTTCAATTGTCTTAACATTGGTTTAAGGCGATAATTCGTCAAGATAACTAATAATAACTAAGATAATTCGTTAAGTGTAACGTAACTGCACATGGTGGGGATAAAGTTTCTAGTGGGGAAAGTAAAGTATTATGCGCAAAGATTACACTTGATTTGATAAACAAAACAAAAAGGGATAACTACGCATTTGCAGACAGTCCTAATAAAAGTGAGAAAGAGGTTCAGGAGATTTCATTATAAATGTGAAGCTGGATTCAGACAAAAACAGTTTCTTGTTTACTTTAAAAATTGTTATTTTGCTCATCTTTACTTGTTTTTTTAGTGTTGGCCCGAAATGGCACCAGTCATCGGTTATTTTAGAGTCCGAGGTGTTGGTGAACCTATTATACTGACTTTGAAACAAGCTAAAGCGGCGTATAATTTGCGTATCTACAAGCTTGGTGATGCTCCTGATTACGACAAATCGGAGTGGCTCAATGAGAAGTACAAATTAGGCCTTGATTTTCCTAATGTACCATATTACATAGATGGAGACATCAAGATTACTCAGGTAACAAATCTTGTTGATTCTGCTTCATTTTCAACATCAGCATCCATTCATTTTTGTACCAATCCTTTTTTAGGTTTTATTTTGATTCATGCATATTTTACGAATTTTTCTTGCAATTGATTCTTGATTCAATACCAAGCCAAGATATTATTACGGAAATTGATTTCAAGCAATTTTACTTTCATAAAAGTTTTTTTAGTTTTAGTAAAGTTAATCAAATGAGATCGACTTTTTTCCATCACTTTGCAATTTTCACATTTTTTCACCGTTATCCACCATATTGTGCACCATCCGAATCTGACACATCCATTATACTGGTCATCCGATTTGTGGCTTTGGGTGGTGAACATTATGGGGATAATAGGGTGAATAAGTTATTTAAAAAGTGATGGATAAAGTTGGTGGAAGGCAGTCCCAGTCAAATCAAAGTTGTGAGGGAAAATGCATTGGAAAGTCATGATGAAGTTATTCAGTTTTATTGGAGCCAGAAAATAGTCAAAACAGTTTTAGGGATTTTATTCAATGTACAGTACGATTGTAAATAAAAAAATAGATGATTTAATGTGAAGCCTCCAGTATGAAAAGCATTTCATCACGTTTCTCAGTTTTCATGGCATTGAGTCTGCAATCATGTAACAGAACATAAACTTTTTATAAACCTAGACTATCAAAAAGTCAATTCCAGTGGATCAATAAATCACAGAAATATATTAATTCAATTTTCATTGAACCATTTATTCCTAGAGTTTGGCAATTCTTCGACATGTGGGTCGTGTAAATGATTTGGCACCACGGACAGAACTGGAAACAATAAGATCAGATATCTTTGAACAAGGTGCTTTTGAAATATTGGATTCATGTTGGCCAACTTGGTATGCTAAAAGTGACCAGGAATTTGAGGAGCGTCGACCTGGTTTGGTGTCGTATCTGGTTGAGAAGTTGACTCACACTTCAAATGCTCTTGGGTCAAACAAGTTCGTCCTCGGTGATCGAGTTACTTACGTTGACTTTTTACTCTATTCGACACTCGACTACATCAGACTGTTTAAACCTTCCTTGCTTGATCCACATGCAAACCTGAAACAATTTCTTGACCGAATTGAAGCCTTGCCTGAAATCAATAAATATCTGAAAAGCGAGGATTACTACCGATTCCCAATCACAGGTACAATGTCCAAATGGGGAAATGCCAAAAGCCACGAGCCATACTGATCAAGCTTCTTCAATCCGTCTAGCTTAGTTCATTATTAATGTTATTGTAAATGGCATTGAGTGAAAAGTACATTTAAAATCATTAAACTCTTCCAATTTGTAAAGTCAATCTTTAATTTATTGTACAGTCTGCTCCAATGATTTGGCGCTTATTTCGACAAATGAATCAGAACCATCCAGACAAAATCAGTTTATTGTTGTTTGAACTAATCTATAAATTCAAATCAATTCATGTTGTACATTGAACTTGAATGGTGTGAAAAATCATGAGACAAATTTTCAGCGAGATTAAAGCGAGAAATTAAAAACTAAATTTGTTTCTACTCACAGGGAATGTTTTTTTGCCTCGAGCATGAACTTTCTGTACTTTGACGTCAAGCTTATTTTGACAAAACATACGCGCCATCCATTAAATTATCCAAAAATCAATTGTTACCTTTACATCTTTAACCACTGAGCTACACTTAAATTTATTAATTTATTTTCAGCAATTTTCAAATATAGTTAGAGCTAAAATTCCCAAATTTTAAACCCAAATATCTCAGGGACCACTCAACTCACACGAAAAACTCTCGACAGTTTTTCATAACTCAATTTGCTCTATCAATTGTCACTAGTCTCGTCCAAATCGGTTCTGAACATAGCCTTTAGTTCCCTTGTGAATAATATAATAAATGATAAGATTGATTAAGATTAAGTAGAGTTTTGAATCATATTTTAATGTAACGTATGTATTTTAATTCTTTTCTCTTGTAATTCTCTTTCTCGTTTTTCATCTCGATCTTGTACGATCATAAAAACAAAGAAAAAGAAAAGGCATTAATAATTCCAATAGATAAAGTATCTCCAAAAATATCGAATAAGTGTTTTATTAGAGTTTAATGAAGACATTTATTAAAGCTTGTAGCTTGATCAATATGGCTTTTGAATTGTGTCATTTCCCCATTTGGCTGTTGCATCTGTGATTGGGAATCGACTGAAACTGTTGCTCTTCAAATATTTATTGATTTCGGGCAAGCCTTCGATTCGGTCCAGATAGCTTTTCAGGTTTGCATATGGATCCAGTAAGGAAGGTTTATACTGTCTGATGTAGTCGAGTGTCGAGTATAGCAAAAAGTCAACGAAAGTAACTCGATCACCGAGGATGAACTTGTTTGAACCAAAAGCGTTTCCAGTGTGATTCAACTTTTCAACCAAATAAGAATCCAAACCAAGTCGACGATCCTCAAATTCCTGGTCACTCTCAACGTACCAAGCTGTCCATAGTGAATGAGTTATTTCAAAAGCACCTTGTTCGAAGATATCGGATCGAATGGATTCCAGGGCATTTCTTGGTCCTAAATCGTGTTTACGAGCCAGATAATGGAGAATAGCCAAAGTCTAGAAAGACATGGTTTAGATGGTAAGTTAAGCATCGAAATTTCGTGATTAAACGAATAATGATATGATATTATGTTGATAGTTCACGTTTTACACTAAGGTGTTTTATTAGATGTTTATGCCATGAAAACTGAGAAGCAGATGAAATGCCTTTCATGCTACAGGTTTCAGCTCAAAATATCTTTTTGTTTTCATTTTCAAGGCTTGGTCAGGACTGGCCACCAGGATCCACCACTTTTTAAATAACCTTTTTCACCATATTATCAACTATAATGTTCATCACCCAAAGCCACAAATCGGATGACCAGTATAATGGATGTGTCAGATTCGGATGGTGTACAATATGGTGGATAAAGGTGATTGAGGAAAGTTATGGTAAAAGTCGATCTCATTTGACTTACTCTCATTTTGATAAATCTGCTGATCAAATTTGAATCGATGGCAAGAAGTATTCGTGATATGTTCAAAATAACACCTAAAACAAGGATTGATATTAAAATGAAAGGATGTTGATGGTGGAAATGAAGCAGAATGATGAAGCTTTGTTACCTGAGTAATCTTGAGATCTCCATCAATGTAATATGGTAAATTAGGGTAAGGAAGACCCAAATTGTGCTTCTCATTGAGCCAATCTGATTTGTCAAAGTCAGGAGCATCACCGAGTTTGTAGACACGCAATTTGTACGAGGCTTTAGCTTGTTTCAAAGTCAGTATAATAGGCTCAACAGCACCTCGAAGGTTCCAATAACCGATAACTGGTGCCATTTTGGGTTGACACGAAAGAAAAGGAAAGATGCGCAAAATAACACTTCAACAAGTAAACAATAAACTTAATTTGTCTGAATCCAACTCCACGTTACTTCACATTTATATTGAAATCTATTCCTGACTCTCTCTCTCCTTTCCCTTTTTATCTTCCCTCCATCAACAATACTTATTATCAAGAATAAAAACCCCATGGAAGGAGATCTCCAGATCACTTAACAACACGTTTTTATAACAGCTTTGCTGGATAAAATGTACCTCAGATAATTGAAATTGATCTGTGAACATTTAATCAACCTGATCTTTACTATTATATCTTCACCAAATGCACAAGGAGTAAACATCAGTTCTGCAGAAGTCTATCTTTCATGATATTATCGTGTAAAGATTAAGGTAAACACACGTGTGGATCTAAATGGTTAAATTTAATCAGTTAAATTTTATCAATCATGAATAACATTTTATCATGCTTTTCGTTTATCCCAGCTTTGTCAATAGTCCTCAATAATCTTATAAGTTATAAAAAACACTCTTTAGGATAAAACAATAACTGTTTTACTTATATTAATAAGTTATTATAACATATAACATTATTTTTTGATAAAATGTAATTCAGAATTGTAAGATAATGGTGACAATTAATCAAATCTTGATCTGTGTTATGTCTATCACGTTACTTGAGCGTTGTTTGAAAGGAGTCAGTCAGAAGGAGATTTCATTATAAATGTGATTTCGGATTCAATGAAATTCAGTTTATTGTTCGATTGTTGAATTGTTATTTTGCTCATCTTTACTCTCTTTTGTGTTAACCCAAAATGGCCCCCCTAATCGGTTATTGGAATGTTCGAGGTAATCTTGAGTCAATTATACTGACTTTGAAACAAGCTAAAGTATCGTTTAAAGTTCGTCGCTACAAACTCGGTGATGCTCCTGACTTTGACAAATCAGATTGGCTCAATGAGAAGTACAAATTAGGCCTTGATTACCCTAATGTGCCATATTACATCGACGGAGACATCAAGATTACTCAGGTAACAAATCTTAATGATTCTGCTTCATTTTTATACCAATCTTTATTTTAGGCGTTATTTTGAGTATATGAATATTTCTTACCTTCTAATCAAATTTCAATCCTAAATTCCCAAGCCCAATCTTTATTACTGAGATTAACGACAAATGAAATGAATAAGATTATTCTCCGATTGATTTAAATTGAAATACATGTATCTTTCATTTTAAACAGACTTTGGCTATTCTCCGTTATCTGGCTCGTAAACATGATTTAGGACCGAGAAATGACGCGGAAGCAATCCGATCTGATATCGTTGAGCAAGGTATCTTCGAAATGATGAATTCGTTATGGACAGCTACACATGTTGAGACTGACCAAGAATTTGAGAAGTGTCGACCTGGTTTTGAGACTTATCTGGTTGAGAAGTTGGCTCATACTGCAAACGTTCTTGGATCAAACAAGTTTGTCCTCGGTGATCGAGTTACTTACGTTGACTTTTTGCTCTACACGACACTCGATTACATCAGACTGTTTAAACCTTCCTCAATCGATCCACATGCAAACCTGAAAAGCTATCTGGACCGAATTGAAGCCTTGCCTGAAATCAATAAATATTATAAAAGCGAAGGTTTCAGTAGATTCCCGATTACATATGAAATTGCCAAATGGGGAAATTTGGAAAAAAACGCACCATTTTGAGCAAACTTCTTTAAGATGACACTCTTATAAGCGAACCGCAAACATGCTTTGAGCAAATTACAGTGATTACCAAAGAGTAGAAGAAAAGGATTCACTCAATGGGACCTTCAGGTCTTTGGGTCTTAACTTTATCCTGCTTAAACAGGTGACATTAAACTCAATACAATCTGGTTTGCTTTTGATAACTGTTAAATATTTCCGATAATTGTCTCAATTGTATCAAATCATTTTTTCAAGTCAGAGCCAACTGTGTAAGCAGAAAAGTAAAAAACCAAGAGATCTTTTGGGTTTGTATTAGGTGAGCTCTCTTGTTGTACTCTTTGAAATTGTATTTGAAAAACTATTATAAACTAAAGAATTTAAAATGAATAAACTGATTTAGAAATGTTTAAGCTGCAATTTTAACGGATTGCATCCGAAATGGTATCAGAAGATTGCAAAAATTACCATAAAAACATGATGAAATACATTCCACTTTGTATTCAGAAAATTGTTATTGAAAATTAAAATACATAGATCTTTTCTTTCGGAAAAAAGGTTAAGAGGAATGGAACCTGAGCAATGTTAACTTGCCTGTTTCAAACCTTTTCTTAATCCGGATTAAAAACCGACTTTTTCAAACGGAAAAACTGGTGAATTCGGTAAGAAAACTCTGTATGAAAAGTTTACAAAATTGGATGAAGTTTGAAATCAAGATTACCTCTAAATCAATTGCCAACTCTTTAGCTTAAATGTTACGTTAAGACAGAGTAGGCTACAATCAGAGATATTCAATTATACAATTTTGAAGAAAATAAACATTTATTAAGTCAAAAATTGGATAATGCGACCCTTCCTTTGTTTCTCATCATCGATCTCAAAATGTTTACACCACTTGATTGAAATTTGAGACAGAATCTTACAGCCACTACATTCCAATCTTGAGACAATTTTCTTAGTTCTGAAAAATAGGATTAGTTTGATCACCATAACTTCGTTATTACTTGTTTTTACTTGAATAAACTAGAGACAGCTGGAACTGGATAAAATCAAATCGAGATTAGATAAAAGCTTAAGGTTTCCAATGGTTTACTGATAAAATAAGAAACTGTCTAACCGATTTGCTCTTCATTTGTATCATTGACTTTTTTTAGTAAATTGTTGGCCTTAATTATGAATCCAGTGATTGGTTATTGGACATATCGTGGCAATGTTGAGCCCATCTTGTTGTTACTCAAACAAGCTGACCAACCCCTCCAAATGAAAACCTACAAACAGGGAGTTGGACGAGATTATCTTGGTATTGAATGGCCAACTGATAAGAAACAGTTGAACTTGTTTTATCCCAACTTGCCTTATATCGTTGATGGAGACATTAAGATAAGTCAGGTAAATGATAATAAAATTGTTGTAACCAGAATCAACCCAAAGTAATTCAATCTCAACCCTTTAACCAACCACAGCCCAATTTGATGTACACTTTGTATTACATGAAGGTTCATTAATTGTGTCTGTGAATATGAAACCATTAATAAAGTAAAGCTTAACATAAATTGAAAAGAAAATGATTTAACCCAAATTGGTTGAAACAGATCGATCAATTGTTAGGTGGATCTGAAAAGAGTGACATTGAAAGAGTTGATTCGTTTTCTTTTTTCAAGGTTATATCTCAGTAAATGATTCAGTGGATCAATAAATCACAGAAAATGTTTAATAATCATTGAACCATTTCTTCCTAGACTTTGGCTATTCTCCGTTATCTGGCTCGTAAACATGATTTAGGACCAAGAAATGAACTGGAAACAATCCGATCCGATATTGCTGAACAAGGTGCCTTTGAAATGATGTGTTCATTATGGTCAGCTTGGTACGTTGAGACTAACCAAGAATATGAGAATCGTCGACCTGGTTTGGAGTCTTATTTGGTTGAGAAGTTGGTTCACACCGAGGACGTTCTTGATTCCAACAAATTCATCCTCGGTGATCGAGTTACTTACGTTGACTTTTTACTCTACTCAACACTCGACTACATCAGACTGTATAAAGCTTCCTTGCTGGATTCCCATGAAAACCTGAGAAAATTTCTTGACCGAATTGAAGCTTTGCCCAAAATTAAACCCTATTTCGACGATGAAAATTTCACTCGATTCCCAATCATTGGATCGCGAGCCAAGTTTGGTCATTACAAACCAGTTGTTTAATTGGTAAAACCTTAAAATCTATACAAAATATCCATTCTCTGTTAATTAATGTTAATTATCAAATATAATGTTGTTTAAAAAACGTACATGCAATGGTTAATAAACAGTTAATGAAATCAATGGGATCGATCCAAAATTAACAGTTTCGTAACCAAAATGTATGAAAGTCGAGGAAAAACGTGAAAAAATTATCATTATATTAATAAAGGTAGTTTACTGAATTTAGAACAATAATTTGATCGATTGACCTTCGAATACATTATAAACAAAACTCGATCTAGCATCATTATGTTAATTTTCGAGAAACAAAATTTTGGGTTTGCACACATTTGCCACTATTATTATTATTATTAAAATGACAATCTCAAAGTAAGGTCTGCCTTTGGGAGTTTGTCAGTCAAAAGCTAGAGTTATATCTTTGAGTCAATTGACTTACAATTGTTATTACATTTGTGGTTTCACTTGAAAACAGTTGATTTTCGTCTTTTGTGTCGTTTTTCATTTCCCTATTCAAGCAGCTAATTGTTAATTGTTGATTCTATGGCTCCTATTCTCGGTTATTGGAAACTCCGTGGTCTTGGTGAACCAATACGGCTACTTTTGGCTCACACTGGTCAAGAGTATGAGATGAAAGAGTACTCATTTGGTCCAGAACCAGACTATGATAAAAGTGAATGGCTCGATGAAAAGTTCAACTTGGGTCTTGATTTTCCCAATTTACCTTATTACATTGATGAAGAGGAAGGTGTCAAAATGACTCAGGTAAAGTAATCATTTTCTAATAATACAATTAAATAGCAGATTTGGAATGACTTGTTTGGAACAACCATTGATTAGTTAATCGTTAATCTGTAACCAGATGGGTAACCAGAAAATGCACTTTTTTCGTGAAAAAATTTTTTGTGTTCTTTACAATAAAGATCACTTCGATTTTCAGTTGAACCTTCGCCATTCTGTGAACATAGAGAGATTCTGTTAGAGAGCTTAAACTTATTATATTATTTATTGATTAAAGTTGTTGATACACTTCAATGATCGAAAAAAATTTCAATTTATAAACAGTTCTCTTGATATCGGCCATTGACTCAAAACTTTGGATATCAATATTTCGAGAATATTAGTCCCTACAGTTACCATTCTTTCAAAAATTATTAGATTTTATTATGGACTATAATCAATTGAATAATCATTCAAGACCATACAACTAAAGTTAAATTAAATTTCATTGATCAACAGATTCCCTTTGGTTCTCCGTCATGTTTTGGTTTATTCTGGTCGTTTATTTACAATGTTACTTATACTCATTTATATGTATTACATGTAATATTTAATGTCATAATAATAAAGCTAAATAATACCGCGATTCTTAGCTTTAGGGATTTACAAAAAATACCAAAATGCAAACAAGCAACCAAAACGACGAAAATAAACCAAAACATGACGGAAAATCAAAGGGAATCTATTGATCAATGAAATTTAATTTAACTTTATGTATCGATTCATCTGATGATTTTTGAGTTTAATTTTGTTTAAATGCATTCACAGACGGTCGCTATCATCCGTTATTTAGCTCGGAAACATGGATTGGTTGGTGAATCTGATGAAGAGACAATAAAGATTGAAATGGTTGAACAACAAGCAATCGAGTTGATCTTCACTTGCACCCGAACCTGGTATTGTAGAGATGATGACCTTTTTGACAAGTTAAAGGAAGAAATGATGACCATTTTACCAGGAAAGTTGATTGGTTTAGCCAAATTTTTGGGTGAAAATCAATACATTATTGGTGATCGTATAACTTATGTTGACTTTATGCTGTATTCAATACTGGATTACATCCGATTATTTGAAGAGTCATTGTTTGATGAAGCCAGTTCATTGAAAGATTATTTAACTCGAATTGAATCATTACCTGAAATTGAAAAGTACCTTTCCTCTGATGACTTCAAAAGGTTTCCAATCACTGGACCAATGGCTAAATTTGGTGGTTCAAGTGAATAACAAAAGTTATTTCAGCTAAATAATTATAACATACTTTTTATTGACCAAAACATTTCATCAACAAAAGATTCGATTTACATTTGATTCGTTAGTAACCGAAAAGAAAGGATACATTTCATGGTTAATCTACTTTTGGCTTTGCAAATAATTGTAATCAAAATATCAATAATCTATAATAGTTGATTGTATTCCATGTTAGATTGCTTTAATTTACAGATTGGTTTGCATTCCATATAAAAAGTGTGATATCCATTCTGGTAATTGTTCAATTGAACCCTTATTTAACTGCTTAAATCATTGTATTCCAAACATATTGTTGTTGCTCTAATCCATTGAAATTAACGGTTCCACTGAATAAAATAAAAGCTTTCAGTTTATTTCAAAATAATCTCAAGGTAATTCAGTTTATCAATTGTGAAATTATTCATTATTAACATCATCGGGCTTAGCTCATCTTTATTTTGCTGCCTTCCATCTTCAATTGATTATCTATGGTCATTCAATTAAGGCTGGAAATTAAATTACATAATTTTTTCTAAGCAAATTATGTTATTGTTATGTTGTGCAAATCAGGTAATAAAGTCTATTCATTGATTTGCCTTTGCTCAGTTAAAATAGACCACAAATTACTAGTTAATCAACCTTGATTTATCAAGGTTAAAAGATAATTAATTCACCATCATTGCTGATTTGACTGAAATAATAGTCATTTTACGTGTAAACAAATGAGCGCAAATAAGGATTTGAATAGTGGTGATGATCAAGGAAACGGATATCATCATCAATTGAATTTAGTCCAGACAGATTGAAGTCATTAATATAACGGTTGATTAAATAAACTTTACTTTGTTGATTAAATTACTGTTAACAAACCTCAATGTCTATCTAGATTGAACGTACAACTTGAATCAACACAAAACTAGAAATTTCAAAAAACGTTCTTCATGAAAATTTACTTTGTTAGGGTTTTGGTTGAGTCAATCATTAATTTAATAACATTTGTATGAATTAGAATGATTTAAGCTAAAGATTAGGGCAAATAAAATTATCAATTAATTTACTTTAGTTGCTCATGGTACATTGAAATCTACTTTTAAAGTGAATTTAATCTAAACGTTGATTAGTCTTGTAAAATATTAAAGAAAATGCTGATTTAATTTAAATAGACTGTTTGAGAAAGGTTTAAATGATTATCCCGTATTATATTCCTGGTTTAATGAGAGAAACAAGTGGTTGTAACAAATTAGATGCCATCAATCATTCTAGAAATATTTTTAATAATTTAATTTTTGGATCTAGTTGATGAAATGTAATTTACATATCTTTGATAAGGAGAAATGAAATTAGAAGATACTTTTTTAACAAGTTCAGGTCTTTTTATCGTGGTTGAACTCTGGAAAAAGTCTAAAAGAGGAGAAGATAAATTTTCGGTAGATTTTGACGAGAGTTTAGCAGATATCTCAGAGTAATCAATATCATCACCTAAAACAAAACAAAAAAATAAATTAGAATGACTTCAAAATTGAAAAATAAATCAAATACCTTTTCCATCTTTGAGTAGAGTATTTAAGCTTTGAGAGTCACTCGTGTAAATAAGATCATGTCGAGGATGAATTAAACTATCATAATCAAGACATCGGGTTGAAATTATTCGCTGGAACGGAACTGGGGTTGAAAAAACTTTATTCTGTAAGAGAAAAGTGAGAGGAAATTAGTCTTATAGTTTATACGCACAAAAAAGTAACTACATACCTCAATAGGAATATCTCTAGCTTTCAAGATGATGTGATGCAATTCGTTTAATTGTTGTTTGACAATCGGAGGAATGGGATTACAGCAAGCCAAAATTCCTTGTTGCTCTCTAAAGTTAAAAATTAAAAATAAAAGTGAGTCAAAATTCAAATTTAATGATATTGCAAACAACAAGAATATTACCTAGGAAGTACGTCAGATATTTGAAGCATCATATGGTTAGGAAGAATATACCTGAAAAAATAAAATCATCATGTTAATAATTCGATCGAATTGGAAATCAAATAATAAATTATAATGAATCAAAACTTGCCCTGTACTCTCGTCTTCTAATCTAGCAAGTTTGTCTCGCCACGCATATATTTCTTTGAGTGCATATAATTGTCTAGGATTTAGAGATGCCGTTGAACGTTTGAGTATCATATTGAATCCCTCAGGTTTGAATAGAGGTTTTTCATATTTCTGTGGAGAAACAAAAATTAGTCAATTTTACGTGAACATAGTAAAAATCAAACGATAAGACGAATTAATTTACCTTAAGACAAACTTCTCGACTAGCATCGAAAACTTGTTTAATTAATTTCCCAGAAGGATCTTTATCCAACAATTCTTTTCTCATAGTGTCGTAAATATATAACAAGTAATGAGTGTCTTCTCTCGCATAGTTTAACATGTCTTGTGGTATTGGGCGAATCCTCCAATCTGCTAGCTGATATACTTTATTAACATCTAAATTGCAATAATGTTTCAATAAGTATGCTAAAGAGTTGTGGCTTAAATTTAAAGCTTTTGCAGCTTGTCCAGTATCAAACAGTCCAACAACATAAACTGAGAAGTCTCTTTGAAGCCACTGAATATCAGAATCAGCTCCATGGAAAACCTAAATGAAATAATATATAAGTTAAGAGCTTTTGAGATGGTAATTATGTGACTTTTCACCTTACCTTAATGATTTTTGGATCCGTAAAAACTTCATTCAAGATGCTGAGTTCATTTCTCAATTCTAAAGCATCTATTATATAATCATCTGTTCGAGTTGAAATTTGAATGAGGCAAGTGAATCCTTGGAAAGATCTGTAACTATGAGCCTGAAATCGATACAAAAAAAATTAGAAGGGAATCCAAAATTAAATGAAAAATTCACAAAATTAGATGGAATTCGAAATCAAAATTACCTCTAAATCAATTGCCAGCTCTTTAACGTTTTTCAAAATTTGCATTAAATCTTTTAGCTTAACGGAATCATCAACGAAATGAAAGTTTTCCTCCTTTAATTCAACTGGAAGCTGTAATTATAAATGAGATTTTAGCCTACTGTTTAAAAAATTCTGGTCGCTCATGGATTCATCTCTGAACTTACAATAGGTTCACTAATTGGAATCAACATATCAGATGTTGGTTCCCATTTTTCCAATTCAGTCTCATAAGGGTGGCAAGCATGTTCCTCTCCTTCTTCGTCTTTTTCCATGTAAATTGCTAAAGGTCGAATAGAGTTGGGTTTTTCTTTCAAAGAAGGAACAAAAGGACAGCTTTTGTTGTCAATTTTATCCTTAAATTTCGCTTGTGGACGATGAATATTCTTGGCAGTTAATAAATTTACAACCATGTCTCGTTTTCTCTTAACACCTTGAGCTTGATTAGACATCCATTGAGTCCTCTGTTGGCTTATTGCTACAGCTGTATTCTTACTGACATTCAAAGTTGCGACAATAAGTTCTTGATCTTTTTTCTTCAACCCTTCAGCTTCATCTAAACTATGATTCTGCAAAGAATTGGAAAGAAAAATTATTCAAAAATGAAAGAAATAAAAGGGTTATTCTGAACTTACAATTCTGTCCATGATAACATCATTCAAGTCGCAGAGAGCATCAAATTTATCTTCGGGCGTAATGGATTTCCTTACGTTTCTGTCATCTAAACGAGCTTTTTTAGCTAATGAACTTATTCTAAAAACAAAATATAATGGTCAATTATAGTATTACAGTAATGCAAAGTTGGCATGAGATATAACTTACAAAGTAATCATGTTTTTTTCTTCAGCTTCCATGAGATTCTTAAAGGAAGAATACGTTGAATTGATATCAAAATCGTCGACATTGAAGGAGTTACTAGCGGCCACTGCTTCTCGGATGGAATTCATCAATGACTGAAACAATAAAAATAAAGGTTGCACATGGTTTAAAATCAAGAAATTATTAAAGCAATTTAGTAAATACTTACGGAAGTCACTTCATCGAGACTATTCACTTTTGCACTGTTTTGTTGAGCCATTGTTGAAAAACGTAAACAAAGTCTTAATAAACCTCTATAAACAACAAAATGAACATTTAATAAGAAATCAGATTAAATTAAAAAAGTAATTTTGAAAACGTGAAATTTGTGCAGCAAAATACCGATCATGTGGTAAAAGTGTGGTAACCTGGTAACACAAATTGTCGTAGAAATAAGCTCGAGCTATTTTCAAAGCAAATTATTTTTTGAATGCTGATCTTAAAAATTTGTGGTCTAACGATTTAATTAGTAATCGATGCCCAATTCAAGAAGCTATCAACTTCTAAACTCTTTCATTCAAGAAAACTAGTCTGTATCAATGCTTGTCAACAATAAGATCACAATGCATCTAATGTCATATATTGAATCGACTTGCAGCCGCTGACTGAACCTAACTTGAGTGTTATTTACAAAGTACAGGTTGCTATTCATAGTAATTTTTTGAGATATTTAAATTATAAACGGAAACCTAGACTCAATATTTAAATAAAACAATTTCAGTTGGATAATTTGGATTAAAGTGAATAGCAGTATTTTTTAAAGATAACTGTTTGTCACAGCATAAACCGGTGTTCATTTACAAGGTAAAATAAAGTCCGAGAAAAGTAATACGCGATCAAGATGAATAAATAAAATTTTGAAGCATATAAACATTTATTAAGTTAAATGTTGAAGTGAGTTTAGTTCACAAGTTAAGCCTAGAATTGGATCATTTGTCCCTTCCTTCTCTTCTCACCACCGATTTCGAAATGTTTACACCGCTTGATTGGAACTTGATTCCTATATTTGCAGTCAGTACATTCCATCCTAAGGACAATTTTCTTGGTTGTCTTAGCTTTCTTTCGGAAAATAGGCTTAGTTTGACCACCATATCCTCGTTGTTTCCTGTCGTATCTCCTCTTTCCTTGAGCGTGGATTGAATCTTTACCTTTTTTGTATTGATTAACCTTATGCATGGTATGCTTCTTGCATTTACCACAATAGGTTTTTTTCGTTTTTGGAACGTTAACCATGATGATGATGGTCACTGATTTATAAATTTGACTAAAACAAAATAAATTGAATAGACAACTCAATTAAACAAATACAATTTTATATAACAATCAAAGATAAATTCAGCTCAACGAGTCAAAACTTGTGACGGAAACGGAATCACAACTAGCGACAGTCTCACTTAGCTAAAAGTTTATAGCGCGCCATTTTTAAAATATTATATTAACAGTGAGCCTCAAGTTTGAATATTTTTTAAATAAATTGACTGAAAATTTATCAAAATTATCTCTGAAATGTTGAAAAATTTAATTTTAGAGTAAGTAATAAAAATTCAATATTATTTCACTGAAGTCTTCGTATTTTGGGTGCTTAATTGAAGATTGGTTAGTTTAAAGTTATCTTGAGTTCATTTCAAATGCAATATTCAATGGGATTTGGCATATAAAATTGAGTTTTTGATTAATGAAACAAGGTAAATTAGGAGTAGAATATAATTTTAATGAGCATAAATTATATAAATTTAGCAGTAACAATTTTATTATTATCGACCAACTTGGCCTAAACTTGTATCCGTCTTAGGATTAGCAGTAATAGCTTGGATTGAAACAATGACTTGATTAATTTTATTCTGTAAGTCTCTCAAGTCATTTATATACAAAATTCTTAGGACTTTAGCTGCTCGAGATAAATTTTGATCTTTAACATCAAACCCGAGAATACTATTCTCTAAGGTGAACGATTTTTCTCCGCTGGTTTCAAGTTCTTCTTTCTCAGACTGTAGAGCATCAGCTGTCAATCTTGTTTTTATGAGATGGTTTATTGCTTTCAAAGTTATCAAATGGTCAGGATGTTGAGGAACTTTCAATAGCTTAGCAAGCTCACCAATCCCATGTTTGAATTCTTTGGCATTGAAATCAAGATTGTCCAATGGATTAGCTTGAACCATTTGAGGGTTGCTTGCTTGATTTTTCACCAATTTGCCGGTGACATCCTTATATTTATCAACTAGATGACGATGTTGATGGAAGAGAAAACAATGCATGATTAGATATAATGCGTGTTATCACATATGTTTTGATTGATTGAAATTACTCACAATTATCATTGTAGTCTAGTCTAACAGCTGTTGAAATTAGCCAATCCAAAACTAATTTTCGATCCTTGACATCGAATGGGCATTTTAATGATTCAAGGTACTAGTCAAAATTGATATATTTAGTTCATTATTATGAAGGAGCAAAATCGTATTACTCAAATTATTCAACTTACTTTCTTGAAAGCATTTTCCCAATCTGGCGAGCTAATCTTTCTGAGTCCTGATCTTTCTTCAATTGGATAATGTCTAATTTTTTGGTCTTCCAGCCAGGCAACTAGATTCCTGAATGAATTTTCATCTTAATAAATATGAACAAATAGATAAGAGTGTTAGTTATTGGGATTAAGATAGGATCGAGTTTACACTAACCTTCAACATTGAAATTATCGGCTTTACCAAATTCAATTGCTTTAAGCTTTCTAGAAAACATTTTGCAAGTTAAAATTAACTGTTAATTCCCACGATTTAAGAATACATTCAGTATAATCGGAAAATTATTCAAACAGAAACAGAACTGTGCATAAAATTAGAGATTCGGCATTTCAGAGCCATCTACTGAGGATGAAAATAGTTTACGATGTAAACAAAAATGTTTATGTTTATGTGTATTTTAAAGTAATTGTTGTTGTAATTATTTTGCTAAAATGTTCTCGATTCGTTTATTTAATAATTTGACTAGTCAAAGGCCAATTCAACTTGTTAGAGGATTGCAAACTTCTTATGTTAACTGTGCATTGATTCAATCTCCCAGAGGTGCCCTTAAATACGAAGAGAAATATGGCGAATTTTACGAAGGAGACTTCAAAACGAGGTGGAAATTATTAAAAGAAGAATGGGCAGCAATGAAAAAATTTTATAGCAAATGGGACAACTGGGATCGATTTGTGTTCAAGCGTCTTTTTTCGCATCCTATGAAGAAAATTAAAACTATTATTCCTGGTGATGAATACATATTTGCTGATTTATCCAAACCTGAAAGTTTAAACGTTTGGAAACTTGGTTCAGATAGGATTTGGAACGAAGGATATTCTACTTGTCGTTTAGAGGCTAATAATGGCGGATATGCTACCTTTTCTGGGTACCTTGATTCAACCAATTTACCAAAAGACGGAACTATATCGCGAGTCGGTTAGTTTATACTCAATTTCTCTCAGTTTATATGCAAAAATTGAACTCATTTACTTTCTATTTTTTCTTAGGTTATGTAAACATGACGACTTATACTGCTCCAGAGTTTCTTGCTTGGGATAATAATTTTAATTTCGAAGACTGGTCTCATATAACATTGAAAATACGTGGAGATGGTAGACGCTGGTTGCTTATTTTAGGACAAAGAGGTTACTCAAATCAATGCTGGGATGATAAATATGTGACTTGGTTACCTACTCATGGAGGTCCTTATTGGCAAGAAGTCAAAATACCTTTTTCAAAATTTTTTCTCGGAGCACTTGGACGAATACAAGAACCTCAATGTCGCATGGACAAATATCCAATTACTTACATTGGTTTAACATTAATGGACGGTCGAACTGGGCCATTTAGGTTGGATGTAAAATCATTAGGTGTTGCCTATGATCCTAGAAATTATGAAGAGTTTGCATATGAAGACTATTATGTTCCCGAACACCCTCATCACTATTTGGATTAAAAATAATCTATTATTGTAAATATTATTAAGATTGTTATTATTTCTGCTCAAGTTTTCTAAAAATAACTTATCTATTCCCTTTTGCTAGAAAATCTGTCTATTTAGAGTAAATAGATTCATCAAGAAAATGACAGAATCGATTGCTTTGATAATTGAGGTGTAAAATACAAAAAATTGTTAGCTTGATATAACACATAGTATAATACGAATAATAAACTATTTTTTATTGATTTCGTCATTAGAAAGCTAATTAGTTATTGATTTTTCATTGAATCAAAGGTGGAATAAAATGTTCAAAATGAAGACATTAACTATAAAAGTCATCTACGAAAATTTTTTACACTTTCCATTAAAATCTTCATGATGCAGCTTTCGAGAGTTTTTCTTAAAATTGAATGTTTTCTGATTATCTTTCATGGTAAATCAACTCAATAATTTAAGCAAAGGCCGCATATTAAATAGTTTCAACAGGTGAACAAGACATTGATCAAAAGTAAAGCTTTCACATGTGAATGCATGCAACATGACAACATAAAAAAGCGCAAAGTTTGATTGTTTTCACACAATTGTCATTTTGTAATAACCTTAGCCTTTTATTTCTGAACCAAAAGAGATATTTTTATACAATAATTTACAATTCAACATTGATTTAGTTGGACCCGAAGTGAATGAGAGAATCGATCACATTATAGATCACTCAAATGAATAAAACGTTTGATATGATATAATACAGAGGTGGTTTATTGATTTTATTACAAAATAATTTACATGTAACTAACTACAAGATTGATTTTTCCTTAAATAATTTACAAGGTAAGAAATTATGAGAATAAAAAGACCCCATAAAGGAAACATAACAACTGTCATAGGAATTCTTGAAAAATATTGCAATTTAAGGCAAAGAAGGACCTCTGATATGAATAAAAGGGTAATACCAAATAACAGACCAGACTTCTCTTCCAAAATAGATCTGTTGTACTCTTCATAAGGATATCTGAGAGCATGAGCCACTTTAATTGCTCCATGGAAGAAAAAAATGCAATTAAGAACCCATAATGGCCAAAAGATAGCAAACCAGTTGGTCACTTTGTCCGATTTACTCTCCATTTTGATCAAGATGAAGCAACAGAAAAGAGATATAAGTAACAAGGTGGTAATTGATTTTTGGACGATACCCATATCTTTGATAATTCATTAAAAATAAAGACGACAACAATAAATAAATAAAAACACAGATGATGAGAAATGTGGGAGCGAAAGATGAAGATGGATCAATCAATCAATAAATCAATCAACGGTATAATCGAGTAAACACTTCTTTATAGAAACAGAATTAATCACATAGCAAAGAAAGAAGATAAAGACGAGTAGAGGATTCATGAAGGCATAATTCAAGTGATAATTTACACCAAATTGAATCAAAACAAAAGCCTATAGATTATGGTTGGGATTAACAAAAGATCGATTGAATGTAATACGATAATTCGAAGACACGGCTAATTATTTGTCAAGTTAATCGCACCAGAATTAACACTCATTGTTGTCTTTTTCATGAAAACATTTCACATGTTCATGTGCCTCCATCTACAAGGTCAACTTGAAACAACTTGAAAAGGCTTTGCTTTGCTGTGGTTGCGCTGCAGTTGAATGTTGCTAAAATGCTAAGATTGAAGAGTAAACATTGAAAAAATGAGTAACAATGCGCATCAAAGGATGCTGCTTCTTCTAGTGGGTCCTACTGAGTTAGCATGAGTAGAATAAGAACTTTCATCAGAAGATTATTCAGTCTCTGATTTTTTTCTTTACTGTGATCTGAGTTTAAGCTCAGTGAGCTTTCCTTCTTCAAGAGCTATGTTTTTAGATTCTTGATGACTTTGGAGCCATCACCACATTCCCTTAACCTCATCCTTTTCATCTCCGTCATCACCATTGATCATCATCACAATTGTTATTATCTGTGTTAATGTATTATGGCCTCAGGTAAGGCTGGTGTCCATGTTATTCAATTAAAACCTATTTTGGTTTCGGAGCGACTTCAACAAGGATGCAAATTCGTCAAATGGGATGATGTGAGTTACTCTTATTTTTCATTTCAATTTCGTTGAGTGTCTTGTGTGTTTAACGATAGTTATTCAATATGTCCATCGTCAACTTTCATATTGCTTAATTGCTTTCAAGAAAATTGCAACATGAAATAATATTAGAAAGCAATTTTGCTGCATTTATCAAGGACACACTGTATTACTTTTCCCTTTTATTATTCCTTCTTCCTCGTAGGACTCAACTATAGGAACCCATGTAACTCTTTACATTGATTCAAAAGGATTTTTTCTCTATTGGAAAGATGTTTCCAATGAAATTGAATACCTTGAAATTTCATCCATTCGTGATACTCGGACTGGTCGTTATGCTCGAGTCCCTAGAGAAGGTCGTCTTCGTGATTCTTGTAACATTGGCCTTTCCGAGATACCGTTAGATGAGAGGACGTTCACTGTTGTTTATGGACCCGATTTTGTAAATACCTCTTTCATAAATTTTGTTGCTCCAAATCGAGAAGATGCTGTTGAATGGACCGACGCGGTTCTCAAAATGGCCTACAATCTGTTGGCCCTAAACTCATCCCCCTTTACCCTTTTAGCAAAAGCTCATACAAAGATTCGGTTAATGGTTGATCGAGAGGGTCGAATCCCGGTGAAAAATTTAATTAAACTGTTTGCTCAGCACAAAGATGACAAGAAGCGCGTTGAAAAGGCATTAGATTTCACTAACATTCCAACTGGCAAGTCAAGTTCCTTTGATCCGGATAAGTTTCCTCTTGAGACATTCTTACAATTTTATAAACATCTTGTTGTACGAAGTGAAGTTGACAAAATTTTTGACCGACTGTAAGTAGTACAAAAAATAACCTTAGAAATTTTTCTTAACCTTTTTTCTCTTATGTTATGTTATTTATTTATCAGCTCAAGACTTTTTGATTTGTTTCTTTCTCCTTCTTCTTCTTCTTCTTCTTCTCCTTTTCTCTCCATCTTCTACTTCATCATCATCATCATTCTCTCTGATTTGACTTGTAATATGTTTCAAGTGTGTTGATTGTATTATAAGTCAAGAGCTGATTTATATTTTCTTTACTTTTTTACGCTTTTTCAACTTTTCTTTTAATCTTTCCTTTTTACCTTTTTTTCCACAAAATCAAATCAAATTTTCGTTCAATTTTGATTTTATTTCGTTTATGGCTGCGAAAAGTAAAAATCCTCACTCTTTCCATTTCTCTCTTCTTTCTGTCAAATAATAGTCTTTTGATTATTTTCATCGTCAGATTAAAACCTAGCAAACAAAATTAACACATTTTAACGCATTATTCCAACGATAATTGCACATTTTTATCATTTTATTTTATGTTATTTTTTCTTCTTTTTTTCTGCTCTTTATTCACCTTTCCTTGAAATAACTTTACAGTATTTCTGCCGGTGAAGCAAGTAAAAACGCAAACGATCATCCAAGGTTGATGACTGTTGATCAATTCGTCGATTTTTTAAATAAGGAGCAAAGAGATCCTCGATTGAATGAAATACTTTACCCATATGCTGATCGAGCCAAGGGAATAGAGTTAATATCTCAATATGAACCCAGTAAAGCCAATATTGAGAAAGGTAATCATTGAAATTTCACTTTTTACTTTCCTTTTACACACAAAAAAAAACCTTTCATTTTTTTCAAATAATAGCAAGAAATATCTTTGATAATAGTGAATCATTTACTAGCTTTTCCACTTTTTCCACTCAAAGAATTGTTGATTTATTATACAGATGCATTGGTTTCTCACTTAACCTGTAAAAAACTGTTGATTGTGATTGCTGTAAAGCAAAAAATACACACATATACAATTTATGTGGAAAGCATGACTGCCATACTGTTATATATATTTATATTTTATCCTCAATCTTTCATGTAGAACCTCATTGTGATTTAGTTTGTCGTGTTATAACCACATTATACCAAATTATAACATGTAATTGAACAGGTTAAAGTTATTTTCCCTCTTCTTTTACAGTTGTGTTTACCCATTTTGATGGTTAATTATTATTTCCATTGGTTGACATCTTATCAACCAATATTGTCGTCCAATTTTCATCTCCTCTCCACTGTTTATGTTTTTGTTGTCATTTTTTGACGCTTTACCAAAGCTATAGTTGCTATACATACAATTTATACTCGTCAATCTGATTGACAATCCCCTTTCCGTTTGATTCAGTCATCATCTATTATCATCTTTTCAAGTCTATTCAGCCTCTCTTTGTTACTCAATAATTTACTTTCATACACTTACAAGGTTTACTTGTTAATCTATTTCTTTGCTTTTAACATCATCATCATCATCATCACCACCACGATCATCATCTTAATATTCCTTTCATCCTGTTTTTATTCTCATTCATTTATTTTCCACTTTTCTTCTTCCTCTTTTATCCACATTCATACATATATATATCAATTGGCTTCTAGACTGTATTTCAGCTGATGGTTTCCTTCGTTATTTGATGAGTGATGACAATGCCATTGTTGCGCCAGAAAAGTTTGACCATAACCTGGATATGAATCAGCCACTCAACCATTATTTCATTAATTCATCTCATAATACATATCTGACTGGTCATCAGTTGACTGGAAAATCTTCGGTTGAAATATATCGTCAATGTTTATTAGCAGGTTGCCGGTGTATTGAGTTAGACTGTTGGAATGGACGCAACTCCGATGAAGAGCCCATCATAACTCATGGTTATACCGTTGTTTCTGATGTTCCCTGTAAAGATGTACTTGAAGCCATTGCCGAGACAGCATTTAAAACTTCTGTTTACCCTGTAATTCTTTCATTTGAAAACCACTGTTCGACCCGTCAACAAGCCAAAATAGCACAATATTGTCGTAAAATTTTTGGTGAAACGCTTTTAACTGAACCCCTTCCCAACTATCCGCTCAAACCTGGAGTTAGCCTTCCCTCTCCAAATGCATTAATGAGAAAGATTTTGATTAAAAATAAGAAGAAACACTCGAAAAAGAGGAAACACAAGCGAGGTTCCAATATAACTACAGGCACTTCAACCACGTCCAATGTTGCTTTAAGTTCCGGTGATGTTCTTAGTAGTGTTAGTGGACCCACAACCCGAGCCGATGTAACATCAACAGTATCTTCAAGTGACACCCTAGCCACAATAACTTCAGGTCTTCCACTTTCCACACCGGAACGACGTTTAACGCTTCAACCAAACAACAGTGATGAATCAAGTACACTTGAACGTGAAGATTCCTCCCAAATAGCTGATTATGACGATTGCCTTACTGGTCAAACCGGAGGAGTCTCAGGCTCAGGGACCAGTCAACAAGGGACAGTAACCAATAACAATAAAAGGATTCCAGCAAGTTGTGATATAGAGAATGATAATGATTCCGATTCTAGTCTGGACGATGAAGATGCAGGTCCACCAAGTGAAGCAGGCGGAGGTACCTCTGGAGGTTCAATTGGTGAACAAATAGACGGTGATGTCGTCAAGGAAGCTGAAGCATGTGATGATATGTCCGCTATCGTTAACTATATCCAACCAGTTAATTTTGTTTCATTTGAACATTCAGAAAGTAAGTAATTAAGTTTACTTATTAACTCTGTAGTTGTTGTTGTTTTTTGTCTTTATACCTTTTCCTTTACATTTTATTACAATGTGTAAAAACAACATTGAATCAATCAGGTAGAACTAAAATAGCTTCAATTTACATAATCATTTCCTAAATTAATTAACATTAATTATCATTAACATATTAACTCTCTATTAACTTTTTTTTCACCATTTCTTTTTTTCTCTATTTACTTTTCAGAACGCAATAGAAGCTATGAAATATCTTCATTCGTTGAAGCAACAGCAACAAACTATTTAAAAGAAAGACCAGTAGATTTCGTCAAGTAAGTTAATATTCATCACCTGAAAAGTTCCAAAAAAAAATGATTGGCAAAATTAAGCACTTTGTAGTTGACAGTTAACTACCTTATCAATCTTTCAACTCGTATTCATCCACCAAAGTCTCTTTAATTATTCACAGCGAAAAGCCTTCGACATAAAAAAAACCCAATTTTGAGTAAATGCATGTTCAAGATTAAGAGCATGTATAAGATGCTACAGATGGTAAAGAAGAGTTCTGATAAAATAGCGAAACTCAATTAACAGACAAAAAAAAGTATTACAAAAATAATGATCATTTCAGGGAATAGAATGCATTATTTACTCTAAAACTAAATGGTTATTGAATTTTGTATTTACTTCTGTTAATATTATTGTTAACATTTTTTTTTAATTTCACCTAAAACATTGGTAAAAGATTAGCTGACGAAAAGGATTTTCATTTTGATAAATTGAATAAAGGTGTGCAATTGATGATAACTTTTACCTTGCTCATCATAATGGAAACTTGTGTTTATATATAATATTATTTCAAGTCTTTTTTCATTTCTTTCATCTTATTCTTGATCATCTCTTTCATCTGCTGGGTTCATAGAGATATTATTTTATTTCATTTTCTTGCCTGAAAAGTTACAGGGTTATGTTATCTGGTGTCGAAAAAACAAGCTAATGTAATTTTTATGATAAAAAATATACCCAAATATCTTAAATCTATCTTTCACTTTTTATTTATTTTCCTTTTCTTCTATTAACCTGACGATCATCATCAACCTGATCATCTTCATCATCTACCTTGCAGCCTAAACAAAGTTCAGTTAAGCCGAATCTATCCGAAAGGAACTCGAGTAGATTCAAGTAACTATATGCCTCAAGTCTTTTGGAATGCTGGTTGTCAAATGGTTGCCCTTAATTTTCAAACTTTAGGTAAGTTGATTTCAAAAGTTTAGTAAAATGCTCAACATTTCCACCATAACTTTGGTTTTATCAGAGGAAGAAAAAAGAGAAAAAAATTCCCCAAAATCAACAGAAGAAGAAGAAAAAAATCCTTTAAAAATAAAAGTCAAAATAATAATGGTAAAGAAGATGAAGAAAAGGAAGAAGAAAAGGCAAGAGAATGATGATGAAGCAAAATGGGAATCTTGAAATTTTACTCCAACATTTCCTGTCAACTTTTCATTTTTGCTTCTTTCTCAATTCATCATCCTTCGTCTATGAACAGTTTTCACCAGAGATGATTCCTATGATGAGAATCGTCCTGATGATCATTATCATGACCCTTCACTAATAACTCTTTAACAGTACTCGATATAATTTCTTGTTCTCTCACACTTTTCCATCCATTTCTCAGTTCTATTCATTAAACTCTATCAACATTGACTTACATAACTTGTGTACAGACTCAATATAATAACATATAAACATCATCATTACTATTTTTTTTTCTGCTGCTGCCTTCCCTTTTCATCTTCACCTCCCATTTGCATCTTCATTGTATGCTGTCTCTGTCTTTATAACTATTATATCAAAAACGTCGAGGCTAACAGCTTGTAATATAATCAACTTCAAAAACTAGATTCCCATCTGAATTGCTAAATAGTCTTCAGTAGGAGTCCTTAAGCAAATATCAGTAGCAACATTCATTTCCAACTGAGCTCTCAACGCTATTTTTTTACATATTAACCCATTTTTATCTGTAAATTTATCATCATCTTTACTTTTATCCTTTACCCTTTCATTTTTCACTCATCAACAGTAATAGCACCATCATCATCATAATCATAACCATTATTATTTTGCATCTTTTTGCTAAACATTTCACACATGATAAGCAATCTTGATAACTAAATCCAACTTTTTTTTATTGCATCAAATCTTTTAATTATCAGCTTACAGGAATACAAATATCATATATTATTTCATGTTTGTCCATTATTAATGCATCACATACAAATAGCAAACAATTTACAGGTTTATCTATTATTTCTCAACAATCGTGTACATCTTATTTTGTTACGTGATGATAAAGTTAATTCACAGGTTATTCCTCCTCTTTCTTTCCCTATTCAGAATCGAGTAAATCTTTTTATTTTTTTTTCAGTTTAAATTTTCCTTCTATCATGAACTCGTCTCTCCATTTTGTCGAGTTGTATGTATTTGAATCACTTTACAAAAATTTGTTGCATTTTCAACAAATGTCTCTCTCTAAATTCAGGGAATGATAAGTAAAGAAATAGATGGTTCTACACTTGATTCCTTTCCATTCCTATAAGAATCTCTTCTTATTCAATAATCGTGTGTCGATCAATAACCTTTCCTGTCTTCTTCTCTCTTTCTCTTTCCTTCCTTAACCTTCATCCACCCCTTTCCTCCCTCTTTTCCTCTTCTCTTTCCTCTTCTCTTTCTCCTCCTTTTTTTCAAGTTTCTCTTCCTTTTCATATCTCACAATAAATTACATGTTATACACGTTAATCTCCATTCCAAAGCCTTTCATATCTTTCCATGTCCATTGTGACGACACTGAAAAATAGTGCACATTTTACCGTCTCCGTCTGGTTTGAATGAAATGAAATTGATAAACTGGGAATGATTGTAATTTGCTATTGATCTTATGCGCTTCAATTGATCTTCAACTTGTTAAATAAACTGTCTCTAGATACTGAAAGGATTACAGTTGTCATAGTTACTGTCTAGTGTGGGAGTCATTTGGGTGATGCTGCAGGGTTGAATAGGATTATTGCTGCTGGGAACCAAATTATCTTACCATGAACATCGAGAAACTGAAAGGGAGTTGAAAAGAGCTGAAGAAGAGGAAAAATTCAGAATAAAATAGGAATCATTGAGATTTACTGGGAAACTTTTGCCTAAATTCTCACACTAATTAAATGCATTTCTCTTCACAATTTGGTTTTGCCTTTTTTACCTCTTCATCTTCATCATCTTCATCATCATCTCTCTGCTATTTTATCACATTTCTGTATATTCTAATCTTACAATTACAATTTTATTCTTTTATTTATTTATTTATTCTCTCTCTCTACCTTTAACCCTTTTCAATCGTAGATCTCGGGATGCAATTAAATCTAGGAATTTTTGAATATAATGGAAGAAGTGGTTACCTTTTAAAACCTGATTTCATGAATCGTTTAGATAAGAAATTTGATCCTTTCACCGAATCAACTGTTGATGGGATAATTGCGGGAACAGTTTCGGTTAAGGTAAGTTTCTCTTGGAATAACATGTTAACTTTATTTAAGCTTTTCTTTGACGGTGAAATTAACTTTTATAGGTAAGTTAATTAATTTAAAATCCATTACCAAACATGATTAATTGTTTCCTATCATTGATTAATTTAATGATTCATTTCCCATTTAATGTTACCGTCAAAAGAAATGCTTACTATGTAAAATTTAACCTTTGTTTTGTTTATGTTTTGCAACAAGTTTTAATGATTTATTTTTCTTTTCTCTTCATCTTTCAATATCTGTTAATATTTCCGGATATATTCAGATTATTTCAGGTATCTTTCTTAGTGATAAAAGAACGGGAACCTTCGTAGAAGTGGATATGTTTGGGTTACCCGCGGACACGGTTCGCCGAAAAAGAACCAAAACCGTGCCTAACAATGGAATTAATCCAATCTATGACGATGAGCCTTTTATATTTAAGAAAATTGTTCTTCCTGATTTAGCCTGTCTTCGGGTTTCTGCCTATGAAGAAGGTGGTAAACTAATTGGTCACAGAATTCTTCCTGTTGTCGGACTTAGACCCGGTTACCGTCACATAGCCTTACGCAATGAGTCTGGCCAATCATTAACTCTTCCTACTCTTTTTGTCCATATAACTGTTAAAGATTATGTTCCTGATGGTTTGTCCGAATTGGCTGATGCACTGGCTAACCCAATAGCTTACCAATCAATGGCTCATAAACGAGCCAAACAACTGTTAGCCTTGACAGATGAGAAAGAAGAAGATAGCGTTGACGGTGTTTCAGGGACAGGACCAAGTTCAGGCTCTGGACTCACTAATGCAGCTACAACTTCTGCCAAAGTGGTGGTTACCGGTGATTCTAGTGAACGAAAGAGTAATGTAACAGATGATGGTAGACGCACATCGACCGGGATATTTGGTTCATCATCTTCTAAACATGAATCCATGAATGGAACCGTTTCTGCCACACCTGGTCGCAATGCTACAACCTCATCCTCTGTAGCTCATTCAAGTCAAATAGTCTCCTCATCACCAGCTCATCCTTCATCAGTGCCTCCATTGATCCGTCAAGATACCATTTCATTAAGGAAAAACCAATCAGTTCGCAGTTTGTCAGACGAAGCAGCGTCTGAGAAAATGGTTTATCTGTTGGAAATTGAGGCAGAAAACTTTGAACCCGAGTCACTTGAAGCTCTTAAACAGCATAAAGATGTTGTCAAAGTAACACGTAAACTGGAAGAAGAGTTAGCATCATTACGGAAGAAGTTTGAAAAAACGAAAGCAAAAGAAGTGGATGTTACCCAGAAAAAGGAGGATAAAATAATGGGCTCACAAAGTAAACAACGATATGTTTTAGGGAAAAAATTATCTCGAAAACCTTCAACGGATGCAAGAAGTATGATGAAACGTTTAAGTGAAGTTGACCTGCAGCAAACAAGCTCTGAAAAAGCAGAGAAACTGGAAGAATTACATCGGACTCTGTCTGAATCCATGGTGAAAATTATCCTGGAACAGTATCAAATTGAAAAAAATCTTCTTGACAAGTATCATGAAAAGTATTATGCAGCCCTGGAAGTAGCTATGCAAACATCTCAATCCAACCAGGAACAAGAATTACAAAAGTTACACAGTCGCGATGTAAACAGTTTACAGCGACGAATTGATGCTCAGATCAAGGAAGTAATAAACAGTTCTGGTAAAAAGTTCAAGGATAAAAATGAAGCCAACCGAGTTAGACGGGAACAGCAATCACGTCTTGTTGATCAAGCAGTTATTGAAAGGCAACGTCTTGATAGTATTTTGAAAAAGCGTAAAGCTGAATTGGCCACTAGACATAAATTAATTCAGAAGGAATTGACAGAGGATAAGTTGAAAGCAAAAGAAAACCTTGATCATGAATATCAAGCCAAGTGTGACGCTTTACAGGAAGAGTTTAGATCGAATACAAATTTATTTATGGAAAATTGGACTTTAAAAAAGTGAATGAAAAGCCATTAAATTAACGCATAAAACTACGTGTACGCAACAAAAGAGAAACAGTTTTAAACATAATTGAATTCGCACACATTGAAACAGGGAAAAGTGTTCGCAACTTAAACCCGTCAGCAACAAGCAACCATCATCAGAGACACAATCCATAATGTACGATAAAATTTAATCATGTCAAAGGAAAATGATTATCTCATAATATGAACTGATTTTTAATCTTTTAACTCATTCACTTGATTGTTTTTGTCATGTAATAATGATGATGAAGGATACAGTCAAAAAGTCTTGTCTATTTGTTATCATTGAGCATTTACACAAAAAACAAAACTGCAAGAAAAAAAATCGAGATGAATGAAAAAGTAAAGGCAACTCAAATGCGCAATTAATTTTTGTTAGCAACAAAAATAACCAATCAACCAACTAATCAGTTACATCAAGAATTGTCTTGATGATGTTGAATACACAAAAAAGTCATAATTGATTTAATTTATAGCTTTGTTTTTTTGTAATCCAAGTTTTCCTTCGCCCTTTTAACTCTTCCTTAAAGATGACAAAAAGAATGTTGATTTTTTAGTTCGTTTTTCGATGATTCTATTAATAATAGATGTCAATTAAGTTGATGCAAGCAATTAGCTCCTTTCAATTCATCTGGTAACAAAAGATGAAACATAATGTTGATCTCTTAATCCCCAATAATCTTTCAATCATTGCTCTCTTTCCCTCTCCTTCCTTTACTATTGTGATCATTAATTAAAAAGGTGTTAAATCCCTAATTTCAACTATTTTGTGCTCACTACTACGTAATTGTTAAATATATCCTATTATACCTTTAAATCTGATCCTAATAAGAAAAAAAAGAGCAAAGAATATAATCATTCCATTGCTTTGAACAAAACATGTAACCTTTTGTAGAGACGAATAAATTGTGACAAATCAAACAAAAAACTTGATTAAATAAATGTCTGATTGTTTTTAGTTAATTATACAATTTTGTCATTTATTATTAATAAACTTGTTTTCAAAAGGCATCCAGAAATGTCCATTTCAAATCCATTTTTGTGTTTCTATCAAATTGTAACAAAAGGTAAATTTTACTTCCCATCAGCCGAGTTGTCCTCTGAAAATCTGCATGATTTGGTAAACATTTGGTATACAATTCAGTCAATTAAATCAGTTAATAGCAAAGCGAAAAGTATATTTAAACGGAATTTACTCGATAAAATGAGAAAATGTACAAAAAACACTCGAAAGCGCTTTGATATGACATTAACAGTCGTGTACGAAGGATGGGAATACAAAAAACTACAGAAAAGAAGGAAATTATTTCTATTTCAATAATAGAGTTGAAAATTCAATTAAATTTCTGTCTATTTTTTGTATCTGACTAACTGTTTACTGAATTACTCGGGAAGCAGGGTTAATGTTACTTAAATACACAAACAAATTTGTTCTGAATTTAATTAAATTAGGAATAAAAGGCATTAAACTTTAAATCTACCAAATAGAGACATCTAGTTGTGTGAAAATTTAACAGATATTATCGATTGGCAAGTCTGTGAAGTTGAATAGACAAATTGTTGAAACTGAATTTTGATCGATCCAATTCAACAATTTGTTACAAAATTGACAATAATTTAACATTAATTCAAATGTCAACAAAGCTCATTTCTGATTTCCAAGTCAATTTTTGTGTGTTGATCATTTGATGAGGAGGAAAATGTGATTCAAATCGTTTTTGTTGTTGAATACAATTGTTGAGCCAATCAAGCTGAACGTTGTGAATGAGTGATCATTTAAAGAGTGTAAGTTATATGAAGAATTTATTATATCTTCATTATTCTGTCAACAGGGTTAATCAATAATTAATAGATACATAATACATAATCAGGGTGAAATAAATTAGGCACAATAATTTTTTCTTTGAATACATTTGTTCATGGGAAACTGGCACAGACAATTGGATGATTGGGTTAGTAATGAATTAACGGAAATCTGGAACAATAATTATTTCAATGTAACCACAGAGCGTTTAAAATGAAGATTAATCAAAAATTGATCAACAGACAATGATTAATAAATGTGATTACCACCAACCACCATGTTCACCCCCATAATGGTCATGCCTGTAAAGAGATGGTAAAAGAGTAAGAGATGGAAATGAAAAAAATGAGTTAATTTAATCAAATATAATGGTCCATTGAGTTTCGATTGTTAATTTAGATCGAAATTATTCTTTTGTACTGAATCAACTGATCGAAGAAACCAATGAATTAATTGTGAAGACTAGACAGAGTCGACCAAAATGAAATGTTAATATAGATTGTAATGTGGATGAAAAAAGGGCTGAAAAACCTTACCAATTGTCCTTTAAATTCCTTGAAATTCATATAACCAAAAGATAGTCCACTATGTTCGGGTGTTATGTGACCTTTAACATGAGTATTCCAAGTTTCATGAACCCTGGGTCTATAATCATGAGTACTGAGTTAACAATGGACGGTCAACAAAAAAATATCAACATTTCATTTTCAAGTCGCACATCACTAACATCTTTCTCAATACAAATCAAATATGTAACCATTAAGACAACAATTAGACTTTAAGAGCATTTCTATTGACTGATTTTTACCTTAATTTGATTAATCGATTTTCAAGACAAATATTTTATTGCTTGATTGCGTTCAATTTTACTGTTCAGTCAACAAAGGCTCGCAAACTATTCCTAAATTACATTTTTACATTGAAAGGTTTAGTGATTTCTTCAAGAGGTTTCTCAATAGATTAGCAAGAATGAATTGGATAAGATCTATGTTAGTGATTTAGTTTAGATAATTGGACAATTTAGATAATTAAGTTACTTACACGTAAGGATAATAGACGTAAGCAGGGGCATGTTCATGTTGACGTCCTAATAGAGAGCCGATGAGAAGACCAGTCAAGAATTTTTTTGAAGCATAAGTTGTAACAATCAGGAAAAATAAAGAAACCAGAAAAATAAGATAAGACACTTTTGAAGTCATTGTGAGTTGATTGTTTGATTCCGTTGGTTTTGATTCGATTGGTTTGAATTCAACACTCTTGTTGGAGCTTTTGATTGAAATTGAAAACTAAATCAAGTCGTTTTTGATTTATATACGATGAGTTTTTTTGATCTGCTTCAATTTGATCAAACAGGCGGAGTTGATGACTTGTGTAAACAAAAAAATTGTCAAAATATTGGCCGATTTGATGGTTGTTGTTGTTGTTGAATGCAAGGTTATTTAACATATTCCAGGTCATATGTTTGATTAATTGATACGTCGATAACCCGAAAAATGAAATGACTTAACTCGACTTTTGATTTCAGGTCATCATTACTTGTAATTAACAGGATATTTAATACTCTTTCTTGACTCTCTTTTCACCTTCATCTTGTCCCTTCCATTGTTCACTCCGATAGTGTGACAGTTTTTAATAATAGTATTAGCAATCATTCAATTAGTGAATTACTGTAATCAAACAATTTTATTCATGTTGAACTGTTTGATTAACACGGGATGAAAGTCAACTGCGAACTCAGTGGTATGTGTGTGCACTCAACTTAAACCAATGCCAATTCAATTCCTAAAATTTTAATTATGTATCAAATCACTTTTATTTGATAATTTTGCTCCATTAATCAATTAAATATGGTAATCAATTTTTCGTTTCGCCAGTTTATTAGACAGTCAACAACTGAAAATAATGTTTTAAATAAAAAAAATAGTAAATAAAATATGATGAGTTAATGAGTAAATGTATTATCCTTCAAACATTAAGTTGAGTCAAGCGGAAGAACCTTCCCAAAGAACGGGTAAGCTGACGCTGATTTCACTCGATTGGCTTGATTTGGTCATTGTTAAGGACAGCATTCCTTGAGGTTTCTTTTCATTCTGACTTTGATTAGGTCGAGGTTTAAGTAACGCTTGATTAGGTCGTTCAACTTGTCGATTCCCCAAATCTTTAAGTATGCTTTCAAATTCGTCGGCCTTTTGTTCAGCGAGGCTAACATCAGCGTCCTGTTTTTGTAGGCTTATTCTCGTGTCAGTCTTCTTGTTTTGTTTATTGTTGAATATATTTAACTTTGCTTTCTTCGACACGAAATCGCCCATATTGGGAAACATATCACCTGATTTACGTTTACTTTGGTTCTGCAGACTTTCGGATAATTCATAATTTTTTGGCGGGTAATCCTCTTCCATTAAGGGAACTCCTTGTTGTATTGAGTCTAGAAACCAGTGAAAACTCACTTTTTTTATCGATGCATATTTCAGTGATAGATCATATTTTTTCCCTTCAGGAGCCATAACGACTAAATGAGTGACAACGGATGGGTTAAAATCGCCCGCATATTTGCCGCCATTTCTTTCAACCTTCTGCTTGATGAGTGATCTCTTTTCAAGCGGGACCTGTAGTCAAAATTATGAACAATAAGTCAAGAAATTAGATATTTTGTCATCAAGTCAGATGCACATGTAAATATTGAAGTGTTAAAATTTACCATTGAAAAACAAATCGTGAAACCTTGAAAGAGAGGTAGCCTGAACCTTTGAAAAGATGGATGAGTTGCTGGGAGTATTTCACTTCCGCTTTGATTGTAAACAGCATCGATCCATTTAGGTTCCATTAAAACTTTGGACAGTTTATGCTTTCGAACATATAATGATTTAGCTGTGGTCCAATCAAGAGTGATTAAATGGGTAACTTTTTTAGTCAATCCATCTTTTAATTTACCACCCATTCTCTTTACCTTGATTTGAAGATCTTCCCTTTTTTTGTCATCAGTTAGATGACTGAATGTCAAGACACAATTGCTGAAACATCTAGTCAAATCCGAACGAGGAATGATGGTTAAAGCATCCGACCCCATCACGAACTTTTAACAATAAATAAATAAAATAATTAACTAAAAAATATAAACTTCAAAGAAGCTGTTAAAGAGTGAAGAATACTTGCCAAGAATAACAACATTATTCTTTGGACTATGCAATAATCGCAATGTATTTCAATAACATCGATAGTATCGAACCTCTCACATGTGGTTTTATTTGGATTGTTTTCAATTTAAAGCTGCTTAAGCTCTATGTACTAACCACTGCATGTTTGTTTGAGTCTATTTTTATTAATTTGTTAATTATCGATTGTGTTTAGTGATATTAAAATGGCGTTCAATAGTTCTAGTGACGATGTAATTCCAGTATCTGGTTTTGCTTCGGACGATGATGGAGAAGAAAATTCAAATGCGTCAGTTTCTTCCGATAGTGATGATCAAGGAATAAGTTCCAAAGCATGGGGTAAGAAAAAGTCCGTCTATTTTGGTACCAATTATGTGGATAAAGATTTCAGAAAGACCACTCAAGAAGAGGAAGATCTTGCTAAGGATGAAGAAGAGGAAGCCAAAATGATTCAACAAAGAATTTTGAAAGAAATACAAGAGGATGACTTGGATCTCGACTATTTACCCGATATTAAGGAAGCTGGAGAAACTTTACAAGAAGTTGAAATAGACATCGATTCTCTTTCAAAGAAGGAAAAGAATGAACTTCTCATGAAAACGGCACCTGAGTTACCAAATCTGGTCGAGGATTTCAAAAAAAGTTTGGCTGAAATGGAGAAGCACAAAAAGGTGCTAAACTACTCCAATGTGGATAATATCGAAGCTTATAAATTAAGTTTACCTTTTAGGTTATTCAAGACTAAATTCAACCTTTTGAATTGTTATTGTATGAACATAAGTTTTTATCTTCTTCTCAAATCCAAGGGGAAATCGACAGTGAACCATCCTTGTGCTTCCAATTTAGTCAAACTAAAGAAAACCATTCTTAATGTTGAGAAAATCGAGAACAAAAAACAGTTTAAAGCTATGGTTAAAGGATTCTTGGCAAAGATCGCTACCAAAAGTAAAATTATAATGAATGAAGAACCTGAAGATGAAGAAATGGACCTCAGAGATTATGATGATGACAGAACTAATCAAGTCGAGCAAGACAATGAAAATGAAGATGCAGAGCAAGACAAAGATGAAACTGTCAATTCCAATCCACAAGATGAACCAGATATTGAACTTGTTGAATATGGTGATCTTAGAGAACAAGTAGAAAGTGAAGAAGACCAATTCGATGAGGAACTGGATGAAGAAGAAGAAGACGAGGACGAGGAAGAAGAAGAGGACGAAGACGAAGATGGAATCAATGTTAAGCTCGATGCCAATGACGAAGAAGATGATAAAATGGATGAGTCGGGAGTTAGAAGACCAATCAACTACCAAATCGCCAAAAATAAAGGACTTACTCCTAAAAAGAGAAAAGATCAGCGTAACCCGAGAGTGGCACATCGAAGAAAGTTCAAGAAAGCTAAAGCGCGTAGGAAAGGACAAGTCAGAGAACCTAGAAAAGAAATCAAAAAATATGCTGGTGAAATATCTGGAATTAGAAGTACGACTGTTAAAAGTATCAAATTTAAATAGAACCCATTGTATATAATAATAGACTTTTTTCAATGCAATAAATTATTTTGCAATTTAAACAGATTATCATTTTTTGCGAAATTAATCAACTCAGAAATTTATAACAGACAATGTTAACGGAAAAATGAATTTTTTGTACAAAAATTAACCAAACCTCCATAAGAACTGAATAATTAATTTGAACAATTAAGCCAAATAAAACCTTGTATCAAAATCTATCAGTCAAATGAGTCTTAAAAGTTTTCTCAGGAATGGAGCAGTTATTTCAATGAGTTGACCCCTTAATGTGTCTTGTTTACTTTGACTAATCTAAAGGCTAAAGTTAAATCATAAATGGTCTTTTATCTTGTCTGTTTATTTCCTTTTCATCCTGAATCTTAATCAACCAGGAACAAGTTTAATCAACCTCTTGGAAAAAGGAGAAAGCAAAGGTCTGAAATTGACAGTTTGACGAGATTTGATGATCAACAGTTTTTGTTTTCTCTGTTGCTACTTTAACAAAAACCAAATCCAAATTGAATCTTGGCATGATTGGTTGTTACTAATTTGGTCATATGTTGATCCGTTGCGATGAAATTCATCATTATAAAAATGATCCCAAAAGAGACTACAAAAGATTGATAAAAGTGTAAGTCAAAAAGGCTTGAAAATTCTGTAGAAAAAAGAAGAAGAAGAAGAAAAGTAAAGGATAGGAAAAGGGAAAGGGAAAGGATAAAGATAAAGAGTAAGAAATGGAAGAGAAAATGATGATTATAATGATAATAAAAGGAAAAAGTGCTGGAATTCTGACTAGATAGTTTTGGGAAAGGAAAATGTTGATTCTGTTCATCTTATTCAAAGTTATATTCAATGGGCTTAGAATGATGAAAATAGGAGAAACCAAGGAAACCAATTATCTTTATCTTCTCACTCCCAGCTCATCATCCAACTATCTTTTATCTTCAACCTTTTTTACTTCATGAAACTCACTCAACTTCCTATTCTAACAGGTTTCAATTCATCATCTCAATTCATCTTCAATCTTCATCTATTCCATTCTCTCTTTCTCTCTCTCTTTCCATTAAATCGATATTAAGGAGAGTGATGACAATGATGATGATGATTGGCATCATCAGGGAAAAAGAGTGTAAGAAATAAAATGAAAGCAAAGTTATGTTGAAGAGGTTCAAGAAAATGACTTGACATTCCTTAGAGGACTTTTCAAACTATCTTTCCAACCTCAACAGTTAAGATCAATTCTCAATTTATTTTTTATTCATATTATTTATTATTATTATTCATCTTTATCATCATCACCATCATCATCACCAACATTATCCTAACTATTATTATCAACATTATTAGCCGAAAGAATCTCTCGATTGAGAAGGTTAAATGATCCCAAGTAAACAATCTTACCTTCACTTCACATTGAATAACAATGGTAAACCTAAGAATAGAAATTAACCGTTCAAACAGGTTTTCTAGTGAACCAGCAAAATATCATTTAATTAAATAACCTTCCAATAAAGCGACTTCAATCAATCTTTAATCAATCATTAAACTAGTCTAATGTAAATAAATCATCTAAACAATGAAAATCACTTTAAAATTAAACTTTAAAATGACTATTTCTTGAATATTGTCTGTCAGGCCCAAGCTTATGACAAGATATTTACACAGGTATAACAATGTCTTCTTACTGGTCAACAATTTTTTTACTTATGATTTGTGTCATTTAATACTAACTGTGATTATTATGATTATAATGAGGAGTGAAACTGGGAGTGTTTAGTGATTATAATTTGATGATAAAAGTTCTATAATCAAGATTGATTGTTAAACGCAGTCTCAATTGTGATTGATAATCAATGGATGCATCCATTGAACCTGTTGAAATGATCACACTATTGTCAGTTTAACCTTTTAACCTAACCAATTTAAACTCTCAATTTGTTTCTTCAAACTTTCTTTACAATTTTTTTGTACAACATTTATTAATTGTTCATCATTTCAAATTAAATAACCAGAAAAAACGGTAAAAAAAACTGGTTCCACAAAAAGCACAAGTTGCTTCCAATGTAAAGTAAACTTGAAAACACACAAAACCTTTCCAATTGTTTCGACAAAACTGTTTAATTGCTGCACAAATTTTACCAAAAGTTAACATCTAACTGTGATCAACATGACTGGTGATTCAAATTATCAGGGTTACAATATGATTGGTAAAGTTGTTACGTTAGTCAAAAGTTGGAGAGGATCAAGAAAATTACTTGTCGTAATTGTTGCAATTGCCATCTTTTTGGATAACATGTTGTTAACCTGTGTTGGTAAGTAATTAATTTCATTATAATTGTAAATTAACACTGAAAGTGATCAACACTTGAATTGGTCAAACATTAAGTCAATATTTGACCAAAAATGATTGCAAACCCAAACCAGTTTATCATGAAAATGAGGAATCAATCAGAGCCAGTCAATAAGATTATAAATCAACTTTCAGATTAACATTGTATTTTCAATGTAAATGATTTATGTTGATATTAAATGATGAACCTTAATCAATCACTGAATATATATAAAAATGAAATATTCATTAAGTGCATTATCCAAGTTGAAATCAAATTGATGGTGAAAAAATTCAAATTACAACAATAAATCACATTTATCTTTAGATTGATCAACTGATGTACAATTGAATACACTTTACATTGAAATGTTTTTTTCTTGAAACATTGGGAGAAATGTTTTTACAATTATTTAATTGTTTGCTTTATTTTAAATTTAATTTCAGTGCCAATAATACCAGCTTTTTTGTATGAAACTCATCATACTGAGAAGATGATTAAACTAAATGCAAGTCGATTGTTAACCACAACTTCAACCACAACCAATTCACCTGAAGAAACTCCAATATTGATAAGTTCACTTGAAAATCAATTAGCAAATAGTAATGTTAATAATAAGTTTAATAGCAATACCAACAATGTAAGAAGTAATAATAGGAAAAGTTTCAAGTCAATGGACAGTTTTCATGGTAATGCTGAGTGTACTTGTCCAACAAATGTTATCTCATCCTCTGGTACTACAAGCTCATCAATAACCTCACCATCATCCTATGAAACCACAACTGAATTGATGACTCCTGAAAAAGAGGCTAAACAATTAAAGCATAAAGAGTTGGTCGAGGAATCAACTGAAGTCGGAGTTTTATTTGCTTCTAAGCCAGTTATTCAAGCAATTACAAATCCCTTCATCGGACCATTGACCAATAAGTAATCAACTATCTCTTTACCCTTGCGAAAACCCATTTTCATCAACTATTAACATTAACAATTATCATCATCCATACTTGGTTGGACAGTGATATTCAGTTGGGATTGATAAAAACAATTGTCAGTTCAACTGTTGAGACAATATCAATCGCTTTTCATTATTATATTATATTTTCATCATTATTCTGGTTAATTCACTTTCCTTCTTAATCTCCTTATTAAATGAACACAATTTAAGGTGATTGTAAAAGGAGTGGAGATAATAATGCGATTGAAACATTGAACAGTCAACCTTCAAGTGTTGCTCTTTTTTTTCCTCCTCCATATTTTTGCTTCACTGACCATTTCAATGGACCCATTATTATACTATTATTATCATCATTATTGTCCTTTTCCTTCACCCAATGATAATAATCATCTTCAGCATCATTTCCATCTTCTTATTCATCCTCTTGCTCATCATCTTATTCATTGCCATTTTGATCGCCTTTAAAATCCATTGAATATGTTACATGATCATGTTAATGTTGTTATTGAAATCAGCATCTTTTTCCCTTCACTTTGATTGCCAATTTATTTACACCATTTACAGCTTTTATCAAATTTTACTTTTCATCTCATTGTGTTCACTATTCACCTAAATTGTGATCAATTCAATTGACAATTTACTTTTCACTTTTCTCCACGATATTTATCCACATTTTATTAACTGCCATTTTGCTCTCCTTTTTTTACTGCCAACCTAAATTGTTGTTTATAATTTAAGCCATTATTTTATTCAGTTGCAATTGAATACATTTAATCATCTCAATTTACCTTATATCATTCACTAATCACTGTTTGGGTTGAAAAATCTCATCCATTTTGCTTGTCTCAAAAATCAAACATTCAACTTTGTATGGATTGCTTTAACCTATTCAGTCTATGATTGATTGCCCATTGGAATCAGCTTTTAACATGGCTTCACTCACTCGTTATAATTAAGATTGATTGATATAATACTTTGATAATTAGTTAATTAATTCATCTGTAAACTGCCAAAATCAAGTAATCAAATAATTTACCAGCAAAGTTCAACAGTCATTGACGACAATGGAACCACTCCTTTTCCTATCAATGATATTTTCAATAATCAATCCCCTTTATTGATTGTTTGTTTGTTTCCTTCTTTCAGAATTGGATATTCAATTCCCATGTTTGCTGGATTCTTAATAATGTTTCTATCAACATTGAGTAAGTATAAAGTAACATCAACAAAAAAGACTAATAACTAAAACATTATATCAGTCTTGAATTTTGTGAATGGGAAACCCTATTTAAAAAAATGTATATATTTAGTATCTATTTATAAACCCAAAGGATTTGATTGAATGGAAGCAACAAAATAGCTATTCACATGGACTAATTGTTCTGACTGATAAATCAGTTGTCAGCCAATAGATAATTGGTTTAATCATTGATATAGATCAGGAAACAATTAAGCCTTATTCTGGTCAAACATTGTTGACTTTATAATTATTTACATTCAACTTGTTGCCTTGGTTAAGGGTCATTTCCTAGCTCAATAGTAACTTATTGTATTGACATTGAGTTGCTATTTTCTTGCTAAATCAAATTCATCAATTAGATTATTAGATAACCATGAAGGTATAAAGAATCTACCAAATAAGAAATCCTAATATTACATGGAAATGGTAATGAAAGTAGCTGCTGTTAGATTGACAATTGTTTCATCAATGCTTCTTCATCCATTCTATTCCAGTTTTTGCCGTCGGTAAATCATATCCATTGTTGTTAATAGCAAGATCCCTTCAGGGTGTCGGCTCAGCGTGTACTTCAGTCGCTGGTATGGGAATGCTGGCTGAAAGATATCCAGATGACCGTGAACGAGGTAACGCCATGGCAATAGCTCTTGGTGGGTTAGCTTTAGGTGTCTTAATTGGACCTCCTTTCGGTGGGGTCATGTATGAGTTTGTTGGCCGAGCTTCACCTTTCCTGGTCCTGTCAGCCTTGGCATTGCTGGATGGAGGTAAGTAAGACAATTTAGTTTATACAATGAAATCAAAATTTTCAGTGGCTCTTGATATTATAATCAGAATCAAATTACTCACATTTAGATTGCTATTTACTCATCTTGTTTGCTTTTGACCGTATTTTGTTTGTATTTCTTGTAATAATGTTTAAAGTCATCGTAATTTAATCCATATTCAGTTGAGCATCTATTGGAAAAGAGAATGAAATTATTATTTTGATAATCTGTATTCATTAAGTCATCATTTATTCATGTTAAATAGAGATGAAATAAATTTAATGACAATCAAAGTTAAACCTTTGAAACAATTGACTTTGAAATGGATAGATTCAATGTAAATGTTTACGTTAATGGATAAAGTCTGGGTAAAAAACAAAGGACGATGTCAGATGTATTTGCTTTGAAAACATTATCATTAATCGTTGTTTCATAAATTGTGAATGGATTAATTGTTTTGTTAAAAGTAGAATGAAGGGAAATGAATTAAAGTTAATCGGATTAAGATGAATGAAGGCAAGAAATGTTTGCTGTCAAAAATGTTCACAGTTCAAGTGATTGAGTTATCTTATACCCTTTACTTGTTTCATCTGATGTTGATACCAACTATTATTGGGTTCAACATGTGGAAACCTTAGACTCTCTGCACTCAATCAATCGATTTATGCTTTGATGAAAGGTGAACGGAAGGAGATGATGAAGATGATAGGGAAAACAGGGAAGAAATGAAGAAAACGAAAAAGAATAGATAAAAAAGGGAAGATATCATATAACTTTACAATGTAAAGGGATGAGTAATTTTCTTAAGGAAACATGAACATTCATTTTTGTTCCTCAGTTAACTCAATTTAACTTTGCTGCTAGGAGATAATTCATTTCATCTAGCCATCATTTAACTAATATCAATAGTTGAATTGTAATTCCCAGTTAACGACACCTTAGTATGATCCTTGGTATTCCTCTGGTTGTTACAGTTGTTTTCATTATAACACTCAACTTAAGACACTTACCTCTACATTAAAATAATGATTCAACGCAAGTTTAAATTGCTACGAATTACACCGAAAGCTAGTTAATTACTTTGATTGAACATTATGGTTAAACACATTTTAAAAGTTAATTTATTTAATTGAACATTAATTAGAATTCATTAGAAAGCATTAAGTAAAATATCTGTTTAAAAAAGGATAATTTTTGTATCTATCTTTAGTTAGGACTGAGAAATGCGAATCTTAGATTTATCCAATCAATCCATTTAGATCCAATCATGTCCAGCTGTTTTTCAATTGTTTTTGTTTGATATTATTTTTTATTTACTTCAACTCTATTAAAGGCAATTAATTATGTTTTTTTATATTTCCAGTTCTTCAATTATTTGTGCTTCAGCCTGCAGTAACTCCGGATCCACAGGAAGGTGCATCGATATTAACTTTAATTAAAGATCCATATATATTGGTTGCTGCTGGAGCAATTACTTTCGCTAATGTTGGCATTGGAATTCTTGAACCAGCTCTTCCTCTTTGGATGATGGATACAATGAATGCTCCAAATTGGGAACAAGGAGCTGCTTTTCTTCCAGCCTCAATATCATATTTAATAGGAACCAATGTTTTTGGTCCATTGGGTCACAAAATGGGTCGATGGCTTGCTTCAATGATTGGTATTATTGCCATTGGATGCGCTCTTATTTATGTGAGTTGTGGTCGATGCAATCAATTAAAACACGAGCATTATAAATTTTAATCTCTCCTTATTTTTCATCAATCCAGATTCCTATGGCCACAAGTTTTGAACAATTAATTTTACCAAATGGTGTGATTGGTTTTTCCATTGGTTAGTTAATTTTTCTACTAAATTGTTTTTCGACAAATTCAAGAATTAATCTTATCTGGATCATCAAATTTTATCATTTAGGAATGGTGGATTCATCAATGATGCCAATGCTAGGTTATTTGGTTGATATCAGACACAAATCAATTTATGGTAATGTCTACGCAATTGGTGATGTTGCTTTTTGTGTTGGATTTATATTTGGTAAGATTTTACTTATTCTTATTGTTTAATGACAACTCAAAAATTTTAGCCAAAATCATGACAGGTATTTTAAGGTGAATTTTTCAGGTAAAAGCGCTGCTTTTTGATTTATTAATATTTCAAATGAGATAACAACCAAACAATTGAAATTAGCAGAATATTATATTAGTTAATCAAATTTAACAATCAATTGAATGAATTATTTTGTCATTAAATTTATATTTTTTATCATAATTGCTACTTTAATTTGCATTTTGTCTTTTTGCTCATTTATCACGCTAATTTGTATCTATTTTTAGGTCCTTTTCTTAGTGGAACTATGCTTCGTTTGTTTGGTTTTGAAGGATTGGTAACAATTACTGCCTCGCTTTGCTTCATGTTTGCACCATTTATGTTACTCCTGAGGAAACCTCCAGCAATTGCCGAGAATCAGGTAAATCATCAAATGCTTGCATATTCAACTGAAAAATACTCTGAGCAATTAAATTTACATTACAAATTGCTATAATTTATTGAATTCAATGAATAAATAACGTTTTATTTGTCATTTCAGTCCTTATTACAAGATGTGGCCGTGAAGTATGTTAATTATACCAATGAATTGACACCTGAAGAGGAGATGGCTGCCAAAAAGAATAGTTCAACACCTCTTGTTCCTTAATCATTTAAATTCCAAATAAATCGCCATTGATTGTCTTGATTGAGTGACTGTTAAAATAAGTGATTGATTTATCTTAAATAAGTGATTTCAATACTCATGCCAAAATGTAAGCTAATTTACTGCTCTTAACCTAATGTTGGTGATATTATTAATATGTGCAAACAAGCAAAAAAAACATTGATTTGATTTACTTTGTGAAACAAAAATTATTCATTATTAGACACACACACATTTAAAGTCAAACGCTAGGCAAACCAAAAAAACGTTTGACAAAAACTAAGCAAAAGAATTGAGTAAATCAAAAGATAAATGTTATGTATAACTAACACAGAAAAGTAATCCAAATGGAATCAAATAATTTGATTGTAAAACGTTTTCTTTCTGATAAACTAATGTGTATTAATGACAATGTCTGTGATTTCAATTATTGTATTTATGCTAATAAAACAAAACTTGGCCCAATATTCAATGGAACTAACAATTGATGAAAAAATACGCAACTTCAACAATCAAGAGTCAAAAAAGTAAAGAAATGAGATAATAGCAACTCAACAATCTAAACACTGGTACAATTAAAAGGTAAAGTTTAAATAAAATCCATAAGCAGTCAAAAAATTCAATTGCTCTAACGTTTAATCAAATGATCAATCGGTTAATCAAAAAGAAATAAAAAATAGGGGACGCCCGGGATTGAACCAGGGACCTCTCGATCTGCAGTCGAATGCTCTACCACTGAGCTACATCCCCTTTCCTATACGATTTATGATTATTTTCTGAGTACATCAATTTCAAGCTTTTGATTGAATAACAAATTATGTTTTTTGATCATTTAATTTTCATTAAATTATTTGTTTTGAAGTGTAAATGGTTTTGGATGCGCTACTTTTATTAAGGCTGAGATATCCACTGAGATTAGGCTTTTAATAAACTACTGATGAGTGTTTCTATGATTGTTTGAATGTCTTTTTGTTTTAATATTGAAATGGTTTGGATACTTTTGGTCTATGATATGAATGCGTTTTTAATGGTCAACTTTGATACATTATTTATGTAAATGTTGGATGTGTGTCTGTGTTTTTTGATGAGATGGTTACTTTTTGTGTCCCCAGTGATCTTTGTGGTGATGCTTGTGTTGGTGCTTATGGTTGAACTTTCCGTGGTGATCTTCCTTGTGCATATGCTTATGACCGTGATGATGATCTTCATCATGATTATGTTTCTCGCCGTGCTTATGCTTGTGATTATGCTCTTCCCAGTGTTTGTGTTCATCATTATGTTTAGCTGTAGAAATAAAGAAAATAAAAACAAAATTAGTTGAATTGCAGTTGTCTTTGTCTAATGATCGGATGGAAATTGATTTATTGAGAGCAACTTTTATAGCTACGAAAAAGTTATTGGTAAATTTTCATATTTGAAACCACGAAAACTAAAGGTTGCCAATTGGTATCGATAGCTATTAAAATTGACCTGATTTGATAAGCAAAAAGGGTTAATGGTAATCGAGATTTTTAACAGGTAAATGGCAAAAGAATGGCAATCAACCCTAACTGTGAACTCTTTTCCCTTTCAACACTCAATTTTAAAAGTGGAAGGTGAGTTATATACAAAGTAAGAATACTTCTCGATTTATCATTTTTCTACACTTAGACTGTAATTATTAAGTGCGGGGAATAAGTTTCCGCCTTTTTTCGAAGGGGTTTCCAGTTCCATCGATTTTTTCTTTCAGTGCCTTTGAGTGTTTTTTCTAATAGAGCGTGTTATCAACTATTTGTAGCAATGAAAGGTAAATTTAATTCAATCTCTTTAAACTCACTATAAACTATCAGTATCCTCTGATATGAATTTCATAAACAGGCCAAAACATATTCTAATGTGAATGAGGCGATTTTACTATCATAATGACGGAAATGAAAAATGGGCTGTAAAATATCATTGCACAGCGCGATTTTCAAGAGACCGATATGTGAAAAAAGCTCAAAAATCTGTTTTATCGTATTAGAACGTGAATTTTTTTAGCCCGCTCTACTCACTAGACATATTTTCATCGAATTTCTATGACTATGAACCTATGGAAACTAGTATTTCTGAAGAGAGGCTCAATGAAGATGAAAAACCGAAAAACCACCTCGAAAGTTTGATTGACCTGAGAAATCCTCGAATTCTTAAGTTCTGATTGACGACATGAAATATAAACCATAGCCTTCCAGTCACTTTGCATGTGCTAGTGCAATCCTTTCGTCTTTAAACGAATTTCAAACTTTTACTAAAAAAAGGCTTAAACTTATTCCCACACCTCACATCATTGCTCGCTATGGGTTTCAAATTGGTTAATTAACTTACCTTCATGTTTGTGTTTCTCTTCGTGCCCGTGCTTCTCTTTATGGTCAGCCTTATGATCATGCCAGTGGTAATGATCATGATCATGTCTTTTTGTTCATGTTGAAAGTAGAGAGAGAATTAAAAATTAAATTATAATCGAATACATTGATGTAGACTTATTTTGACAAAGAATCAGCGCCATCTGGCGGCTTTTAGTTGGAATCTTGCTGAAATGATCAAAAAACTTATCAAATGATTTTCTAATTGGGGCTGATTATGATTAGTTCATCTGTCCCTTGAGTTAAAACTCAACAATAAACAATTATCATCGATAAAAAGCTCAAAAATTCGACAACAAAATATTGCGATCTCTTAGTTGCCAACTGATTTTTTTGTCAAAATGAGTCGGAATTCACTGTAACAGGATAATTAACACCTTTAACTTTTCAGCAAGCTCCATAAACTTGATTTGTAGATAGACAAGCTGTACTAATTTGTTATTCGGGTTCATTGACGTTAATTTCAATTCAAGTGACAAATTTAATGTATAGTTAACTTCATTTATGTCAGTTAACTGATTTTTCCATAGATGAAGCTAAATATCATGACAGCTAACTTCAAATCAAGTTTACTAAAGTCAAGTTGGACACTTTTAAAAGTATCTATGAATTGTAATTACTTACCTATGCTTATAATACATATGCTTGGGTTTACCTAGAAAATGAAGGGAAGAAATAGAGAAAATAATTAGTTAACCATTCAGATAATAATTAGCTGATGGGACAAGTAAAGAAATAGCGAAAGAAAATATCAAGGAAAGCTTTCACTCCATTGTAAATCCATTGAGAATCCTTAAAACCGGATTGAAACACTTTTTGATGTAAAATTATTGGAAACTTTGTTTAACAACTAAGTCCAGCACACACTTTAAACACAACAATTGAAACAATATAAAATGTTGAATAAAAATCACAAAATTAAAATCTTACCCCAGCTATCAGCTGATGTTTTAGTAATAACAACCATAAAGATGGCTGCAGCCAAAAGGACAAGAGACTTGTTCATTTTTTTATTCAGACGATGAAAACTAACTAACTGAAATGTTGTTGCTTTAGCACAAGATAAATAAGTAACTACAAAACTGAAAAATTTCTGGTTAAATAGATTCGAAGAAAAGCCAAATTGTTCAATTGTACATAATAATAGACATACAACACACAAAAAAAGGACGGACTAATCTTATCCGTAACCAACTGACTCTCTCTACTTTGCCCTTTAGTCACCAACCTCTTCAACTCCTTCCCATTTGTTTTTAACTAAATCAATTGATTAGTTTAAGTGAAAGATCGTTGATTTAGGTTCCGTTAGTAGTGAAAACTACCAATTCTGATTGTAATCATCTACCAAATCGAAAGTCCGTGAAATTGTTTAACAGATTAACTTAATTATCGCCAATTTTAATTTAGTCAATTTTATTACCCACTTTCAATTTTCCCTCTCTAACAAGTCTGTTGTTATGCTGTAAATAAATATAAATGCATATCTATTGTTGTTACCAGTAAAACCGTTGATTAGCTTATCCGGCTGATCGTTTTTGATCATTTAATTTACTTGTCTCCTCTTAAAATTAATCAACTCATTGTAATAGACAATAATTATTGTCAAAACGTAATCGATCTTGAAATGGCGAAAAAAAATCCTAACAAAATCAGGAATCAACAAGCTTACAGCAAACAAGCTTTCAACTCAAGTATGAATGTGAGACTTCAATCAACAGGAACAAATCAACAATTAAAAGGAATCAATCCAATCATAATCATAATCTCAAAGCCATTCTACCTGAAAAAATCAATTTAAACCTAATTAACCCATATATTTAAAAATTTTGTAGACAAAATTAATGACAATTGTAATGATCAAAAATGAGAGCTGCTTTAATGTTTAACAATTTACAATTGATCAACTCTAATTGATTAAAATTGGATGTTCATTGTCATCTACAGATCAATCCGTCTGTATGTTAAATCAATAAGACATAATTCAACTGTAAACATTAAAATTAGTTACTATTTTCAATTATTCAATAGCTAAGATACTTTGAAAGTCTTGTCTATGCTTGACACTTGATTGCAGTTTAAATTGCATGTTTATTTTGTTAACAAAGTGTATGTACTTTGATAATCACTTCATAATTAACTTAATCAATTGTTGTTAAATCATTGTTCAATCCTTATTTAGTAACAAAATTGAAAAATCATTTAGATGGAGAGACTTCCGTAACTAAAAATCTTCATCAGCTGTAGTCAATTACAATATGATTACAATTTTGTGCGACACGCAATCAAATTAACTATTTAGATTTATTGAAACTAAATCAAATTACCATGCAGAAGCACAATACTCAAGCCTTTTCGCACATTAACCCATATCAAGCGTTTCAGAGTTTCTGGAAAACAAATGATCCAATCAATACTCAAGCTTCAATATGGACAATCATCTTTACACAAATCGTCTTTTCATCTTCTTTTCATCAATTTTTTTTGTGTTTATCAAACAATAACAACTCCACTTGGTAGTTTTATAAATACTTGAACTTAAATATTGATCTTACGAGAAGTGTAAAGAAATTACTAGTTCAGCTCAAGATTCTGAGCTTTCGACTGTTTTTTTGTTCATCATTCCATTCGTTTCGAGTTTTATTCAAAAAAACAAAATGAATTTCAAGTTTAAAATGTTCATCACCTGCTGAAACTGTGATTATTGGGTGACCAATGCAAAAGATATTTACTTCATTTTCAATCTCCAAATATTCCCCCAAATGTTTCAAGCTTATGAGACCGGTCAATCAAAATGCTCTCTACTCTCGTTGGCTATCAGGTATCCTACATCAGTAATCTTGAATGAGGGTTGCCTAAACCCATGAACAGTGAGTCGACCCTATTTAGGTCAATGATCATCATCTTGGTAGTGACCCAAGGCGTCATTAACTTTGTTTACAACTTGTTAAGGTTCGAACAATGAGTCACATAGCCGATTGGTGTTGGACCAGCTTCATTAAACAATCGAAATTCATTTCGTATAAGTTGTCCAAATTATCCAATTTTTAAAATCTAATATAATTTTTGGATGTGATAACTGAAAATTTACAAAACATCTGACAATAATTGACAAAAAATACAAATTGCAAGTTTTGTTTGGTCAATCTTGATATTTAATTTCAGTTCAGTCTTCAGTCAATTCCGATGTTTACTATTTTAAAATTTATTCATCAAAACATAATATCAATATCAATCATTTTTATTCGTTCTCTAAGTCTATAAGTTTATAAGTTTATGTGATTGATCTGAGATTCGTCGAAAAATATTCAAACTAGACTTTTTCCTGGACTCTTCAAATGTCTTAAAATTGAAATCACAAAATTTGCAATAAGGGGATTTGTTTGGTCAATTCATGTTGCCAACTTTAAAATTGGAAAGGTGTCATGTTCATGAAGCTCATTTAAATTTCAGAATCAATTTTATTTGTGAAAATGACAACTGATGACAGAAGGAGAAACACAAGAAATCATTCATTCTGGGATCATCGGAATATGGTAATATTAATTTGGATTTGATTCAAATGTCAAAATGTTTCACTTTCTTGCCTTTTAACATTACCAATTATTGCTATAATAAAATTTCCGTTCGACTTGAAAGTTATAAGCGTTCAAAATGCAGAATATTTCATTGTAAAGTCCAGAGTAAAAAGATTCCCCATTCACAGATTTTTGACCTTTTCTTTCAGATTGCCAAATGAGACCTAATGCTGATGAACACGATCCTTTTGAAAATTTACCATAAAAACATAATGAACAAAAATTGGGAATCATTTCATTACCAACAAAATATCATCAAGTCACACTAACAATGTCGAATGTGTCTGATCGACTCAAGTCTCTCCGAATCACCTTAATACCTAGTAACTAATGAATAATGTGAGCTATTATGATGTACCATTTATCAATTTCGTATAAATCCACTCAAGTTTACTATCAATTATACAATGTAATTGAAATGCAATCAGAGGAATCACAATGTCTGTCAATGAAGCAAGAAAGGGATTTATCCAAAAAATGGAGTAATGAGATCTCTGTGATAAGAGAAGGCATGAAATTGAATGTTAATGAAATTTTGTTGATTAACTCGAGTATAACCAAGTTGGTTTTATGTTTAATCTAAAGAATTTTTATTTTTAACTCGAATTTTTGACGCATTTTATTCTCAAAATCAAAAAAGTGACCAAAATTGGTTTTAATAAGAAAACCTTTGAGAACGACTTGATTTTTTTTTCAAATTTTTGCTATTCAATAATCAGCCTTTTTTGAGCTCAATTAAATGGTTTACAGTTTAAAAAACATGAATAAAGCATATCAAAAAGTTGACAGTTGTCGAAATCAACATCATTTTTTTCAAAAAAGTCTTTTGAAGTCCATCAGAGAATTAATATCTCGGTTCGCCGTGACGGGATAATGATATTTAAAAGCAGCTCAAAATATTTAAAATCTTATTTTCCAATGCATGTACGATTATCTTGTTCAGTTTTGTTGTTTGTTGTGCGATAGATGGATTCAGAAGTCTTTTCAACCTTTCATCAGTTTATCCGGAAAAGCTTCACAATGAGTCTTTCTTTCCTTACATCAAGTAGTAATTATTTTAATTATTTCACCAATTGGCCATTCCAGGTTTATTCAGAGTCATGAAATAGATCTGACATGAAGAGCCTCCTTTGGCAGATGAAAAGAATACTTTGTCATTGCGTTCACACAGGAATTTCAATTTTTGAGCTCGTTTGTGCATAAAAACTCCATCAAGATGGCCTGTTTCAACGTTCCTTATTTCAATAGCCTTGTTGCCCCAACCCATTATCTGACCGGTACCAATGTAGGCAACTGATGTTGGCATTTCACCCCATTGAAGGATGATGTTTTTGCTAACCTTTCCGAATGTATTTACATAGACACCTTCATTATCATAGCAGAGTAAAAGTTGCATTCCTTTGGAGTTTGGAAGTGTTACAATGGTGTGAGGTGTTACTGGTCCTTGTGTATGTGATGGTATGTATATATCATAGACATGACCATTATCCAAATCAACCGCATGGAAACCCTCTTTAGAGCCATAAATTACTTTGAATCTTATTCCTTCTTCGATGGTCATGTCGACAAGAAGTGGTTTGTGGATAAGATCAGTGAATGATTTGAATGCCATAAATTTGTGGTAAGGTTTAGGCGCCCAGGCGTAAATCTCAATACTATCACGTAAGGCGATTACCAAAAATTTGATTTTCTCATATTTAACTGTGAAAAGAAGAAGAAAAAAGATATCAATTAGTTGATAGAAAACAATATATTTTCTTGTAAAAGCAAATATTTAAGGAAATGAAAATGAGAAAAGTCGTAAATGCCAAAATAAATGACTGTGGTAAGAATGAAAAGATTATCTAATGATTTAGTTAAGCCAAATTACGATACCATTGCCACTCCATATTCGAAAGGTATTCTCCCAATCCTTAGAGACGTGTTGTGGTATTTGCCATACCACTTTGGAAGCATTAATGAGAAATAGTATGCAAAATAGAGATATGAAAATCAAGTATAGTGGATGTAACACTAACAGACAAATTATCAGTAAAAACTGTAATTTTTGGGTTTCATTGAATTAAAAGAGTTTGATGACCAGAAAAGGATGCAATAGGAAATTGACCGTAAAATAAGCGATAGAGTTAAAAGTAGAACGAGATTAATACGGGATAAATGGTGAAGATGAATGACAATTTGGGAGTGGAGATTAATGAAAATAGCATAAATTAAAGAGGCTAATGAATTATTAGAGTGATGAGAGGGAGAGAGAGAGAGTGATTGAGTTTTTGTAAGCTTTAATTTGTTGATTGAGATTTGAAAAATGGCAACTAAAGGAATGAAAACAAATGAATAACCAGATTTAATGACGTTGATACAATAATAAATTGAATCAGATAATTAGTTCATGGAAAAAGTTGATAACTATATTGCATTATTGGTAAGTAAAATGAAAACAAGAGAATAAAGGAAGTTTCAAGTGAGTTCATTAATCAAGTGATGATTGAAGATTGAAACATGATTTAATCAGAAAGAAAGTTGAATGTTAAGCTAATTGTAAGTTATTGATTAACAAGAAAACTAATAGATTGAAGGTTAATTGCGGATATTGAAAAAACTAGTTTATCTAATAACAATTTGACTCAGGAAAAAGGATAAATATCAATTAAATGAAATGAGATTTAATACTTGATCTTTGACTATTGAATGACAGTTGTTGAGCAGTTACTTCTAATGTCTAATGGTTTAGGCCATAAAAGAGCGAAAAATGGTGAAAAAATTGAGGAACAAAAGAAATGAAAAAAGCTGAAGATTTTGAATGTGAATTGAAGAGAAGAGCGTCTCTAATTTCGCCAATCGCACTCGCAATTTGAACCTCTCTCTCTCCCGAATATGTGTATATGGCATGGCAACGTTAAATCATATTTGGCAAACATAAACACCAAGAAATCGGAAATAGAAAGAAAGTGAAAAATAGACAGAAGAGTGCAAAAGGAAGACAAAACAATGACAGAAGACAGAATTAAATAAACAGAAGATTCAGGCAACATGAGCATGATTAAATTTAAATTAGTAGTTGGCTGCTTGAAAGATAATCTTACCGATTTTAAAATGGATTGCACCTTGCAGATCGCCAACATTAACCCAACCACTTCTTTTCTCGATTTGCTGTTTTTTTCATCAAATAATGAGTTAATGGATAAGTGAGGAGAAAGAAACAAGAAAATGTTATTAATCAATTTTAGGTCATCTCCAGATATGGTGAAGCCAGAATTGCGTTCATTTTACCATCAATTGATATAAGAAAAATGAGCTCAGCTAAGATGGACTTTTGGGTTTAAAGACATCGACCGTGAAAGATGTTTGGCAATATGTCAATACTTTTTTGCATCATCTTTTTTTTCATACTAATGATGAAAGTTTGGTTTAACACATTAATACAGCATTTAGTCTGATTGAAATTTAGGATTTCACTTTAAATTAACAAATATGTTTCAATTTTGTTGATTGTGATGAGATAATTTTGGCAAAATGCCATCCCTAATAACTGAATAGGAAAATGGTAAACAGATGAAATGAAGCTTGATTAACTAAAATGATTACATTACAATGATTACACTGATCAACAAAATTAAGATTAGGTTAATCATTTTTCATTTTTCAATTGATGACGCTGAACCCGCTTCTGGCTTCTTCAATAATGATGTTGGAGCAGCTAAAAAAGTTGATAACTTGTTATTTGGACAGTTCTCAATCCTGTAAAATATTAATAATAATAAGCACAAAAAAAGAGTATTAACGACTTCATGATCAAGATGATCATGAAGTTAATTTTGAATGACTAATTTGACCTTGATTTTGATTACAGGATTGACGGTTACCCAGATCTACTCCAACTCATTGAGATGTTGATTTTGGCTTGGTTTTTGTTTATCATCAGCTAACCTGTTCAGTTCGTATAATTTTACTCTTTAACCAGGATAAATAGTAAACCCGGACTCGTGATTTTTTACCCGAAATGGTAACCAGTATATTTTGACCTTCTAGTACCTCCATTTGTTGAAAGCGTCGACGAGAGATGAGTGTATATGTTTTACCTTGTCCACTTCGATCCAGTAAAACTAAATCATTTTCGGTACCAATCAACAAATTGACACCCCATAAAGAGGCACATAGTATATCCGAATTAAACTTTTTTTTGTACTTGCGGATCTCCGGTGTATCGGGATGAGCAGAAGGTGTTACATTGACGTTAATATGGGATTCACGGCGAGGTGATGGACTTGGTGATGGACCACCAGCACTGAACCCAAATGTTAGGAATGATTTCTGTTTTTGCTGCAAATGTAGTGGATTTTTACTGCTAACAGCTTGTCGATACTAACAAAGAGAAAATGAGAAAATAAAAATTAGTAAAATATAACATTCAACAAATAGGGATACAGAATCTGTCAGGTAATGAGACTACATTTTTATCAAATCTTTCAATGAGAAAGATTTAGAAGATCAAATTTTAGACCATTTTAATTGATCAACCCAATCTATTGCTGAGTTGAATGTCGAAAAAGACAAATCAGTGATTAATTGATCAACCAAATTTTAAAACAGTTGGAATAATCCTTCTCAAGGTAATCTCTTTATCTGCCAGGTTGTTGTATCATTGAACTAGGATTAAACTAAAAACATCTTTTATCCATTTTAAACGATGTTCAAGTTTAGGCCTCAGTTGTTAATGTCACAAGTGAATACTAACTTGCATTAGATAGTTGGCGACTTCGTCAGATATTGCTTTATCTTGTTGACTATTCCTCTGCAATTGTTGTGGCAATAAATCAGGTAAAACACTGTTAGGTCGGGTTCCATCACGATTATTACCAAGAAGAGCTATATTAGAGGGTGAACTCTGAGATGATTCCAGGCGGGGGATGAATGAATGATTTGATGAGAGATCGTTGACATTGGAACCACGGTCACCTTGTTGATGCTATTGTTAAGGGAATAAAAATGAAGATTAGTAAATATATATTTCAGGAAGGTAATGAGTAATACAAGAATTAATTGCATTTTTGTATGACAAATCAATTATGTAAATGATTAAAAGAACAAGAAAGCCACACAACCGAGAAATGAACAAAGAAACGGATAAAAAATGGATTAAAGAAGTGCAACAAAAAAAAGAGGAGAAACTAGAAGGTTTTGGAGAGCATAAGGAAGATGATGAAGCGATGGAGATGATGGGAGGGTCAACATGCAACGGATCAGGCTAACAATCAAACAATCATTTACAGAAAACAAGCAGACAAAATTGTTTGAATAGGAAGATATTTCAATAATAAATTGAGGGTCAATGAATCCTAAACAATGTACAAAGTGCTAATATGTTAGATTGAATGTTAACTGGTGAAGTGAATAAGCCAGAGAATGTAGTTTAAAGATGAGAGTTAAACATTTTGCCTACAATTGAATATTTTGAAGTTTGCTTTCGGTTTTTGTTTGCAGTTTACAATATTCAATGTCTTTATCTATCAATGAGACATGTGAAGACAAGATGAGGCTACGAAAAAGAGGGAAAGGTCAGTTAGTCGAAGCGGGATGTTACAAAGAAGCATGTGGAGTAGAGCAACTAAAAACAGGCATAAATTGAAATTCAATTTGTTCAATTGATAAGAAAAACCCATTTTTCCAAGCAAACAAATCACAACCCGATTTTTCACACTGATTCAACTGGAAAATACACTATGATTTAGTACTGATAAAATTAATTGCTCGATCAAATAAACTACAGATTATTGTACTTGGCAACACCCAGACAAGATTGTGTCTATTTGGAGGATCGGATCAACAGGTCACAAATTGAATCAATCGGGATTGAGAAAAATCATAAAATTGATTGAGATCCCAAGTTATCAGCGATTATCATGAAGATCTCAAGTCAAATAATTTGAGCTTGTGAACGAAAGAACCAATGAGCCAAATTCAACCGGCGAATGTATCTAAAGATAAATTTCAAAGTAGCGCTAAAAACAGTTTTCTGATAAGAATAACTTGCCAAATGAATTTGAAAGCAGAATTATTTTCTTAGCTAATTTGGTCACTAACAATAATTATTTCAATTTATGTCTAATTTTTAGTTGCAATACCATAGTCATGTTAGACCATAACTTGATGCTTTGTTAATAGACGATATAGAGTGATTAGTCTAGAATTGTTATGATTAGAATGGATGTGTGTTTTGTATCCGATAAGGTTGTGTTGCGATTAACCAACCTTTCCACTGGATCCGATTTTATCTACAAAAGTTCTTAAGTGATTTGGTGTTGATGGCGATTCTTTTTTTCCGAGATCACTTTTGTTACCAATCAGGTGATTACTTGGTGAAAGTAAATTATCAGGTGTTACTCTGTGACTAACGGGACCACTATTATTATTTTTATTATTATTAATATTATTAACATTATTATGGCCCCTGTTGCTGTTGCTGCTGTTACTGTTGCTGTTACTGCCACTGCTAATGCCAACAGCAACTGAACGATCTTTGCGTTTCTGTGGAGACACACCAAGGGCACCTTCGAAAGCTCGAGCAGGTAAATGTTTACTACTACTATTGAGCTGAGAGGATGAAGGTGACGATGATGTTTTTGGTGGTGGGGTTAACCCGGCAATGGATGAAGAGGAGGTTGATGCTGATGAAGCCGGGCAAGAGGAAGGCACAGTTGTCATGGGTAATCCTGGTGAACCGGAAACCGTAGACTTTTCTATCACACTATTTCTCTTACTATTATCAATAGAAGGGTCACCATTTGACCCTAATTGGTTACTTTTCTTCTTTTCTTTGGCACTGTTTGATTCACTGTTGGCTTGATTCTATTGAACAGTATGATAGGTACATAAATAGAGGGATCAAGAAATAGGAAATACATAGCCATTACTTGCATGCAATTTAACATTTTTGCAAAAATATCATGCTAGGAGCTGCTCAATTGTTGGCAAATTTAGTGATCGCCTCATAATCAAAAAGTCAAGGCTTATATCTGTTTGTTTTTTTCATTATTTGATGAAGATGTTGGCGATGGCGGGAGTAATGTTACCCACAACTTGCAGGAAATAAGCTCCAATTTTAGTGTTAAGGAGGCGATGATACGGATGAGGAAGAGGAAAGAGGAAGAGAGAGAGAGAGAGAGACAGAAGAGAGTGGAAGAAAAGGAAAGGGATGAAAAAGTTTACCTTGCGTATGACAAGTGTTTTGTCGTTTGAATCTTCATCATCATCATCAGGTGTTGGAGGCAGAGGTCGGTTAGGCGCTTGTGTTGGTGAAGAGTCTGTGAAAAAAAAGAAAAGTAAAATGAACAAACAAAGATTCACTCAGATTGTAACCAGAATCGTAATAAATCATGGCAAGATGATAATCTAATCTGAGATGTATTCAATTGCTTTAGTGTAAAGATATAATTATGCCTCTTGAATATTACTATTTTTACCATACATTTTCGGTTGCCAGAAATGATGAAGAGGATCGCGAATTAAAAATTAATATTAAATCATCTTACCTGATCCTTGGGCTAATCCCGAAAGTAGATTATTATCATAAGGCCTACACAAAAGGTAAAGAGGGGAGAGAAAGAAAGAAGAGTTTAATTTTTTTGACTTTTTTTCAGGCGTCATTAATTTTAATCCGGTTATGTAAATTTGACACAGAAACAAAATAATTTATGAGACAAGCAGAAATAATTGTACTTTTTTGGTGTTACTGAGATTATGTCAACGTTAGAAATTCATATAAACATACAAATTCCGGAAATATCGCAGTGATAATTGGAAATGAGAGAAAGAGTAAAAAACAAAACAAAACGCTATGAGGTCAGAATCAGCAGAACGTAGATAGTCAAGAACGAGACTTGCTTCATTGAATTCAATGGAAAAAAGCTAACAAGACTGACAGCTTTTACTGAACAGAACAGAACTTTTTTGTATATTCTGATAAGATTCGAGAAAAAAATATAACCTTAACCTTGTAGTGAAATTAGACAATTAAAAGTAAGAGGTTAATTGTTAATTGATGGCGAATTGCAAGAGTTAAACTGTAATGATTGTTTAACGGTTTACTTGATTTAAAAGATTGTATTTCTGTAAGATGAGCTAATGCTTATGCTAAAGGGAAAAGGATTGAATTGTTAAAATTAACAATCAAGACTCTGTTAGTGACTTAATCATTATGAGTAGGATATTGTTGTTGGTACAAATCACTAATGATAATCTTGCAACGGATAAAGTAAAAATAAATCATTAAAACTAGATGTAACATGTTTGTTGACTTAAAGGATCGACACTGTGAAATGAATGTAAGATGAGATTCCCTTCATGTTTAGCTTTTTTTTGCTTCTCCATCATCATCTTCTGTTTCAAGTTTTCTGAATTTATTGATGAAGAGTACAGATGATGGACTAACAACTAAAGAAAGTAAAAAGGGAAGCTGAAAAACAAGTTTAAACAGCATTTTCTTTTCTCCTTTCATTTCTTGTGGTTAGTAAATAGAGAAAATCTGTGCGTGTTTATAACGTTACTTCTCCAAGGACTTTTCCGCATATCAAGAGTTTCCAGTTTTCAGCTGAGTTTTAAAATATTGACCGTTAAGGCAACATTTTCGTCTTAATATAGCTAGAAAATTTAATCGTTATCCTAAGAATAGTCATTTTTATTCACAACTTTACAGCTTAACCTTTAATAATTTTTCAATTGTTACTTTTCTTCCTTTCTTTTGCATTTGTTGAAGAGTAAAAGACAAATGTTAAAACTTGATGTGTATATTTTACATTTTTATCAAATTCAAGATATTTATAAGGTAATTGACCTAAACTGGTTGAATGATGAGCCGTAAATATTGACCATAGGTTTTGGAAACATGTTTCATTTTAATCATGAGGCTTTTTTAATCTCATTCAAGTTGAGGCATTGATAAGATAGATGTTGTCTAAGCTGCTTGCAGGCTTTGTGTAACGATGAAAATCAAGAAATGCGCTTCTCTGGCAAGGTCAGATATGTCAATTTGGTTAAAGCGCACATCTTTACACAAATCAAAACTACTTCATTTTCAAGTTGTTTTCTCACTTTTTCCTCTATTCTTCTCTCTCTATTCATTTTACTCTGTTTCTTCAACTGCGTATCTTTCAAATGAATAAAATATCTTTACATCACAGATGATATGCGCTTTCATTTTGTACCGTTTCAATTTGAATAGAGTAAATAGAAAATTTATGTTGATCATATTTTTTGCTAAATGACCTTAGATAAGCAAAGAGTGAAAGGGAAGATAGGTTTGAAAATAACACCGATTACGTTTAGCAGTAGTGTGAAGTAAGTATTAGTAATAAGTCAACGAAAGAAAATAAATAACAGAGATTGGGAAAAGACTGAAAATATTTTTTTGTTAGAGATATAAACTGTCAAAATTCAGTCTCTAGTTCATTAACTCTGTGTTGAGATTATTGATTGGAAGAAATAAACTTTCACAAGATGAAATCAGAAAACGGAAATCATTTGAAATCTGATTTGCATCTTCTTTTTTCAGATCTCTTCAATACTGGTTATTTGATTGGAAAATTATATTCAAAGATTTTGTTTCTTATCTTTTGGGTTGAAGAAGAAACAAATCTTTCAAGTTAGACAAAAGTTCAGTTGAGACAAGACTCAAATCAAGAAGCAATTATTAACGATTAATTAGATGATAATAAAAACTCAATTGGGATTATTAGATAGACTCAATTCTTTCAGTGAGAAGTGAATGTTTTTTCTTCTGTTTACATAAGGTTTTAGTATATTTATAAGAGGAAAAGGTGCAGATACTTACAATGGTCTAGGAGGGTCTGATGCTAAAAGTGTTCCATCATTTCTCATGGGTCCTTCCTCTTCATCTTCATCATCATCATCATCATCATCTGAGTCTGACTCTAATGGTGGTGCAAGTGGATTAGGTCCTGGCTCTTGTTGGCGTGCTTTGTTACCATTGACTTTGGAAATTGCTTCATTTTTGCCTCGGGCAACTCCAGGTCCACCATCTGACCCATTATTATTAGGATACTTTGGCAGGGCAAACTTTTTACTTTCAGGGTTAGATGATGCAAGTTCGTTTAGCTGAGCAGCCAAAACTTCAAGATCTTCTGGTTTATGAAGTTGAGCGACCTTAAATAAACCAGAATTTCTATGATGACCGCCTCCATTTGGTGCAGCGGAAACTGCACTTCTCGGTGGTGTTAAAGGTTTTCTATCTCTATTTTTGTCTTTTCCTCTCTTTGAATCATCTTCAACTGGAATCGGTGGTAAAGGTTTATTGGGTGGAGGCTCTGGTAAATGACGATGATGTCCACCACCCGGTGGCACTGGTAGGGGTCGATTTGCGGGGTGACTACTTGGTTGGGACATTTGAGGCCCATGGCTAACTCCTGGAAGTGGAAGATTTGAGCTTCCAGGAATGTTATTTGAGATATTGGATCTACCAACAGCCGAAGCTGCGATAGCAGGTCCAATAGCACCTGCTTCATTGGAATTCAGTGTTTTATCATTCCTCTTAAGCGTTGCATCTTCTTGACCATCACCCCCATTATCTTCTGGGGCATTTGAATTATCTTCTTCGTCGTCGTCAGAAACAAAACCTCCTCTAAATTGTTCTTCTGGTTCTGTTCTTTGATACTTTCTGCCTCTATCAATATGATCTTTCAATTGCATCCGAACTTGTTTTTCTTGTGGTTGATCCCTGAGAAATGGATGTTGAAGCAGTTGATCAGTATAAGGTCGCTGTTGGTAATCTTTAATCAAAACTGTCTCAATGAAAGAATGAAACTTTCGACTCCACTTTCGAGATTTCAACCGTGGAGGTGGATTACGGGGAATTAAAAAAAGAGCTCTCATAGGATGTAGATCACACAATGGAGGTTGAGACTCGGCCATTTCTAAAGCAGTAATGCCCAAAGACCAGAGATCACTTCTGTTGTCGTAAGTTGCTTCAGGATTTTCATCACAAGCAATGACTTCCGGAGCCATCCAATATGGTGTACCAATGAAGGTATTTCTTCGACCAATCGTTTTATCCAATTGAGCAGAGACACCAAAATCAACTAATTTAACATCAGCATTATCAGTCAGTAAAACATTTTGTCCTTTGATATCCCGATGGATTATTTTATTTGCATGAAGATGGCTTAAACCTCTAAGGATTTCACGGCAAATGTAAGCAATCCAATCTTCTTTAAGTGATTTTCCTTTAGTTGATTTAACTAAATCTGTAACTGAACCAGCACCACAGTATTCCATGACAAGCCAGAGTTTGTCATCTTTCCCAGGTGGACTTTTGTCAATAAAGGCTCCATAATAGGTAGCAATGTTACGATGATAAGAATATTTCTTCAACACATTGATTTCTAATTTAATCTCCTCTTCTTCATCATCCGCTACATCCATGATTTTAATGGCAGCCAATTGACCAGTCTTTGTAAAACGACCTTTGTAGACTTGGCCATAAGTTCCATTTCCAACAACTTCAATCAACTCAAAGATTCCAGCTGGATCTTGCAGTGAATTTAAATCTATTACATCTAGGGCACAATTTTTATTATTAACAAGGGCGTTGAACGCCATTCTGTTGACACCAGATATACTTTAACTGATGGCTTCAATATGTGAAGTATTTGTGCTATAATCCGAGTGGTGAAACTGATTAATGAAAGTACCGAGGTAAATCATTAAAAGGGATGTATAAATTAGTCACAAAAAGCACATTAAAATGGTTGACAGGAAAACAATTTAATTGTAGGTGAATGAAAATAGTAAAAAAAACCAGAAATTTAATGTAATATTTTTAAAGAGCTACAGTAGGAGCTGCGCTTTCCACTTTTCAGCAAGAACAGAAACAAAGATCTTCTCTTCTTGCTCTCTCTCTCTTTCTCTCTCTACTCTCCTCCTTTTAAATGCTTCTTACGCCATCTTTTGAGCTCAAACTTGTCAACAAAGAGTGCAATATCCTCAGAAAATTTTTAAATTTTATAAATTATAAAGATCGATATCCTTTCAAATCATTAACCAGATAGACTCTTAAATCAACAAAGGACAATTGTTTCGAAGAAATTTGAGGAAGACAAAGAGGAAAAGACTGTGAATAGTTAATACGTAAACTGTTAACGAGGCGATAAATGGCATACGATTACAGAGCTACAAATAAAATCAGTAGATCTTGATGAATTGAATGTACCTTTAAAGAGGTTCGTCATTTGATTTTGACCTCAACCTAAAGTTATTGACAAATAAACTAGGATAAACCACAAAACAATAAATTAGATTAAAGACGGTTGGCCATTGTAATTGTGTAAAATTGAATATTTGATTCCAACTTAAACAAAGGATGATTACAATGATTTATGATAAATGAGATACATAAATAAGAAATATCAATCCATTTTGATGAACACACTGAAAATATGTAAATTCATCCATAATACGAATGGTTCTGCAAGTATATCAAGAAAATAACTGAATATTCCCTAATGAATCCGTAATTTATGCATAGCAAGGTTTGTAGGAGTTCATTGCTAGAGGCTTTAATAAAGATGTTGTTATTTTGCCATTGAAATCTTACCGATTGCGATGATTTTGATTATTTTGGTCTCAAAAAATTATGATCAATTTACTGTTGAACTTTTAACATATCATTCAGAAACTGTAATGAAATCTTCTTTGATTATTGCAATAGATTAACCGAAATCATGGCAAACATTTAGTACCTGGTTATGTCAATCAACTATCTGAATGTAGGCATAAATTTGCACCATCAACACCAATTAGCATGCTGGGATAATGAAAAAATGAGCAATTCAGATAATATCTAAATTGACTTGAAGTAGCCAATGGAGTCTCATGAATAGACTTATCAATGTATCGACCGTATTAGCCCATTATGTGAATATTTCAGAACAATATATTTGTTTCTTTCTGGTAACATCTCCCAGTCTTTTGGGTGAATGTGTATCTTTATTGGCCTAAACTGGAGTAATCGACTTCATCAAACGATGTCTTGTTGTTGGTGAAACAATTTGTAATGATCTGATGAAGAATCAACTCATTTTTAACCGTATCGTTTGAAATACAATTATTTGTGGCGTTGAATTGGGTGACAATACATTTTGGACCTTTTCATTACAACCATTTGTAGGGAAGTTTGGGGTTCAAGACTGATTATTGACAATTTCATCAAGTCGCTAAGTGCAATAACTTTGATTTCAATTTACCTTGCAATACAACGAAAAATAGAATAATTTTTATTAGAAAACGAATAAAGTTAATTTTAAATTTAATAATTTGTCAATTATGGTCAACGCCTGGAAATAATTTGGTCAGATTAAATTTAATGGTGATGAACAGGAAGATATTTGACTTACATTGAGCTTAGGCCTTAATCATTTTTCACAGTTTTAAGGTAATCACTTGATTTACGATTAAATGGTTATACCTTTTTTTAGGTTAATTTATGCTTCTCTAATGTGTAAAAATATGTCATTAAAAAAATGAAAAGTTATAATTCAGCTTGGTGCAACAATTGATATTAAAAACAATAATATTAAAATAAAGCTGTTTTCACCAGAAAATTTTGTTCAGTAAAAGTGAACCTAATCAGTTTGATTGAAATACGATTTTTAGATTTCAAATTTTTTATTAAACGGACAATATGTAACTGTCCAATCAAGTTGTAAGGATAAGTGTGAAAAATTAGATCCATAAAACTAAAGACAAACCCTTTTATGCTTTCAGCTTGAACTATGACTTAATGACGCCATTTTCCCTTCTTTATCGGTTAATATTATGGAGGCAACTTATAAAACCAAAATGTTTAGTTTAAGTAAAGTCCAGTTTATGATTAACTTTGTCCCTTCAACTTTGATTTATGCAAGTGAAGTTATTGTTCAACAATCATAATAATATGGTTAAATTAATGTATTCATTGATTAGCTATTTGTTTATTGGATTAACATTGGCCATTGTTTGTGTCGATGGATTGAGATTGAGACATTTTCTTAAGCTCAGAAGATTGCTATCTCTTCATCTAGCTGTAAACTCACATAAGAAGACGTTTTTGCCGTTTTCAAGTCATCATCATGGGTAAGTAGCTAATAAAAATTGTTATCGTTGGCTCTTAATTATTACATTATAAGTCTGCAAATCTTAATTAAGATTATTTTCCTCGTTCTAATTATTTTTCATTATTGATTTCATTGGTGTGCGTTTTTGTTTTACTTGACTGTTTGGTTAGATTTGATGACTGGATTAAACATTGGGATCCATCTTGGTATGAATTACCTCACCATTTCAATCCATGGGATCATCATTGAGCTGAAAATAATCAACACCTTTGATACTAACAAAGTCAATCAAGTCGAGTAAACCAATTTGACAATATTTTGTTTAATCTCCTTGTAAACTGACACATTTGGAAATGTCTACAGTAATTGTCTGTCATATTACATATTCATTACAAGCAAATTACATTCAGGTATTTTAAAATTTTAATGGCTTTACATTTTGTATTAGAAAAATCAATTAAAAATATTAATTGAACCATTAATGATATTCTTATTATTTGTATGGCAACTTAAAAAAAGGCTCATGTGGATTGAGTTGTGGGTGATGCTTATTATTTATTATTTAATGAATTAAAATAACAAAGATCAACAACAATTTCTAGTACATTTGGAGAATCATTAGAAAGATTGATTGAAACTTTACCTGTAAGTTTATATACAAACAGCTATCAATTTATTTCATGTTGATGCTCAATTTGCGTGTATAATTATCTTTCATGAAGCAACTTAAAGTGTAAATAACATAATTAACGAGACGATCTATGATGCTTAACTCAAAGCCACAAAACTAATATGTCATGGAAATATCGAGGTAATTGAAAATCAAAAGTAATAATAATTACCATTGGTAATGTCATTGAGTAAGTAATATAATAAGATTAAGCATCTCTCGCATTTTGAATTGTTGTTAGGATAACAACGGATTGTCGGGATTGTCGGTCTTTCGGATTGTTTTAAAATGGTTAAAGTGTACCTTATAAGTGGATCGACTTCTAATGATAAAGCAAATCGGAAAAGCAACAATTCAGAGAAACCCAAACCAAGCCATTTCAGTGTAACATGGACAAACCTAAACTATCATGTTGCTGCTTCTACAGTTGATGTAATTTTAGCTAAACTGGTTGGTGAAACAGTGCAAAACACTCGCTATGTTTTACAAAACTTCAATGGTTCCTTCAAATCAGGTGAAATGACTGCTTTAATGGGACCAAGTGGAGCTGGTAAATCAACATTATTAGAGTGCATTGCAACCCTTAGACATAAGAATCGAACCGGAATGATTCAGGTTAATGGAAGATCTAAAGTTTCTATTGGATTTATACCACAAAAGGATCATCTATATGAACATTTGACTGTCCGAGAAGCAATTAATTATGCCTCAAGATTACAAAATTCAAGAATACTTGGTCTAGATCAAGAAGAAGAAGAAAGGAAAAAATCAAATCCAAATGAAACTCTGAATGAACCCAAATCTCCCTCAAAAGTTGATCATAAAGCAATCACTGAGGCATTGTTAGCCGATCTTGGTCTATTTGTATGCAGTGATACACGAATTGGCTCTATCAGTGGTGGTCAATTGAAGAGAGTCTCAATTGGACAAGAACTCGTCTCTCAACCTGATATACTTATTCTTGATGAACCAACTTCTGGTTTGGATTCATCAAGTTGCCTTCAAATGGTCGACCTATTGTATACATTAACACAAAAGTCTAAACCAATCGCCATTTTAATGACCATTCACCAGCCACCAGCTCGTATATTTAACCTTTTTCACAAGGTTTACATGTTATCGATAATTGGTAAAGCAATTTACGAAGGAAGTCCCAAAGATGTGGTTTCAACTTTAGCCAAACATAATATTCAATGTTCACAATTTTATAATCCAGCCGATTTACTGATTGAGGTAGCCTCAGGTGATTATGGTTTACCAGTGATTAACAGCATGGCCTCTAGCATGAACCTATCCCACCAAGGGACACTTCCAATTCTTCCTCTTCCCTCTGCTGATACATTTCCCATGGAAAAAGCTTTGGTTAAACCAATAACACCTTTTTGGACTCACTTCTGGATTCTTTGGCAACGATTAACATTACTTGCCCTTCGCGATCCAATGATGTCTGCATTGAGACTTATCTTTGCCTTTAACGCAGCTTTATCAATATCTTTAGTTTACGCTGATTTAACCCAAGGTACGGGTTGTCCACCTAAACCACCTTCAATCAGTTCAATAATAGATGGAAATGGTTTATCGTCATTCAAGACATCTTTGGACGAATCAAAGAAGCAAACCCATGAAGTGGTCTCATCTTTTTTCTTTATACTATTATATACAACTTTTGGTGCTATTGTACCCACTGCGACTACCTATCCTCTCGAAATATTGGTATTTCAAAAGGAAAGGTACAATGGCTGGTATTCACCAATGTCTTATGCCATGGCTAAACTTTTTGTTGATGTACCATTCATTTTCATCACCAATTTGATGGTTATGAGCATATTTTTTGCTCTAACTGGTCAACCATTTGATCGATTTTGGTCAGCATTTATCGTCTTTTTTCTGTTGGGTTTAATTTCGGTTTCTCATGGTTCCCTGGTTGGCATAATATTTAGATACAATGTGGTTGCCTCTGTTTTTGCTGCACCCAACTCAGCGGTTCCACTCGCTCTATTTTCTGGTTTTTTTATAAGACTCAAAGCGATGCCTGCCTTTTTTGTCCTCGTTTGTCGTTCCTGTTACTTTTATTATGGTTTTGTTGGCTATGTTACAGCAATGTTTGGATTTGATAGGTAAATTATAAACAATTAACAGTTAATTGTTGTTTATTTCCCATAAAAATTGAAAGTACATCCTCGAGCCACAAAACACAAGTAAACTTGAAAATCTGAAAATATGATGGACTGGCTTTATGTAACGTTTGTTTCAAATAGTTTGATTGATATCAATCAAATCCTTTTTAATAGTCATAAACTGTCAAGATCAATCCTTTTAATTAATTACTTTGATTGATGTTAATATGATTTTTGTTGATCATTTCTGTCATTGAAATGATAGATATTGAGAGATCAGAGGAGGTTTTTTCTCAGCCCATTCCAGCCGTTATTTACTTTCACTTTTGACCAACCTTAAACAATCAAAATACTAATTCTAAAAACAATTAGTTGCCTTAAATTAACCATTATTTTTACCTTCAATTAGATGCAATCAAAAGGAGATGGCTAAATTATTTCGCTTACGGAGAGATCTGAGCAGTTATTTATACCAGTCAATTAGAATCGCTGAAATAACAATGAAAGAAGACGAAGACGCTTTCAACAAATCCCGTACAATGATGTTAGTTGATTCAATTGTCAATGGAACTGCTGGTGATTTAAATGAAATTGACGAGGATAACATAAAATCTGGACCAATGATTTATTACGATTTCGTTGATAGTGATTATTTTGTCGCAATTGCTGGTCTTACGATTACCTTCATTGTATTACGAGTTGGCTGTATTTTACTTCTCAATAGACTTGCAACATTCAAGAATTAACAGCAACAATAATCTTAAACATGAAAGGTTAACTTTCACTAATATGAAACAACGATTAATATGACCACTTATTAATGTGTTAAAATTTTAAAAATCAGTAATTAACAGTAATTTAGATTTGCAGCGATATAAAATGCTTGTATTGTTGTTTATATTTTTGTTGAACCAGTTTTTGTTTTTTGAAAACAATCACATTCTGGTTCACATGAAATTAGAAGGCACCGAATTAAATGTTATTATCTTTGATTAGGGTTTATACTTTTTTCTGGTTTAAGCTAGAAAATCAAAAACCTAAATCATCATTAATTGTTTTCACTTGTCAACCTTTGGTTACTGATTTTAATCTCAATTGTAATTACAATTCAAACTTCATCATAACCTCATTTTTCTCGTTCATTTACATTTCACTTTCTCTTTCCAATTGTTCTTACCTTGATCAAAGTCACAATAGATATTCATAGACATTATCCGAAAGTAAACCAGTTAATCATGTTTTCATCTGTCAAACTCATGACCATTGTGACAAAAATTAATAGTTAATCAATTAATAGTTTGGTTAATTAATCTTCGCACTTTGACGATCAATTTACAATGGATCAAATGAAAAGTCTAAACTATTTTACACAATAAAGTGATTTATTAAATTGTCATTAGTACAATATAAAGAAGCGACATTCAGAGTAGATTCATTTGCTTCACTAGATTCCTCAACAGTCAACTTGAAGTTTTAGGTTTTGCTTTTCAATCAAAAATGGCATCAATGATGAAGATTTCAATTTTATTTCTGTTAATTCTTCATATTTTCATGGCTAATTGTGTTTCACTAAACACTACCTTGACTGATGAATCAACTAAATCACAGGTTAGTTATCAACTTGTTTTAACTGTTTAATATTCACGTCTTGAAAATTTAGGTATCAACTAAAGAGCTGTCAGTCGATGCGAGTTTAACCAAACAATCGGATAAACTGGTGGAATCAAGTTCAACTGCTGAAACCAATTTAGCCTCAATTGCTGCTGATTCTGAGGACAGTTCAAATGCCGATGAGCTTGCTATCAATGAAAGAAAAAAGGTAAATCTTAACTTATCCTAAATTTAATCAAATCTAATCATTGTTAATGTTACAATAAAAGGGTAAGAAAGGAGGCAAACGAGGAAAAGGATGCGGACGTTAATCGGATTCATTGGCTAATTTGCGATTCCCTTAATTGAGGAGATAAATCAATCAGAATTGTAATCTTATGTTACGATGAATAAAGATGAAGTTTTCAGATATTTAAAGATATTTGTTTTGTGTTGAACAACCATTGAGTTTTGTTTTTCAATCAATTCTAATTACTATTTTAATATATGTTGATAATGACAATTTAAATATCCATTGAAAGACAGAAACTAAGGATGATAAATAAGGCTGCTATTGAATATAATGGTCAATACAATTACATGAAATCATTGAAAATTTTGAATAACAGTTGAGAAGTCGTTTTGAAAACATTAAAATATCTGTACTTGAATTAATCATGTGTGAGCATCTTCATAATCTGTAAAAATCTTGGTGTCAGAATATTAAAATGAATGTAAAAATCGGGTCAATCAGTGAAATTAGAAAGTTTTAGCTTCAAAAGTTGCAAGGCTAATGAATAAACTGCAACAATGGTTGGTCTGTTAAGATATCTAAACAATATACAATATGTAATAGAAGCTAAGCTTTCTATCAATTGTAAGACTTTGTTGTCAACATGTTGATTTACTCAGTTGTTTATTTTAATTTAGTTTTGACTTTAACTTGTTAATTAATGGCACTTATTGATGAACTTCCCGATGATATTTTACTCAAGATATTTATAAGCTCATCTCCTCGGATGAAACATGCTGTTTCTATATCTAATGGTAATGTTTTTTGTTATGCAAACCAATTGTGATCTTTGTCTGTTCCTATGTATTAATTTTTTGTCTTATTGTCTTCTCAGTTTGTCAACGTTGGAATCAATTAATGAAAGCTCGCTTTTCCCTGGTTAAATATCTTGTCTATTATTATGATGATTTGTATATGAGCAGGTTTTTCAGGATTGACGAGGAATCGGATGATGATGGTAATGAAGCCAATCATATTATCAATGATGCATTGGAAGCTGTGATTGAAAGAGTCGTTGGAAACGAACCATCTGATGAACAAGGAATAGAAGGCAATTTGGTTGAAGAAAATGTAAATCAACTGAATATTCAACATGAAAGTGACTGTGAACAATGTCAAGGTTAGTTATCAATATATCAAGTTGAACCCTGTGTTAACGTTTCTATTATTTTTTGCCTATTAAACAGCTGAGAGGGTTGATCCAAGTGGACGCTATTTGTGTATCGATGTTGATGAAGATGAATTGGAAATACAGCAAAAGTACATTGAATTGCTTCCTAATTTGATGGTAAGTTTGAAATTATGGGAAATTTATCTCGTTTGTCATTGTCTTTTTTTCACCTTCTGCCTCTCAATTTACATTATTTTTTCTCATATTTAGTTTTTAACAGTCAATGCACCCTCAAATCCTGATGATGAACAATCTTTAATCAATTTGATAAACTCCAAGTCAAATATAAAAGGAGTTGATTGGCACCCATCGGAGGAAAAAAGAGATGGACCCCCGAAAATTCCATTGAAAAACATTGAGTTGTTTTTATTTGGTAGTGAGTTAACCACATCTAATCTGCAAACAAGCTACTATTTAACAAGTTCAGTGACACAATTGTATTGTTATGATGATCAATTGTCAATCATTGAGGCTGTCACTCAATGCCCACATCTACGTAGACTTCATTGTTATCAACTAAATCAAGGTGATTATCAGTTCTCCATCATTTTCTAACTGTAATCAAATTGGAAATCTAATTTAGTCTGCATTTCCTTCCTTCGTTTCATACAGAAGCAAAGAAAATTTCACCATTAAGAAAGTATCGAGGACCTGTTTTAACCAACTTAGAGGTACTTGAAATCAGCTTGGGATCGAAATGGAATCCTCGAGATTTAAAAAATTTCATTCAATTTACACCAAATCTCAAGAGTTTATTCATTCAGCTGGCGAGGCCTCCGATTATAACATTTACCCGCTCAAGCAAATTATTTCCTCAAGTTGAAAATCTCATTCTTGAAATGTCTGCTACAAGGGTGAGTTTACTTTGAAACAAATGGTAATCTTGAATTAATTGTTCTTTTTGTATTTTTGATTAAATTTTCTAGAAACTTTCTGGCAAAATTGAGAGATTTGAGGGTTTAATTAGCATGTTTCCAAATCTGAAAAATCTTGGATTACGGTATTTTCGCATTTACACTGAAGATCAGCTTTACCATTCATTGAGACGATTGCCTTTACTTGAGTTAGTTGATATTCGTGAATGGTCAATGTCTATTATTGATCAAATTTATGGGGTCGCTGAGTTGAATATGCCTTTTGAATCAGTTCTTAATCCAAACAAAATTGAGATTTGGTATCAAAATTTATTCGATCATCCCATTCATTGTTGTATACACAATTTAACGGAAGAAGAACCAACATTGTATTATGATGGATTTGTTGATGGATTTAATTTCATGCATCACATTTTTAACAAAGATTTTCAAAAAATACCAAATTTCATGATTGAATGATCTTTTTAATCTCCATTATTAAAGAGATTAGACTAACACCACGGCCTTTGTTTTTCATATAAAATCAAGTAAAATAATGAACATTATTCAATTGTATTGATAACTGGATGAACCTCAATTTTGTTTCATTTAGCTAGGAAAATTAAAAAGGAGTAATTCAAACAAAATTTAGGGTCAATACTGAAAACAACAATTCATTCCAGTTAAAAGAGTAGATTTATTAAAATATATTTTCAAACTATACAGTAGCTACAGTTAAAAATAAGACTTGAATTCCTATTCTTTTCTGTGTATAAAATTGATTCATGATTCACATAATTTGAATCTTTAAAATTTTTGAGTGATTTTGCACATTTTCACAAATGTATTTGTCAGTAATCTTTGGGAAGTTACCATAATTTTACATTTTTGCTAACTGTTATAATACAGTAACAATGATTAAAATCTTCATTGACTAGATTAAAAATTGTTTTTGAAAATTGTTATCAAGAACTATTCAGACTAGGATTTAGCCCAAAGAATGGCTTTCAAACTTTGGTCATAAAAAAGGAAATGTGATGCTGTAGTTATGAAAGCTTTTAAAAGACTTGGAGTTAGGCCTTTGAATAGTCCAGTTGGGCCTTCAGTTTTAATTATTATTAATAAACAATTGAAGAAACCTTTATAAGACATAGTAACGCCAAAGTTTTTCCGAATTTGACCAAACCCTTGAATTTGAAGACGTTTTTTTGCAAGGTCAAGAGGATAGACTAATGTTTTAGCACAGGTACCGGCAACACCTCCACAGAAGAAACTCTGAATGGCTGTTGGTTCAGTGACAGAAGATGATGGGAAAGCTGAGCACCAAACATGATTTGCTAATCGATTAAACGAGAACTGAAAACCCGCATGCGGTAATATTTGTATTAAAGAAGGGCTCAGTCCTCGATAAAAAGCTTTGAAACCGGCCTGTTTATAGATGTAACCAAAAGAATGGCGAAAATTGTTCAACACTTTATCTTTTCCTTGTGCAACCAAATGAGTTCTCACTACGTCAAAAGGCAAGGAGGTAAATGAAGCTACGCCACCGGCAAATGCACCACATCCAAAATTAACCAAGAATTTATCGTTCTTCAACTCGCTTCGACTTGAGTAAACTGTTTTTGTTGCTGCCTCATAACTCCAAAATTGAACTGCTCCATAAACAATCGACAAATACTGTGCAGGAACATGGCCTTTCCAGAGCGCTTTTACTCCTTCTTCTTTAACTATACATTTGACACATTGGCTTAAACTTTTATACTTCGATTGACCAGCTGACTTGGATATTGGTTCCACTTGTAATTGAAAGCGAATCTTAACAACGTCAAAGGGTTGGAATAAACCTCGAGTGATGAAACCAGACATAGCACCAGCCAGAGTGTAATCAAAACTGGTGAATTTAGGATTGCGTTTCGGATCGTAACCAACCATTTCAAATTTTTACAATCAGCTTAACTTTTCAAGGCACCATTAAGCGTCAATTCTTCGTAGTCAAATTAAAAAATAGACAAAATCATCTAAACGAAACTTGAAATGGGCGCAATCTAAAATACAAAATAGTTTGAATGGACAATTAATAATAGATTTAAAATTTATCAGCAGTAGTTAATTTTGACAGCGGCCTAGGTAAAGACAAAAAAAGATAAACTTACCGAGAATAAACTTGAATTACGTTTAGTCGTTACACATAAGCAGATGAAGTATGCAAAATTAAATTTAATCCAAAATTAATAGATGAAAATGTTGAAAATTACTGAAAATTATGTCCTCCATTTGTCCAATCTGACAAAAATCATCTCTCCATCCAATAAAATTGCTTTGAGTTACGTCTAGCAACATAAAACCCACGAAAATCAAAAAGTACAAGTCATAGTTTTCAATCTGTAACTAAAAATACAGAAATAGTCGTGATTTCGACGATGAAATTATCAACAAATTATTGTTATTTTTCTTTGATCATATCAACAATAATAATTTCAAATTTTAACGATTTCCAAGCAATCTCAAACCAATTGGAAAATAGAGCTGAAAATTTAGAAGACAAGGGGATCAAGTGGCATATAATAATATTAAACGAGAAAACAATTAGAGATCGATAATTTAGCGTCTCTGGCAGGTTAGTATAATTTGGATACAGGTCGGGAATTTTTAAATACACATTGCGATTAATTCATTGAACTGAAGCTGCTGAATTGAATATTAAAATAACTTAATAAATTACTATCAACAACGATGCACACGAAAACAGCTGTTAAGTCTTTTTCATTAAAGCATGGGAAAGGCATCTTTTTAAACTCATCTAAATCTTGATCTAAATTTTCTACCGCTGTTTGTCATTTTCATAGTTCATTTGATTTTAGTTAATTGATCTTGTTGTTTAATTATTATAATTCAGCCCAGTTAGGTGTGATTGCTAAAATTAAACACAATGAACCAAGTTACACCATCAGCTATTTGTTCTTCCCTTGGATGTAATAATAGTGCAACCCTTCATTGTCCACATTGTCTCAAGCTAGATATTAAATCATTATTCTGCTCTCAGGTAACAAAATTAATCATTTATTCTAAATTTGTTTTTATTTGTGTGTAATTAAGCTCATCTTCTTATCAAATATAGGATTGTTTTAAAAGCAATTGGAACCAACACAAAACTGTTCATTCAGAGAAAAGTAAGAATAGGAGATTTAGTTAGATTTTTAACGCTGTTTGGCTGTTATTTGTTCAATTTCCATTCATTTATGGAATCAAAATTGAGCACTAGACTGATTTTTGGTCAAACCAAGAATTATTCAATTCTCTGTTGATTTCAATCAATTCTAACCCATTCATTTTATTATTATTAGAGGCTAATAGTGATGTATTTGAACCATGGCCAGGATACACCTTCACTGGACCTCTTCGACCTTATCGCCAGACACCAAAACGTGAAGTTCCTGATCATATCATGAGACCTGATTATGCTGATCACCCAGCTGGCCATTCTGAGTGTGAAGAAGCATTAGAAGGATCTTCAACCATTAAGATATTGGATGATGAAGAAAAAGAAGGAGTCACTTTAGCTAGTAAATTGGCTCGGGAAGTCCTAGATGAAGCTGCCAAAGCTGTAGCAGTTGGAGTGACCACTGAGGAAATTGATAGAATCGTCCATGAAGCTTGTATTGATCGTGAATGTTATCCATCCCCTCTGAACTATTACAAGTTTCCTAAATCATGTTGTACATCGGTTAATGAAGTTATCTGTCATGGTATACCAGATCTAAGACCCTTAAAAGATGGCGATATTTGTAACATTGATATTACTGTTTACCATCGTGGCTTTCATGGTGACCTTAATGAAACCTTATTTGTTGGCAATGTCGATGATAAAGCTAAAAAATTAGTCAAAGTAACGTACGAATGTTTGATGAAAGGGATCGAGATCGTTAAACCTGGAGAAAAATATCGTGAAATTGGTAATGTAATTCAGAAACATGCACAAGCTAATGGATTCTCGGTAGTTAGAAGATATTGTGGCCACGGAATTCATCGGCTTTTCCATACAGCTCCTAATGTACCTCACTATGCTAGTAAGTTGTTTTTTATTTATTACTATTCGAATCGATTTCTTTCCATCATTCTATCGATATTTTTTGAACTTTAGAAAATAAGGCTGTTGGTATAATGAAACCTGGACATTGTTTCACCATTGAACCTATGATCTCTGAAGGTTCTTGGAGAGACATTTTGTGGCCTGATGAATGGACCGCAGTAACCCAAGATGGTAAAAGGTCAGCCCAATTTGAACAGACTCTTTTAGTCACAGAAACTGGTTGTCAAATACTAACTGCTCGTCGCGCAAATGGAGGTAAACCTTATTTCATGGACAATTGGACACCGGATTGTTGATATGAATAATTGGATAATGAACTCTTAGTGATTGTAAAAATCGGCCTTCATTGTCTTGTGATAAATTGTTTTTTACTCAACTTTTGGATGGTCTGATTTTTTTTATTATGAAATCAAACCAAAAAATATAACCATTGTTTGAGTTTTGAACATAGATTGAAACATCGTACCTGGTGTTTATAAAAAGAGTAGTGGCGATAAACAATATCTAATGATGAGATAATTTTGAAAAGTAGTATAAATTGTACTACCTAACTCTCAAAAAGCAAAATTTAGTGAAAATACTTAAACCGTCAAATCGTTTATAATCGTGGTACATGTAATTAAAATAGTAAATATTCATAGAATCGTCCATTGTTATGGGAAGAAATAATGACATTTTATTTTTTCCAGCTAAGTTAAGTTGACCAGTTCTGACCAAAGCGACGTCTAATTTCAAATGTTTTTAAGAACTGACGAAATTGAATGGCATTTGAAATCAACTTGAATTATCTCAACGAATCCTCTTGATAATTTGCCAGGATCTGGGCAATTTGCTCCTCCAAAACTTTATTTTGCCTCTTCAATTCATCAATGTCCTGTTGATGGATAGAATTCTTTTTCCTCATGAGCTGAATGTACTCGGCTGCTTTTTTCAAAATTTGCGCGCGAGAAGCCTGAAGAAGATGCACAAAGACAAAAGAAAGTACAACAATAAAACTAAATGAATAATTGTATCTTAAGAGAGATAAAAATGACCAAATATTTATCAACAAACCTTTTCACCACGAAGAGATGGAACAGAGTCTCTCAAACTGGAGAAACTATCTTTAATATGGTCTCTCCTTTTCCTTTCTAATGCATTGTGATGAGCTCTCTTGTCAGCCTAGTGACAGTTGCAAAAATTCAACAGAAACATGAGGATACCAAAGTAGAAAATGAGTAAATATTGGATTAAAACAAGAAACATGAAAACTAAGATTAGTCACAGTTTTAAATTCACAAAAGAAAACAAAGTTATACTTACGTCTGACTCGATCTCAATGTCCATATCTTCATCACTCATTATTTAAATAGACACAATATAAACTGGCCTAAATCTAAATGATAGAGATTTTTAAATAGTTTTCTTTCCAAATGAGAAAATTCTACTTATCAGAAGCGCAGGTAAAACATAAAGCAGTACGATCAGTACTTGGTTAGTCAGTCCTTAGTCAGCTTGCGCAGTACATTACAGCAGTTTAATGTTTAAGTTCAATTAAAGCGCCCAGTTTGAAAATGATTAACATATCAATTCAACTTAAACTTTTACTGGAAAATCAATCAAAATAATAAAATATCGAAATAATCAATTTATAAATTTCAATAAAGATTAAAAAGTAAAACTTTGCACCATCTAACATGAAATTGCTCTAAATAATTCAACCTTTAATATTTTCAATGTCAACTCTAATTGTAACATTTGCTTTCTATAAATAAAAATAAATCTTTAATCAAAAGCGTATTTATTTCCGATAAAAAACTCGATCAAGTCAAAATGAAATTCATTATTACATTTAAATATTTTTAACGATTGAAATGCAGATAAATATTTGGACTACAAATTGTCAGATTGGTAAAATAATCTAATTGTTTTCATATTTTTCAATCAGTGGCACACCTAAAATCGCCTATTTATGGTCATTCCTATTAAACCTTCATTGACAGGTCAATTGTTCTTTGTTGTTGAGGATCATTTAGGAATTGTTTTGTTTCGTTGTTCAGTTATATCTTGATTAACCGGATACTTATTTACAGACCTTTAATAACTAGATAGTTAAAATAATAATTATACAAATTGTGGGAGTTAACTTGTAACAATTTCCGTTGAGGGTTCAGTCTTTTGGAACAACAATTTATTTGTCAGAGTAACCACGTTTTAAATCATGTTGGTTTAGTTTGTTAAATGTTATTCATTCTTATTATTGTTCTTACACTGACAATTCAGTTCATTTCAAATGAAAGTAAAATAATGTAAATTGATCAACAGTGTTGCTCAAAAGTTTCAGTGTTCAATTTTTGAAACCAACTGATCCTAATTTTGTATTACATAGTGATTTAGTAAAGTGAATCTTTTAATTTGGTGAATCTTCAATGATTGATGGACAATTCAACTAAATGTTTTTGCCATAAAATAGATTGTATAAAGTGCTAATTCAACTATTAATTTCATCTAAAGGTAAATTCTGACCAACTTATACTAAATACTATGTTGTACCAAGTTGTTAGTACATTTAGACAGTTGCGAATAAACTTTTTGCTGAAAATTCATAAAGTATCTGGAATATTTTGAGTTAGATTTCAATATTGAACCGTATTTTCGTTTCACTTTGAAAGTCTTTGATTTTATTCCAGTGTTTTAAGAAAAAATTGTTTCATTGCTTTGATTTAGAGAGTAGAGGTGAGGTGAGGTTTCTTTGTAATTAGATTGTAGTCCTTGATTAGTCTAACCTCGTGCAATTGAAAGCGGAAATTATTAAACCTTGGTCACTAAGAGTAAACAAGGTTCAGTTGAAGAACGTTGATAAACTGGTGAACAAACACTTCGATTGAACAGTTTTTTCTCCTTCTTACAGCTCACTAAATTGGTGGGTTTACTTTTTTTCGTAGTGCATATCACGATGAATTGCAATGTCAACGTAAACTGTGTTAACCAACGGATATTTTAAAAAACAAAGTTGCTTGTCAATGTCAAATAATTTGGGAGCCAAAATCGTCCGAGCGGACCCAATTATATTTCTCGTTACTTTAATCATACTTGCGGAACAAGCCAATTCAACGAATTACTATGATTTTCTTGAAAATCCTATTCAAGGTAAGAAAATATCTTTTTATTTTCACTTAAAACTGGAAGATACACCATTGTGATCTTGATCTTGCTTCATCGACAATGGCAATTTGATTAACTCTTGAACAAATCCAAATAGCAGAAGCCAACTATACCTTAATGTATTGTTTTAATCAAAATAAATTTGTTGTTCAATGAACAAAAATTTCTCTTCAGCGTTGAACAATATAACGTTCAATTTATAAACATAAATCTGCAAGATTATGAGATTTTGATGAATGGATAGTTTATGTTTTGAGGCGCGCTAACTGAGCTTCAAGCTCCTCATCTGTCATCTGTGATCCTTTAGCTTTGGATGAACTTGCGCCAACAGCTCCTCTTGCAACTGGTACTTCAGAAAGCTGTGCAGATTTAAATGAGTTAATACAGGCAAATCAATTGAAAATTGAAATATTCTATGAGTAAAAAATAAACAATTACCTTTCCAGTAATTTCGATTCCAATTTCATCAAGAACTTGGTTGATAACTGCGTCTTCTTCAGCTTCATCACCAGAATTATCGAGGATTGCACTCAAGCTGTCATCGACTAAAAAAGGAATTTGTAATTAAAAGTGAATCCAAAATAATCATAAATTCAGCAACTTACTCAATTCTTCCTTCATTTCCATTTTTGTATTTTCCCTTTCAAAGTCTCGCATGGTCTTGATGATTTCACCAGTGTTGACTTGTTGATTTACAGTTTTTAAAGTCTAGTTTGAAAATATGATAGAGTTATTTTTCTAGATTTAACGTTAATGTAATGATGTAAAATAGTTTCAAATATGATGTACCTTAGCCGATGTTGCCATTGCTCCGGCAAGCTTTGTATTGGCTTGCATGACTTTACTTTGGTTACTGATGGCACCAATCTGTGAATTAGCTACTAAACAGCGTCCTTTTTGTTTCCTCAATTGTACCAGTTGTTTGGCGTATATATTACATACTTGCTTATTACCTTCTTTAGCTGCTTTTTTAATCTCCATTTCTAACTGTTTCTCTTGTCTTTCCATTTCTCTTTGGGTTCTTTCAACATCTCTTGAGGCTCGCCGTAAATCTCTTTGTTGAGCTTTCATTTGCTCTGTAATAAAGATAGAAAATTGTTTAGTAAAAGATCAAATATAATTAAGGAAATTCAGTAAAGGATGAATTTAAAAATGAGATATGACTAATGTGATAAATAAATGATGATGAATAAGCGATGACGAAAAGTATAATGCTCAATGAAAAAGGAAAATGAGCTCACCTTGTGGGTCCGGTTTCCTGAAGAAATTCATTTTGATTGATGAAAAAACGAATTTTCAAAGCTATGGAATTTCGACTTTTAAAGGCACGAAGACTCAGATAATTAAAATAATAAATTTATTAAAAAAATAAATCACAATCCCTACCTATCCTTTCAACTCTAACAAGCAACATAACATAAGGCTTATCAGCTGGTTATTTGCTGTTTATATACAGTTTTGTCATGACAACTGAACAGTAAATTATGAGCATTTCATTTTTAAATGTAATGCAACAATTGATGATAAACTTCAAGATAATTTATTTTCATCAATAATGAGATTTATATGAAAGCGATTAATTCCGTTGGCTGTTCTTAGTAAACTCTTTAGACTCCAATAGAAACATTTTACATATTCAATCAATATGCCAAATCTATCAAATCAATATTTCATCGATAATGTAAAAATCTAGCGATTAGAGTACAATCCTAAATTTAAGTCAGGAATAGTTCAAAGTATCCAATGGGAACAAAAATTTTAACTAAATTTAAATTGACTTTTTCATAATTTGCTCATTAGGATGTGCTATGCTTGGATATCCAAAGTCCACTTTAAATGAATGTGGCTACTGTGTCGGCAATGATACTGGACTTGATGAGGATTATGGTAAAGATTGTTTAGGTGTTTGCCATGGTTCGGCAATATTTGACTGTAAAAATGTTTGCAATGGTACTGCTTACAGAGATAAATGCACAAACCAATGTTTAGGTAACTAATTGTTAACTTATTGTTAACTTTCGGATAACTTTCCTTGTTATTGATTTCCCGTTTTTTTAATATTTTTAAAGATGAAGCTTCTGAGTTACCAGAATCAACCAGAGACTGCAGAGGTGAATGTATCCAACCCAATTTACCTCTAGAGCAATTACCGTATCGTTTAGATGAATGTGGCTATTGTCGTCTTCAATCAAGTGAACTTTCGCCTTACATCGATTGCTCGAAACAATGCCATCCTCCTGGTTTGTCGACATCTCGATCAGTTTGTGGTTTTTGCATTAATCCTTCTTCCAATATAACCGAAGAAGATGTTAAAGATGAATGTGGCAACTGTCTTCAGGACGGAGCCTATTGCTCTTGCAGCAGGTAAGTTTGTTTAAAATTAGCTTTTGATTGTTACATGACCATTTTTCCAAATTTTTCAACCTGTAGAGACCCAAAACTATGTGGCTGCGATAATGCTGATCATTGTTACAAGATCCGATCTGTTGAGCCTAAAATGATTGAAAAAGGCACAGAGAGTCAGGTAAGTCCAAACTTTGAATAATTCTGATCAATCAACATTTTAAAAACAAAAATTTTCATTTTTCTTTGGCTCTTAAGATTTTACTTATTGGTTATTTTCATCCAATGTCTGAAGATCTCGACTGTGTTTATCGCCACGAAGCTAACGATGAGGAAGCTTATGCACCGATATTTTTCATTCCAAAGAACAGAACTGCTGTTTATTGTTCAATCTATCCAGTAATTGGTAAAAAAGTTTATTACTTTTAATATTCAATATCATTTGAGTCTAATCATTTTGTGTATGACTTTTTTATTTTCAGAGGGAAGCTATTCAATAGGTTTAAGATCAAGGAGTAAGAATCATAATTTGCCAGAAACAAGTTCGATTAAAATATTTGCATTCGATCTACTCAAAGGTGAGTTTAATCCAAAATAATTAACAGAACTATTCTCGTAAGTCTCTTATGATTACTTGAGTAATGCACGAGTAACATAAGCTTGAGTTTTTACTCAAAAAAGACAACACAATAGTAAATTGATGCACAAATTGAAACAAAAACAAAATGGAAATTGAAACAAATGGGTAGTGTAAATCAATTTCTTTCAAATTTAGACTCTAATAGGTTGTAAAGCTATGAAAACTGAGTCCATTAGTGTGGCTGAAAGATTTCCCTGATGCACAGTTTTCGAGAAAATCGAAGTCGAAGTTGAAATTTCGATCGCCTTTTGTGCAATTATGGAAGAAGATATTTACATGAAACTCATTTTCCCAATGTAACTTTTAATGAGCAACAAGCAAATTAACTTATTTTGCGAAGAAAAAATTTCTGTTCAAAATTAAACAGATCAGTTCGATTTTTAGTTAAACTGACCTCATTCTATGACCGTAAGAATAAGAGATCTGTAACTCATTATTTGCTCATATAAATTGTTGGTACAACCCATGGAGTGAATAAATTTTTCCCTTTATCAAGAGTTCTCAAGATTTTGGCCATTGGCCCAAAAACTTTGAGCCTCGATATTTCGAGTATGGTAGCATTTACAATCATCTTTCTTTCACCATTTTAATTCTATACTAATCAATTATCGAATGCAATTTAATAACTTTCCATAACCGCATTTAAATTATAATATTTGGGTTGTAAACGTACGAGCAACATCTTAATTAACAAACAAAACTCATCTCAACCCATTTCTTGGTAAATAAACCAATTTTCTGGTTAAACCAGCAAATTAAATGCAAAAAGTTACTCTAAAAGCTTCGATTTTTTGAGTTAAGAGTTTAGACTGAGCGAGTTTGTAGGGACATAAATTCTGAGTCCATTGGTACAGTTAAATAATTCATCCAATGACCAGTTTTCTAGAAAATTGAGGTCAAAGTTGAAACTTCGATCGTCTTTTGCTCAGTTATGGAAGCAGTTTTTCCCATAAAACTCATTTAACTGGTGTAACTTTTGATGAACAACCTTATAACATTCTTATTTTGAGAAATAACATTTTCTGTTTCCGTAAAACAGATCAACTCCGATTTTCAATTTAACCGACCGCGTTCTATAACCGCAAGAATCAGAGAGCTTAAACTTATTATGCGTCCATAAAAATTGTTGATACACATCAATAACTCAACATTTTTCTCAGTTTATCAAGAGTTCTCTTGATTTTGGCCATTGGTCCAAAAACTTTTAACCTCAATATTTCGAGAATGGTAGCATTTACAATAATCATTATTTGAATAAATATTATATTTTATTATAAGCTATAATATATTGGAATATTATATTGTTCAAGATCCTACAAAAAGAGTTATATTATTCCAATACTTAGGTTGTGAGATTTGTGCTTGATTCATAAAGTCAGATGTTTACTCAAACACAAATCTCGTTTATTAAAAGGGTTTTCATTATCAAATGTATTAATTCATATCATATCATAGCCCTTAATAAAATCTATTGCTTGGTGAAAAAAAGATGATTGTAAATGCTACCATACTCGAAATATCGAGGGTCAAAGTTTTTCGGACAATGGCCAAAATCTTGAGAACTCTTGATAAAAGGAAAAAAGTATTCGATCCATTGGTTGTATCAACAATTTTTATCTACAAATAATGAGTTACAGATCTCTTATTCTTACGGTCATAGAATGAGGTCGGTTTAACTAAAAATCGAACTAATCTGTTTAATTTTGAACAGAAAGTTTTTCTTCGTAAAATAAGTTAATTTTCTTGTTGCTCACTAAAAGTAACATTGGGAAAATGAGTTTCATGTAAATATCTTCGTCAATGATTGTTCAAATAGCGATCGAAGTTTCAACTTCGACTTCGATTTCCTCGAGTACTGTGGATGAGAGAAATCTTTCAACCACACTAATGGACTTAGTTTTCATAGCTTTACAACCTAACAGAGTCCTAATTTGAAAGAAACTATTTTTCACTCGTTTTTGACCCATTTGTTTCAATTTGTGCATAGATTTTACAATTGTGTTGTCTCTTTTAGTTAACAAACCCAAGTTTAATGTTTTTAAAGCTAAAAGATTTCGCTTTGAATCAAATAGTAAAAAACATCTTCTTAATGTTTGTAGCTCGAATAACTGGAATGCAACCAGCGGAGATTACCACAACTGAGTTCACCGAAGATCTAGAGTTGACATTTGTTGGACCCAGTTTATCCGCTATACCCGATTTGAGATTAATTTGTCTTGTTAGTAAATCGGAAGGAGAGGCTGAAGAAGAGGATTCATCTGAATTATATGAACCAACTTCAATCTTAACCATCACTGGAAATAAGCCATACACTTGCATTTTACCCAAGAGTCAATCAGCCTCCTCTACGTCCTTATTAATTACACCGACGATTGACGGAGTCAACCCATTATCTTCCCCGTTTACATTCACTTTGATATCACCAGCACCGACCATTTCGCATGCCAATTGCTTCATATCATCTGATGGTCTTGCAATGGTCGTTATGTTTACTCGTCCAGTTGATGTTTATTCATCTTTGGAGATGTTATCCGTTGGATCAAATTTATGTGACCATATCTTGACCGATGAAAGTTTAGATAAACTATCCAAGTATAAACGATTGAACTGTGTTTGGTCTAGCAAAGTACAACTAGTGATTTACCTACAAAAACCAATGGAAGAAAATATATTTGAATTGTCGTTAAGAAAAGGAATCTTTAAGGAAGATTCATCGAACATTGCATTAGTTAATGATGAACCGATTAAAATTGTGATGCGTAAATTGACAACCGAATGGTGGGTTTATACACCTAGATTAGTAATCACTGGACCATCAGAGGTCCCTCGGTGTGGACTCTTCTCTCTATCTGGACATTATTCTTCCCCGAAAGGAACAACTGGAGTTGCATTTAAATGGACAGTTACTCGGGACAATCTTCCTTCGACTTCAACTGAAGAGCCGATCAATGAAGAGTTGACTCATATAGTGAGCTCAACAACATCACAGAATCTTATTCTAGACGCAATTTTATTCCAACCAGGAGTTAGTTATCAATTTACTCTCACTACCGAGTCTGATTTAGGTTCATTAATAGCGACACACCGTTTGATCAGATTCAACTACGATGCACCAATAGTCAGCATTTATTCAAACATTATGTTACCAGCACAGCCTTATACAATTGATACAACGTAAGTTTTAATTTTCTGCTAATTTTAGGTTTGTTACTAAAAAGACAACACAGTTGTCAATTCATGCACAAAGTGATACAGATGGGTCAAAAACGATGAAGATTGATTTCTTGCAAATTTAAACTTTGTTAGTATGTGCAGACATAAAAACTACGCCCGTTTTTGCGATTTAAAAGTTTCTCTGATCAATGGTTTTCGATAAAATCGAAGTCAAAGTTGAAACTTCGATCGCTTTTTTTACGGTAATGGCCGAAGATATTTTCACGAAACTTATTTTCCTAGTGTAACATTCAATGAACAACCAGAAAATGCACTTATTTTACGAAATAAAAGTTTATGTTCAAAATAAAATAGATTAGTGCGATTTTTAGTTAAACTGACCTCATTCTATAACCATAAAAGTTAGAGAGCTCAAAAGTTTCATTGGTCTATGAAAATCGTCGGTGAACATCTGCGGTTGAACACTTTTTTCAATTTATGAATAGTTCTCTTTATTTTGACCATTTACACGAAAATTTCGAACCTCAATATTTCGAGAATGGCATTACTTACAATCACCATTCCTTCATCAATCATTAGATTTTATTATTGGCTGTAACACAATATGGCCCAAAGTTTGAGAAAATATGAGCTCATGCATTTAATAGGGGATTGCCTTCTAAAATATCATAAGATTTGCTTTTTGAGGATAACTCACCTTCTTATTAATAAAATGAGAATCAAATCTTACAACATAAGTAACGCAGTGCTATAGCTTTTAGTGTAGAATCTCGAATCAGCTAATATTCCGTTGTATTATAATCTATGAAAAAATCTAATGATTGATGAAGGAATGGTGATTGTAAGTAATGCCATTCTCGAAATATTGAGGTTCGAAATTTTCGTGTAAATGGTCAAAATAAAGAGAACTATTCATTAATTGAAAAAAGTGTTCAACCGCAGATGTTCACCGACGATTTTCATAGACCAATGAAACTTTTGAGCTCTCTAACTTTTATGGTTATAGAATGAGGTCAGTTTAACTAAAAATCGCACTAATCTATTTTATTTTGAACATAAACTTTTATTTCGTAAAATAAGTGCATTTTCTGGTTGTTCATTGAATGTTACACTAGGAAAATAAGTTTCATGAAAATATCTTCTTCCATAAGTGTACAAAAAGCGATCGAAGTTTCAACTTTGACTTCGATTTCTTCTAAAACTATCGATCAAAGAAACTTTTTAACAGCACATAAAGACTCAGTTTTTATTCCTCTACAAACCAACAGAGTCTTAAACCGACAGAAATTAATTATGCCCGTTTTTGCTCATTTGTTCAATTTGTGCGTAATTGTGTTGATTGTGTCTTTTCAGTAGCAAACCTAATTTTATGCTCTTACATTACCTTTTACCTTTTACTAATTACTTTCTCGTATTTATCTTTTGTTCCAGTGCTGTGTTTTGGGCAGAAACGTATATTCCTACTTGTATTCATCCATTCCAAAGAGTGGGAATATTTTGGAAGGTTGCAGATCCTCATGTTAAGTTTAACTTTACTTTAGCTTATCTATCAGTTTATATACTCAGTCCATTTTCACTTCCACCCGATCGACCAGTAACATTTTATCTAAATGCCTTTCTTGGTCATCGTATAAACGAAACGAGTGGAGCTGCATTTTCTTTAATCGGTTTACAGCCGCCACTTCAAGCTTTGATTGCAAATGGATCACCAATGATTGCTCTAGGTCATGAATCAGGTCCAATAATGATTTCTGGTTCAGCCTCAGGCGATGGGACGAAGAAGCCTCTTTCATTCCATTGGAATTGTTTAGATAGCGATACACATGAACCATGTTTCTTTAATTTTGCTTCATTAGATGATTCAGATCTAGAGATTGCATCCAACCGAAACTATGTGTTGATCGACTCAACTATGCAAAGACAACCCGAGCTTTTACTTGACTCATCTAATTTCATGCCAAACAGAGAGCTCATCTTAAGCCTTCAGGTTCACGACAGAAACGACACAAATCGAGTCTCTAATCCTGAATTAACATTGTTAAAGATTACTTCAGGCGATGCTCCTCAAGTTTTCATGGGTTCAATTTACATTAGTCGCAAGTACAGAGCTAATATCCGTAGTCCACACAATTTAGCAATCATGGTTCCAGCTCATACACCATTATTAATCAAGGGAACCGTTAAGTCATCAGTACCACTGAGCTATTTGGCCTGGGAAGCAAATAATTTTATTCATCCTTTGAATTGGAATACAAAAAGAGGTTCTTGGAGAAATGGGGAAACCCACACTGAATTGCATATTCATTCAGGTAATTTATTGATTATCTAAATGTGTTTCCATTTCTTTACAATTTTTCTTAACGTTTTAGATCACATTTATCCATATGGATTGCACGTTTTTAAGCTAAAAGCCTGTAACACAAATGACCAATGTTCTGAGGCTACAACACAATTCACAGCTTCTCAGGGAGTAACTCAATGCTCCATATCGATTCCTGCTTATCATGAATACGAATTGGTAAGTATTGATACAAAATGAATACTTTTCTTGCTGATCTGATTATTTCTTCTTTTCCCTGAATCTTTTTAGGTCAATGTTTCAGTCGAGAAATGTAACATTCCTCCAGGCTATGGACCATTAGTTTATCAACTATATGCAATTAACGAGAAAACTGAGGAAATTTTTCCAATCACAGTTCCACAGTTTTCAAATGTTTTCCTGTTCCCCGGTTTACCGGCTATTGATCAAGAAAAGGCAGAGAACACATTTGCCCTTAAATTTTGTGATACTTTTAATTACTGTGAAATGGTTTACGCTTCACCAACCACAGTCTATCCGAATGAGAATAAAACCTCATTAATCGATGATTTGTTGAAACTTGCACGAAAATACAACATTGGAGGGGATCCTTTCCATGCCATGCAATCATTAGGAATAATTTTGAAGGAAGCTTCCTTGGATAAACCATTACAATACAAAACAATGTCTGAAACGATTGATTATAATCTAGAGGTTCTCCAACGACCATCGCAATTACTAAACCGAGGCCAATTGGCTTTATCACTCGGTCTTCTGTCAGAAATTGTTCGTAAATCGGATAATAATAGACTTCGAGAAAAGGCAATGGACGCAATCCGTAAATTAGCGGAAAAGGGCTATTCACTTGAAATGATTCCGGACTTGATGACAATTAGATCGACAATGTTTAACTTGATGTTTCCTTACAGTCGAGGAGCTGGACTAATTGCTAAAGCTGATGATTTACCAAAAACATTGAAATCGAGTCGAAAAGTATTCAATGTACTTCTGCAAATGGCTGCTGCTCAGCTTTCACTTGGGAAAAGAGTTGAATTTGGTAGTTATAGTGAAGATTTATTTGAAGATGAAAAACAAGAGAGTATATTTAAAACAATTATGATTCATGATAAAACAATTGAAGGAACTCATTTGAAAATTGGTGACACTGAAGTGACTATTAAAATTGGTAAATCAGTTAAAAAAAGGTTTGCAGGATCATGGAAGTGTACACCTGATAGCCTTTGCAATTCTGTTGTTTATTCTTATACAGTTTTCCCCACTTCTGGGCCTTTCCCTGAAGTCTCTGATGGCTACAGAATTGCTCCGATTCTAATGTTTAATATATTCACTCCGGGAACGGGAAAATTGCAAACAATTAAGACTGGTTTGAATGCAGTTGAGGTGACATTTACTTATACAGGCAATCGATCGTATGGACTTGATTATTCGACCAAATGTAAATCTTGGTCTGATACAAAAGATTCATGGAAACCTGACGGAGTTCATTTATTACGGGCATCTCATGAAAGAATCTCATGTTGGTCTGGTTTCATCGCCCCATTCACTGTCTACAGAATTCCTCAAAGATGGAATGTCGGAGCTGTTGCTTCAATGGTGTTTGGTGGTTTGCTTTTTTTCATCTTGGTTGGTTTCACTATTATCATTTGTTCATCTAAAAGTCCAACAGCACAACGGCTTAGCCAACCTCCCTTTGATCGCAGAATGCTTAGACCAATGACGGAATAATTAAATAATTGTAAATTAACAATTCTCTGCCTTGCCAAATTCATTCAATGAAACTTATTGATTTTCATTAAATAAAATTGTTCATTAAGTTGTATAATTCGTTTGCCCAAATTATTTTCATAAAATTTATTCAATCCCAGAACAAATTGCAATATTAATCGGAAATAATTTTTAGTGTTGATATTAAAATAAAATAGAGATAAGCCCATGAGTTTGGTCAAACTGAAAAATTTATTTTGGCAATAGATCATGATTGAATTGACCATAGATTTTTCAAAGCAGGGGAAAATATATCAAGAACAAATTATTTTTTAACACTTGTGTGAACTGCTTCTTTAGCTGCTTTTTTAGCTTTGACAAGTTCAACTAGTTCTTTATAGCGTTTTATACATTCTTTTTTGCTTCTTCCTGGAATGCATTCGGCTATCTTTTCCCAGCGTTCCGTTGTTGAAGCTGGATAGGACTTTAATGCCTGTTCTAACAATTGTTGTTCTACATTAGTCCAGGGCTCTGGATTCGTAGGCTCTTCAGGAGGCGTTTCATAGCGTTGTGATGTCTCTTCTACTTTGGCTGTGGGTTTATTATTCTCCAACAATTTGGTTACAGATATCCTATTTAACTCTTGTTTGTGATTAGTATCTGAAAAAACAAAATAAATCGAAATTAAAGAATGAATAAACGAAAACAGAACTATTTAACTTAAGGGAGTAAAACTTACCTATTTTACCAATATCTTTAGCTTGTGTGAGTACTTCACGAGCTTTGCGATTCTTGTTGTGAATTGAATGTTGATTAACAAAGGCAGCAACAACTTCCCATCTATTCAAAGTACCAGCAGGGAATAAATTGACTGCTTTAACTAAAAGTTGTACATCCTCAGCAGACCAAACTTTAGTCGATGTGGTTTCTTTACTATCACTAGTTTCACTAGATTTTTGTCCAACAAATAAAGACCCTTTTTCCGTCTCCTTAATCTTGTTGATTTTTGATAAAAAAACGGTCTTCTTATCTTCTTGAGATGACCCTTTTAACAAATTTTCTTTGAATTCACTCAATTCAATGTTGCTAAATGTAAAACAAATTTTGTTTAGTTCTTGTATGTAGTTAATTTTTTGATTGTCATTTGAAGCAAAATAATTATATTCCTCGAAAATTGATTCAATTTGTTTAACATCTTTTTTTCTCCTTTTCTTAGCTGCTTCTTTTTCTTTCTTTTCTTGGTCTCTCTTTGCTTTGAGAGCTTCTTCTTCTTCCTGCTTCTTTTTCAATATAGCTTCTTCTTGTTCTTTTTTACGTCTTTCTTCTTCCTCTTGCTTTAGTTTTCGAGCCTCTTCTTTAGCCTTTTTCTCCATTAATTTTTTGTTCTTCGCTTCTTCCTTGAATCTAATAATTCTTGGATCACAGGCATAAGCGTTATCAACAAGTTTCCTAATTCGAGCTAATTCTTCTTTCTTCTTTTTTTGACGTTCTAATTTGTTTTGACGTTCGATCCATTTTCTTTCACTTCGATCTTGTCCCCGCTCTTTATCTTCTTCATCCAAGTACGAATATTCACGCCAAGACTCGAAATTATACCAAAAGTGGTAAAAATTTTCAACGTATTCCTTAGTACAAAAGTCACTACCTAATTGAGGTACATATTTTGAATCAGACCATCTAAAATAACGACAAGAAAATACAAGTAAATTAATAATCAAAACTGAATGTTATACATTTAAACTCCGGACAGGTGAATAATCTACAATACCTGGAATTTCGAGCAAAAACTGGACCAAAGACCGCATAGAAATTCTCTTTTGAATTTGAGTTGACTGGAGGAACAGAATCGTCGAAACTGTCATCTACACTGTCATAAGATCTTCTCTTGATTGGATCACCAAGAATTTGAAATGCTATTGGAGATGAAACAATGATTATTTGGTTGAACTATTGCAAGGTTAATAGGTTTAAGTTTACCTTTAGTAATACACGAAAAATAGTCAGTTTCATCATCTTTGTTTTGGACACCTCTCTTATCGGGATGATGAGTCAATATTAACTTTTTATCTGTTAAACAAAGAGAGAATAAAAATTAGACTTGATCAAAGAGTTACTCTTTAGACTCGATTAAAGGATTACTTACATGCTTGTTTAATTTCCTCGTCAGATGCTGCGTATCTCCTCTTTCCGAGACCAAGTACTCTATAGTGATCTTGCTCTTTCCATCTTCTAGGATCTAAGCTTTTTAAATATTCTTCGTCCGTTTCAAAATAAATTTCTTCAGGTTGCGGTTCGTCTTCTTCTACCGGCACATCAGGAATTAGCTTCAATTGAATTAAGTACCTTTTCCACCATATATGATAGGGTGTTATATGGACCAAAGCTTTATTAAGAGGACCGTAGCTCATTTTAACTAAATCAAAATTAAATATTGATGACCAAAACAAAAGATAAGATGGATATGGTGTGAAAGTAGCACTTTTGCGTTGCCTTCAGAACGTATTAAATAACAATTGACTTGAAGAGATCGCAATAGAAATCAAATAAAAGATTCACTAAATTTATTGTTAAATTGATAAAACACCAAAAAAACAGAATTTGATTAATTTTAACTATCAACTTCTTAAAATGAAATAATTATACATGTCAACAAATGTTTACTAGAAACAAAAACACGAGACAACAAAACATGTGACATGTCACGCTTTAGGGGCTGTATAATAATTTAAACTGAAAATTTAAAAAGAGTAAACCTTTTTTCGAAAAATAAATTATTACGATAAATCAAAGATATTCATTTATTTAATTTAAAGAAATCGAACATTATATGAAATATAAATTCGCTTGATGAACAAATTATAATTTATTGCAATGATTGAGAATAAATACAAGTTAAATAATTGTTTTGCTGAGATTGGAAAAACCGATTCCAACACAAGTTGCCATGATTTTTTCAGAGCCTTTCTTCAAATCTTCATCTCGTTCATCTTCTTCGCCTTTATCTTTTACTTCCAATTTAAATGTAATTTGTAAAATTTGTCTCATATGTTTCAATAATTGGACAGTAAATGGCGATAATGGGCCAAATTCAACTTTGGAAACATCAGGTTGTCCTAAAGCCATATACAAGCAAACTATACTCTGATTGACCGAGCTTACACAGCCGCCTCGATAAATTTCTTCAAAAAGACAAAATACAGCTTCTTGAGCAACATCTTCAGGTAAAGATGGTCCTTTATCACTTCCAGAAGGGTTAGAGTAAGCCTCGCCAGTATAATGGATTCCTTCAGTTGTCTCAGCTACTAACGATAGACCGAATCCGGGTGAATTTCCACTATTTTTTCCTTTTAAATGGTCAGAATGAATATAGACATCTGGAATAAATTTCAACAGCAATCCTTTGGCTTTGTCAATCATTCGATTTGCTATATTTGGTGCTACTCTGGTAGCTAATGCTATACCACGAATCCGTTTAATTTTACCAGGTTTGAGTAAATTGATTGGTTTTATGGTATTTCTTATTGGACATTTGAAAAACACTTTTCCACCGCCATTAGGAGGCATTCCTCTGGAAACAACAGTCAATTCAATATCAGTTTTTTCTGTAAAATGCAAAATAAAATTTGTGTATGAGTTAAGATCCAATCTAAACTGATAAATACTAAAAACTAGTGTAAAACTAGTAATACTTACCCCAGACTGAAATTAATTTTGAAACAAGTGGAATTGTCGATTGACGAAGTGCATCAATTGAAACGTCTAACTGATCATTGGTTATTCCAGTTAAAGTTGCTTCAATTGGTACCTTACAAAAAGGCGCAAGAATAATTAATGGCTGAAGAAAGTATGAAATTGATCTTTGTAGCCCACAATCGTGTTCAATAGGACCACCATGTAATAGACCAGGCTTGAAGGTAATTTGGGTTCCAGTCTCATCAATAATAAATGTACTTCCATTGGTTGATTTAACAATCAGTTTTAAAAAAGACACCTCAGATTCATGTAAACCAGGTTCTTCCTCTCGCACTCGAATCTTATGTATCATAATTGGTTTTCCAGAAAGAATGGAAAGCATTATCCTGATTCGGAAGCAGTTAGAACCTTCAAAAATGTAATCTTTACTCACAGAAACACTCATGTTCGGTTGAGTGAGAAAATTTGGATCCAAACAATTAAAAATAAAATTCAATGAATATCACAAAACACAAAACACATTTAAGAGAAACATGTGTGAATCACATGACCAAAGCAAAAGAAGGAAAAAGTGAGTGAAAAGCTGCATGGAGTTAAAAGATATCTTCAAGGCAAAGCTTAAGCACAAAGCTTAAGGGAAAATCGTCAGCATTAACAAAAATCTTTGAAAATTAGGAAACCTGAATTCTAACGATGGATTTAATTAATCATTCTTATTCCTCGATTTTCAAATAAAGTTAAATCGATAGATCAAAGTTCAACAAACTGACTCAGTTTTAGTTTCTTAAAGTTTATCTTTGGTTATCGGGTATTTTGGCAAGAATTATTACAACTGTAATACTTTTTAACAATTTGGAAGTGGTTCATCAGACTCAAAATATCAAAACTATTACCCCAAGTTATCCGAACCGATTTCAATTATTAGTGTGTCATTTAATTCCTTACTAACTAACAATATAGTTTGTCGTCTTTTGATTAGCAAATGGAGAGAAGGTTCGAAAAGCGTCTTTTATTGTAAATCGGTATGCATAGATGAATAAGAAAGCAATGATGTGTGTCCATAGCTGAGCTATTTTGTTTCACCCGTTTTGTTTTGTGTGTTCATTAAAATAATTTACAGCGATTTTAAATGTGCATTAATGGTCCCCTAAAAAACCTGTTGATTTAATTTAGTTTATTTTTGACTGATCAAACCATCTAGACCTAACAAGCTTTTGAATAAAACCCTTGACCAACAAGTATTATCATTGATTCAATAAGGACAAATGAAGTGTTTATTAGGATCAAATCCCTAATTATGAAGGAAAACTTCTATCATGTTTTGCTTTTTGAATGATCTTTGTTAGATTGAGAAAGATTGGCTTCTTGGTGAACCCATGGAGCAATAACTGATCTTCGAGGCCAAGAACCAGAAGAACGACGCACAATTTCCTCTTTGATTTGTTGGTCAACTGATAGTTTTATTTGTTGTTGCTGTTGTTGTTTAATTTGTTTTTCTTCTTCGAGTTTTAAACTTAAAGGTATTGAACAACCATCAGGAATACCAGTTCCAAAACGTAGTACAAGTCGGTAACCAGCTGGAGATAGGGAATCATCATAATCAATTGAAGAAATATTCAAACAAAGTAAACTGAGAATTAGGGAAAACAATTTCGATTGTTTATCCTACTAAGAAGAAATCCGAAGAGTGATGAGCTAAAGTAGTGAAATGATTATTAAAATGTTTTTAACAAGGTTAGTAGTAGTAGAAATGCACAAGATAACTCAATGCACAAGATAACTCACTGATTCAGAATTGTCACAGCAAATCGAAAATTGTCACCTCAAACTTGAGAATCAAAAACATGAATGCACAATTAAACCAATGATTATAAACAATGAAATCGGCTAAACTAGGTTTATAGCAATCGTAATTTTGAAAACAATGATTCAATAAAAATCAATAATCTTAAACAATGAAATAATCTAAATCTATTGACCTGATTTTAACTTTAAGAAACAATGCCAAATTATGGTAGTAATTTCAAACAATATGATTTAACTGAATAAAATAATCTCAATCGGACTGCGGAAATCAATTGTACAATCAATAAAATTTCCAGCAATTCAACTAAACTGCATAGATCGACCTAAATTTAACTTTGAAAAAACAATCGCATACTAAATTTAATAGGATTTTTGACCAATCTAAACTGATTAATGCAATAACATTGCACGGGTGCTTAAATTTGTCTATGCAAAAATAGGTCATCATTAATTTGAGTTAACACCTTATTTTTATGGTCTTACATGACAATGTACAATTGTTTGATTGTTCAAATTAATCCCATTGTCTTATTGTTAACTATTGTGAGGCAGAATTATTGCTTCCTGATCCCAATTGTTGCAATTAGCTAACTTAGTATAAAAGGAGAGCTGAATAGCATTGAAATCATCATAGCTTGATCAACATCAACATCAACTAAATCGACTGAACCACCGTCAACATTGTATTTTATCAAAGTTAGTCGTTTTCATTTGTTCATTTTCATTTCATCATTATCGACATTGATTTAACTATTAAAGTTAGTTTCATTTTCAGTTACTTAGTTTTTTTTTTGCAGTTTGATTTTGTTTTAATTACGTTTGTAGTTTTGATTTCCACCAACATCAACGCCAACTTGAGCATCAACACTAACTGCAAGCAAGGTAGGTTAGTATTTAAATCATGATCCTCTTTCCCTCACTAATTTTTTTCTCTACTAATCATGAGCCGTAATGAATGAAAAGAATTGAAATTATTGTATTATACTGCATGATTGTTTTTTTTCATCTATTGATTTGATTATTTAGCTTCGTTTTCAATTAGGTTTTCAATTCTATTAATGCTTTAGCTTAAATTCAGATTTTAGTTTGACTTTACTTTTAGTTTCAATTTAATTATGATCTCATTTCAGATTTAGTCTATGCCTTAGCATTGAGATGCATCTGATTAAGCTAGACATGATTGAGATAGCAACAATTAGTCTTTGATCAAGCGAATACTAAGATTTAATTCAGTATTAGTATTAATTTCTAATGTGATTCATAGTCTCTTATCGTATCCTGTGAAAAGATAAGGAAATCTTAATAATCAATGTAGTATTAATCAAGTATTTACGAATTGATTTAGCAAACAAGGGAAAACTTCATAGAAAATCAATTAACCAAGATAAATTGATTCGGTAAAAGGCATTTATGACTATTATAGCCCAGGATAGATTACACCAACTTTCTCAGACCTTCGGTCTGAAGAAGTTGGCCATTGACAAAATTGTGAAAAAGTCACTCCTTCTAGGGGAAAATTGACTTTTAACCCCGGATTTTTTCAATTGTCTGTAACTTTTTTATTACACATTCGATTTTGTCGCAACAAAAACCATACGAACAAGCTTATCAATCTTCACAACTTTTGCTTTGACTTTTTTTCAATAGCACTAACCATAAAAAAATTAGGACTTTGCGACAAATTTCACAACGTTAATTACGATTTTTGCAAGCTTATAACTTGAAAACTACACAAGTTAGGTACATACTTCCTTGATAATAATTTATCCAATCAAAATAATCTAATCATTTTTGTAGGTCACAAAGGTCATTTCAAGGTCAAATTTTTTTCTTGTTTAACATAGCTTTTAAATGTTCTAGATTGCTTCAAAGCTAATAAATATCATTATAACGCTTTTATCTTGAGTGATTGTCATTCTTATTATCACTGATCTTGCAATACATCTCCTTTTCAGTCGGGGGCGACATGCGTAAAGCTAAGTTGAACATTTAGACAGTTATCGTTCTACACCACGACTTTAAATTGTCTGAAAAATTGAAATTAGGTTACTTTTTACATTACTTTAGCATAGATTTTGAAGAAATCGCATTCAAGTATCAAACAATCAACGAGTTTCGACACCATTTGTTCACCTATTCACATCAAAGTGATAATTCTTAAACAAAAGAATTAGTGCTTTTTCCGATTCTGAGCCTAATCATTGAGCTGAATGAGCACAAATATAATAATAAACAATTGTAACGATGCAAACGATTTAAACAATTGAAACAATAGAAGGATTAAAACCTTTAGAACAATTGAAATGCTTTGAACAATTGAGGCAATAAAAGGATTAAAGTCTTCAGAACAATTGAAATGATTTAAACGATTCAAACATTTGCAACAATGCTATAAGGAGCTCTCCTATTTGTATAAAAGAACTGTTTTTTGTAACATTTCATCATTTAAAATGTCGTTGTTCTTCAGTAAGTGTTATCCTGATTCTTCTTCTCCAACTAGAGCTACTGCTGGATCTGTTGGTTTCGATTTACATTCTTATGAAGATGTAATATTACCATCAAAGCAAATTAGTATTGTGAAAACCGGGATAAAAGTTCAACCACCGGAAGGTACTTACATCAGGATCGCTCCACGTTCCATTCTTGCTGCAAAAGGAATTTATGTCAACGGGGGAGTAATTGACCCAGATTATACCGGAGAAATAAAAGTAATCCTACACAATTTAGGCGATTGCCATTTGTTAATAAAAAAGGGAACGAAAATAGCTCAAATGATTGTTGAAAGAGCGGAAGTTCCTAATTTGATTGAAGTAACCAAATTAATTGACTTTGATGAGCGAGGTAGGAGAGGTTTCGGATCTTCAGGAGTTTAAGTATAAAAACCCGACAACTTTATACCTTTCTTCATTCAGTTTCATCTTTTCATCTGCTGAACAGCAACTCTCAACAACAACCAAACTGTAAAAAATCTTTGTATCGCAAAAGTTTTAGTCAGGAGTTTGAACAACTTTTAAACGTTGAAATTTGTCCAACTTTGTGGGTTGCAGTCGATAAATCCAGATCTTCGCAAGGATCAATGTTTGTCGACATCCGAAGGAAGAAGGAAGGACAGTGGAGAGGAAGCAAAATTTACATTCCGACTACACAGGGTCTGTTCTTGAAGTATCCTGAATACGAGAAACTCAAACAAAAGTTTGACGATTGGTTGTCTGGTTTATTGTTAGCTGAAACTATGGAGAAAGTGTTTGAATTTTCGGAATTACCTGGACGAACTGTATTTGCACAGCAAGTTATTGGTGCTAAAGGCTTAACAGTTGGTCTCAAAACTGAAACAAAACAGAGTTGTCTTGTTCTACATCGTTCAGAGATTACGAAACTAATCTCGAACTCTGTTGCAGATGCTATTGGTGCAGCAATGTGTCAAGCGCTCTATGATTAAACTATTTTTCAGCATTTGTTACTCATTCAGTCAAAAATATTTTACGCTTTTATTCTTTATTATTTTACTTGTATCTTTTTTTATGAACTAATATTGAATAAAAAAGAGAGCTCTTACAAAAGTAAATGTTTCAATTTTTTATTTAATCGTGTAATGTGAAAACATAGGTAAGATAAACTTGACTTATCATTCAATTTTACTCAGTTCATCTGCCTTCAAATTCATTTTTTCATACAAGACTTGTCTCTCATGAATTTTGCTTCATTTCAAATTATTAACTCTTTTGTATGCAATTGTATTCTTTTATAGTCAATTTAATTCATTTTGGTTTATTAATGTTCAATTTTATTTCAATAAATACTGTTTATTACATTTTCATTCTGGTTTACTTCGCACTTCACAAAAGGTAAGACAGAATCGGTAAAACAAGTTTTTAAAAAGGTAATACAAAAATAGCCACATTTAATTGACAAGTCGCCTTGCAAGACATCTGCATTATAGATATAATCATAATGTATACAGTTTCTTTCCATAAATGTTTTTATCATTTCAGGAGGCTGTCGTCCAAAAGAATCAAAATAAATTCCGCTGCCGTACATTGGTATAAATGCTGCCGTCCAATGTGAACCAGATTTCCAGCTTGGATCAAGGTTTATTACAATTCCGAAAGGTTTCGGGAACAAGACAAGGGGTAGTTTGTCAATTGCATATACTCCTTTGAAACTTGTGTATTTTGAAAGATGATTTTGAATATCTAAAGATGTTAGTGCCATCAGTAATCAGTTGCAATATTACGGGCTGCATCAATTTGTAAAACACTATCATATATAGCAAACACAATCATATGCAATCCTTCATCAAGAGCATCTTTGAATTGAATATCAACTCGCACATTACCACGCTTAATTAAAGACAATGCACCTGAATCCGAGGCCAAAGTACCATCATCAGTAAGATCAAATACCAAAAGAGGATAATTGTCAGCATACTTGTTGTATTGCAAATTAATTTGAGGGAATCCATGATCTTGATTCATTGATCTAAAAACATCATAATATTCTCTCATGTACAGTTTATTAGTGAAATCAGGTTGATGAGGTGAACTTGGTATCTTTATTCCATTAACTACAACAGTTGCACTTTGTAGATTCTTATGAACAAAAGTAAAACAATCTTGAGATATGTCACCATTGAAGGCTTTATCAGGTACAAACCCAATGATTACTTTACGTGGTAACTGACCATTATACACATTATCAATACTACTAGCAGCAAAACCAGTTGGTAGGTGAAATGATTTTACTTCATTTCTTTGCAAATAATACTTTGCAGGACTTTTCTCAAGATGTGATGTGATTGACATTTGCACTGGTGTATACAATTTAACCCTTCTAATGAAAAGTGATAGACGTTCAAACTCATAAGATAGTTTGTCAACAGCTGTAGAACATTTAAATCCAAAAGTGTGCGGAGCAGTTTTCAAACGTAATGTCCTGGGTACATTATCGATTAGAAATTTTTCTTGCTGAAACATTGGCGCATGAATTTGTATGATGATATCGAATGTCTTCTTATTTTTGACTCTCTCAGTTCTCTCCGCATCTGTTCCTCCTATCAATTGACAATCATCAAGTACTGACTTGTACTTGAAAAATAGATCATCAATGTATGATTGATAATGGTATAAACTGTTTCCAGGAGTTATGTTGACATTTCCAAGGTAAACATCTAGTTGTTCAAATAGTGCAGCGGCAAGATTACTTGTAGGGACAAAGTTGCATGCATCATCAGTGTTAACTTTCATTTTTGCATACAAATAAGAAGCAGAAAGGTCAGTGTAATGCTCAGATCCAGGAACTATGAATTCAAAAACTAACGCATTGGCTAATGATCCAATAGGTCTAAATTCTACATCATAAGTACTTTCGATAACCGTCTGTGTTGGAGGTAACTTGAATAAATCCAATTCAGCAATAGTTGCAGGGGAAGATGACGAATGTAAGAATTCCATTATGTAAAAATATCTTTAGGTATCCTAGTTGATTTTTTCTTTTTTGTAGCTTTTTTGTTGCTCACTCTTTTAAGAGTGCGCTTCTTCACTTTACGCAAAGGTTGTTTCGATGGTTTCTTTAGCTTTCTTTTATATAATCTTTTACGACCCCTTCCTTTCTGGATAACAACTTTCTCTTTAATTTTAGATAAACCTTTATTGGCTAAATCCTTGACCCCATCCGCGAAAGCTTATTGAATTTGTGGGTCTTGAACTACACGCTTACCTATGCTGACTCCTTTATTTAATGCTTCTTTGCCTAAATACTTTACTAATGGCATAGCAAATCTTGCAATGAATCCACCAAACCCATATCCTCTTTGGAATCTAGGACCTCTCACTATGTTGATGTCACCCAATCCTGAACCAATTTGATGAGTAAAATAGCTGTTGAAATCACTATGTTTAGGGCAATAAGTTTTTCTTTCAATCATTTTATTGAATACATCATTAATTACATTGTTTTCTTTATATTAATTCTTTTTACGAAAATCCAAGCTTACAAAAACTCTTCCAATGTTGGCAAATTTAATCTGCTCTCCAGTATCATCCAAACAAATAATTGCAATATTTTCAATATGATTTTTCCTTACTGGATAATATATTCGATGTTCAAATGTGCAATAACCGATTCCTTGATAAATACCAGTCGTCAGCGGTACTGCTCTCAACACAGGCGCTTTAGTTCCTCCAACCGTATGATCTCGTATGATATCAGTATATACGTACATCAGATTGACATTATTTTTGTGATGCAGAGGTGTTGTTACTACAACTTCCTGTTTGTATGAATCAATAGCATTAATCAAAGCATCACCGGATGGAGAGAAACCAAAATATTCCAATAATTTTCCGTCTGAGAATTGCGGAACAACTACAATAGATGAAGTTGCTTTGTATTTATCAGTTTGCTCTCCATTTGTAGAATAGTCAGTCCTTATTTCATCAATAAGTCTGTTTTTGTAATAATAAATCCAATCCTTGTCTGTACGCATAAATTGCGATTCAGTTGACAGAGTGCCTATCTCTTCTAAATCAATACCATAATCGTTTTTGTATTTTGATTTAATCAGATCAACAGGACCATCTACAGATAGACCAATCTTTGCATATTTATCTACTGTTGTAGTAAGAAGACCAGCATAGAAGACTGTTTTTCCATTTTCACAAACAAATTTAGGATAGCGATCAAAATTCCATGAAGGTCTTATTTTTGCCAAATTTTTCATCATTGCAGTGTTGAGTTTATCTATTATCAAATCTAAAGAGTCATCTGGAGAAACATCAACAGATGAAGCATAATCATCACCAATATATGCAAATTTTAGCCACTTTTTGTCAGGAGCGTGTATCTTTCTCAGGTCTATATTCGGATAAACGACAAAGTCTGTCATCACAAGGTTAAAATCAATTTTCATTTTATCTGGTAAATCAATAGCAAATTTGACGGGAAAATAAATTTCAGTTAGTGCAACTTCCCAATCACCATCAAGTTCCAATGCAGGATCAATTTGATTTTGAAATTTAGATAATGTATTGTCCGGAAAGATGTCTGTAGATCCATTTGATGCTAGGTCAATTGTAAAGTTAATTGTTGTCATTTGCGAGAGAGATATCAGATATCCAACTGTTGAATTTTCTTGGCCAGCCTTCCCACTTGACTAAGTACTTATATTGTCTTTGTGATCTGTCATAAACTCTTTTGACTATTTTTTCAATTTTAAACGTTTTATTTTGATCATACTTGACTTTTTGCAGCTCTTCTGGGTAGAAAATTGATGATATATCTTGACCTTTTAAATCTTGTAGCTTGTAAATAAATTTCTGCGGTGTTTCTTTAACACTTGAAACTTTGAAAACTTCGTCAGTCCACTTTTGCACAGCATCTTTTTCGAAGTTACCAGAATTTAATGGGATTTTTACAAGATCATCATCACGAAAGATTTGCTTTCTATCTTCATTTGTTTTGATTCCTCTCTGTATAGTCTGCAAAACAGAATCTTGATTGTCCTGTGTTACAGAGTTTGGAGCTCTTTTAATAGTTCTGTGATAAGAATTGTTGTAGTTTTCAACAATTTCTTGCAAATTGTCAATGTAGCGTTGTGTATGTTTCCAATAGATGAATCTGTAGATGCGTGAACGCAATGTTCTTATCAGACATTCAGCTAATGCACATTTAATCGTAGCATCTGTTGTGGTAAAGAAATGTATACCGTTTGATGAACAAAAATTTCTAAATCGGACATTTGCGAATTCTCGTCCTTGATCAGTTTGCAACTTTTCTGGTTTTCTCCCTGAGGCTAAAATTTCAGAAAATGCATTGATTATTGTAGATGCTGATTTATCTTTACAAGGCTGAACCCAAGCAAATCTACTCAAAATATCGATGACTACTAATAAATGAACAAAACCATCATTCTGTTTAGACCAATATGTCATATCCATTAAATCAGCTTGCCATTGTTCATCAATCCTGTCTACTAATACAGGTAGTCTGTCAAACTTTTTTCTCCTTAAACGGAAATTCCTATAAGTGTCTTGATTCAATAGCCATTGTTTAACGAAATTGTAATCAATTGATGGATCTTGTTCCTTCGCTGCGGCGAAAAGTCTTTTAGCACCACCAAAACTACCTGGACTACTTAAGTTGAAGTACAGGTTTTTCAAAAGTTCTTCACGTTGGTCCACTTGAGCTTCTGACATTTTTTTCTAGGTGTGGTCACCACTTTTAGGTCTTTTAGGTCTTTTAGGTCTTTTAGGTCTTTAGATACTTGCTCATATTTTGCACTGCTCTAAAAGATGTTTGATTTCATTCAAATCTACTTCATTAAATTTATTCTCAAGTTGAGAATTTGTTTCTGTTTCTGCAGTAGTTTGCTCAACCAGAGGTTTCACGTTATCACTTTTTTCATCATGATTTTTGAGAAGAATGTACTCCTTTTCTGGAATAACAACCATTTTATTGATGACATTCATGATATCAATTTATCAGCCAATGTTCCACCTAGATATGATAAAGCTGGCCAAAGTAACGCAGGTAAAAATGCACCACCACTTTGTATTATTATTTCTTTTCTTTTTCTCAATGGAATACTTTTTCTAGAAAGTTTTCTTAGTTCGATTTTATAGCGATTAAGTTTCTTTCTTTGCACGTCAGGAAGTAATATATTCCCGTTTAAAGTGTTTTTGCTGATTTCAGATATTGCGTAGAAAATACAAGATTTTGCTTCTGCTAAAATTTTTTCTCTTTGCTTTTTTGATTTAGCTTGAGCAAGCTTTTTTAATGTCGGAAGACACTTTACAACACCTTCAATCGACATTTAGTAGGTAACATGAAATTGCTTATCTTTATATAGCTTAAAGTAGATATGTATACATTGGTTTATCTCTTTCATTGAAAATATTGGTCAATAACCTTGTTTTCTCTTGTGTGTCTGGTTTAAGATCAATGAACAAGTATGAGTATGGCTCTTGAGTCGCATCTTCATAAACAGCTGCAAATTTTTTAATTTTTGTTGGAAACATTTGACGACCGATATTTGTTACAATAGATTTATCACGAGGATTTTTAAAGCATACAACATATTGACTGTTGAGGCTGATGTTTCGAGTCTCTTTACCTTTCATGAAGAAATTTTGAGTGATTAAAATTACAGAAATATTTCTATGATGTGATCCTTTAGTAAATAAATCACTAACAAATGATTGATTCGCAGCTTCAGACATTAAATCATCTATCACTAACCATTCAGGATCAACTCCGCCTAAACCTTTGATTACCTCTTCTTGTAATCCTTCAATGAATTTAACACCCGGCATTGAATTGAACATTTTTTGATATTCTCCATAAAGATATGTTACAGATTTAGGTGGGGGATCACATATCTGTGAAGCTTTGTTGATCATGTCCCGAATGAAATGAGTTTTTCCGGAACCAGTTGGTCCTGCTATAAGCATAGTAAAAGGATGTTTTAAATGAACAGAAATAGACATTTTGTTATTTGCAAAAAAATTACATTTTATTGTTTTATATAATAATTATTAGGTATTTTGGGGTGAAATAGATGAGGCATAAGAGCCTTGATGAATAAGCGCGTCAGACTTGTTTGATCGGACGTTTGGAGTTGGAAGTATGAAACCAAGTGATGACCCAAGTAAGGCTGTCCATAGAGGCAGGTTTCCAGTCTTCAGAATTATATTCACAATAGATGTGATCAGCAATGCTATCAATACAGCTAGTTGAACAACAAAGAGGACTTTTCTGTACCATAAGTTGTGTTGGACTGCTTGAGGAGATTCCATTTTCAATTGCGTTGCTTACTTTAATTTTAGACAGTCTTTATATAGACTTTAGTCTTATATTGTAGTCAAATTCATCGCAATAATGCCGAATCGATGACAGCTCTTTCAAACCAGTTATTATTACTTTTCCTGACTTAAAAATGATGAAAACAACTTTTGATTCATCAAGTTTAAGATGTATTCCTGGAAAAAGCTCTGGTTCATAAGACGATCCTGGGTGACGTAAGAGCGCTTCATAGTCAAAATCACCAATAATTTTTGCACAAACAGTTATGTTGACTATTTTAAATGTTGTATATGATATGTCGCAAGGATATATTGAACAAAATCGGTCAACCAGTAGCATTGATGTTACTATATTTTGAACACCCGTTACATTGATTTTTCCTGAATCAAAAATCAGCAAACAACCTTCACAATATTTCAATATTCCGCCTGAAAATGATTTTGGATACTTTATAAATTTAAAAGTTTCTTTTATTAGATTACGGTCAAGTTTAGAGTTTAAAGTATATGTTGTTACAATGTTTGCAATAGAAACGTTCTCTTGAAGGTAATTCATAGTAAATGAATCTTAATTAATAAGTTTCAGTCTTATTACTCCTGTTATTTTCTTAACATAAATAGGGCAACTACTGATACCTGGTGCACAATCATTT